TAAAAATAATAAAAATAATAAAAATAATAAAAATAATAAAAATAATAAAAATAATAAAAATAATAAAAATAATAAAAATAATAAAAATAATAAAAGTAATAATATTTTATAATAAATAATAATTTTAATTATAAAGAGAAACAAGGAAGAAAAACAAAGAATCTAAAAAACTAAAGAAATAATCAAGGCTTTTAGAACTGCTAAAAGCAGTTAAGAAAGTTGTTAAATACAAGAGGCAGAATCATCAAAACTGCTATAAAAATAAATTCTTAAAAATTTTTCATTTTCTAAATTATAGCAGCTTAATTATATATATTATTAAAAAAGAAAAGGTTAGCTATAAATAATATAGATAAACAGATTAAAAGCCTATTAGATTAGAGAAGGCTGGAGGTGCTGGTGATAGCTACCAGGGTATTGTATAACACAGAGATACTAGGTGCAGCTACCCAGGATATTATACAACAGTATATCAAAGATATAGCTCTATTCAATTCAGTTTAAGCTAATTTAGTGAATCAAATTAAATCTTCTTTTTTGATAAGCTTAATAAATTATATTACCTTGTTAATACAATTTACTCTTAATTATTCAACTCTAAATTGATCTATTTCCTAATCAGGAAATAATTAAATAGTCTAATTGAAATATAAAAGAATTATTTTCTTCTTATTCTCTTGATTAGTTTAAATTAATCTGATTATCATATATTAAATTTACTTTTCTGTTAATTCTCTTAATTTATTCTTTAATTATTCTTCCTGTTTATTTGGTAATTCCCTAATTAGAAAATAACTTAGTTACTTAATTATCTTATCTTATCTGATTTCTACTATATCAAATAAATACAAATAATTTTTTATTATATTTTATATTAATATTGTTTTTAACTAACCAGTAACTATAATAATATTTAATATTTTCTAAATAATTTTTTTTTAATATTTCTATGTATTTTATATTATCTTTAGTAGAATACTTGATTAAGAACTTTATTCCAGGAATTTTCTTTAGAATAATCATTATCTATCTATCTTTTTTTAAAATAACCCTATCTTGAATGTGCCAACCATAATAGCTAACTAGATAAATAAATAAGTTATACAAATTATAATTTTGAGTAAAAGTTATCACTGTTTTTAAGGGTATATTTTATTTTATATTGATTTTATATAGAAATATAAATATGATTTTCAAATTAGATTAATATAGCGGGCGGCCCTGCTTTCCTCAAAGAAACAGTTACTATATTAATCTCTAACAATTCTCTAGACATAACCACTACATTTAAGCCTATCTAGGTAAAGTAGCGGTATTTACCCGCTTTAAAACTCCATATCACGTCCTATTTGTATATGGTTTCTTCTCATATTATGGATTTTGCATAGAATATATCCAGTTAATATCAAAATTGATTTAGAATACTAAGGTGGAAATAATAATACCGCTCTACCTGGATAGATTTAAGTAGGGGTGGTTATATCTGTACAGGGGGTAGTTTTAACAACTTCCCAAGAGAGAAAGGCTCAGAGGTGAGGTTACTTTAAACGAAAAACATCAGTGTATTTAAGACGGGGTTTGTCGGATTATACTGCCATACCGCAGTACACAATTGAACGAAGCTTATAGAATTGTATACCCGTGCTTGTTCAGCAGGTGATTTCGAATCATTCGAATCTATATTGAAGACGGACACAGGGGCTTCATCATCATACTGCCAGCTGCAGTATCCGACCGGCATAGATGAAAACACACTCTTGACAGTACCTGTAGACTGACCAAATGCGTCACAAACGACCTTACACATATAGGACCTTTCGCGAAATCATTGCACCGGCTCTCTGACACCTCATCACCTTTGCCCAAGATACACTTACCCTGGTAAATGCATAACAAGGTTTAATCCTAAAAAGGTGGCAGAAAAAAGGGATATCCACCATTCTTCACCTTGAAAACACTGAGAAGAAAGCTGTACATGCCCAGTAAAACGGAGCCCCAAATGATGACGGCCACCTGCTGTGTTTTATTGTCGGTAATACGGGGAACTTTCATTGCTAGAGCAATTGTTGCGAAAGAGAGAACAGCGTCTGCGTGTCAAAAAGTTAGCACCGTTGGAAAAGCAGAAAGATAGCAAACCTACAAATAGCGGCAATGATTTGCGTTTCCATGCCGAATTGGTTCGAAAACCCTCCAGCGAAATAGCTGATCCCCCCTTTACCATCCCCTGCGACATATGGTACTTTGCGAATGTGATTGAACATGTGGCCACTGATAAAAAGGAGAATTGCGATTAGGCTAACGGCAGCCCAAAGATTTCGGTTTTGCACCACGGGAAACACGTAGGGTGATAGAACTGTGAAAAGTGTCACCACGCCCATGAAGACAGTCGTGCCCGAGATAATTCGCATGTAGTTAATTGGGCGCACGAGAGGAGGTTTGGGGCCGTCCGGGAGATGACGAGTGATCCATGTATAAAGCTGATCAGCAGAGATGGGACTGCAAGTCGAACAGATTCAGCAAACACCCTTTTTCACCGGGTCAAGATTGTATCTTACCCGCTGAAGTCGAAACGCAATGGTCCATCATCAACCTTGGAGAAAGGGCCTACGGTCGGCGGAAACACAAGGAGAACCGGAGCAGTTTGAAGCATCAGCTTGTGCATGTTAGCCCAGAGGTCATGGAAAACGCAATAGTGTCTATCTCACTTTTTGAAAGGTTTCCTTGCCATTGGTGAACTCAAGAGTTGCGTAAAGCACTTTTAATTCATCGGGCTTAGGACCTTTGTGCCAACTGCGAGATATGAGCTCCCACTCGGGTTGAAACTCGCGACATAAAATGCATCCAAAGCGGGCTTCAGTAGCAGTCAATAGAACAGCGACATGATAGTCACGAGGTTTAGAGGTTAGAACTTGGTAGGAAGAATCGTCCAAATCAATGGGTGCGGACTTTGAGAGTGAGCGGTATCTCTCGAATTTGTCTGTGTCGGAACTGCCACAGAATCCATGAGAAAGTATGGTGATGAATGGAATCAGTAATTTAAGGAGCTTCATCTTTGCATGTCAAATATGCGCGATGGGCAGCGAGAGGTTGGGCAAGGGATTTTAAGGACTGGCAATGGCCATTGATGTCTGCACAGGTTCGTAAACGCGTGTAGGTAACAGTATGATCTACCACCTACTAAGCTATGTCGTAGTCAACCGAGCACTTGCCCATAGCCGCCACAACCATTCCATATCTGATAGGTGTCCACTACTCTAGGTACTGACAGTTACTGGGTCGGGACTGTTAGATAAGCACCAGTATGGTATGGTATTGAAAAGGTACTGTACCTAAGTCATCACTTCGAAAGTATGTGAAGCACTACTCCGTAGAATGAAAGCACTCAATTGATCTCTATCCTCATTCGCGGAGCTTACTATAGTTATGAAAGAAGGAAGTAACCATTCAGGCAATTATCCCACGCACTAATTGTCTATCAGGTACTGTACATTCAACAGCAAGCTAACTTTTCTAGTCCCTCCCGGTAAGCTTTGTATCAAGAAGAATCCGAAGTATACTTGATCAACCACGAATAGATATATGTCAGCGGCGCGCCTGAGGTGAGGTAATGAAATAGGTGCTTTTAGGAGCTACCTATTCGATCGAGATTTAGGACAGTATCTTGTGTGATTCTGGGTCACTGCCTGGCCGCATGGTTTTCTGTTCCGGCAATACACACTTGAATCGATACCCGGGCAGAGAGGGGCAAAAAAGTCGTCGCAAGATGGGATTGAAAACTGACCCATGAATTGAATCATAGTCTTATGCCACAACATGTATCGGGCCTATAGCTTACTATAATTACTGTTATATCCTCCAGAAGAAGATTTTCATCATGTATATCCAATCTTTTTTTCATACTTCGCGGAGCATCTGTTTGTTTCGCCACCTCACTTACAAGAGACACTCCTCCTCGAAAAGATGGCAAGCCCGTCAGCTCAAGGATCACTTCACAAAGGAGGCTGTAGTCCAAGGTCTGAAGAGCCGTGCAGCTTTCAAGCTTTTTCAAGTATTCCCAGCCTCCTGTCCTTATATGCTTTTACATTTCCTGATGATTACCTCACCAGATTGATGACAAATATCGCGTGTTCCAGAGCGGACAGACTGTCGTTGACCTTGTATGGTAGCCAAGAATCCCAGATATAAATGAGCTCAGCCAATTGACTTATCATTCTCAACCAATCAGGGATACGCCCCCGGCTCCTGGTCACAGGTAAATTGACCCTTTCCTCACTTAGGACGGCAGCTCACTTTCATCATAGGTAGCCGTGGCTCGAACTGAACCTGATGGCAGGGTTTTAGGGGTTGACATTATTCCAGCCCAGCCTCCCAAGGGCGTTTCTACAATTCAAGGCAATTTTCTTGACCCCGGAGTTCAGAACTACGTTCGTAACTTCGTGCGTGACCCTAACAGAGGCAGGCCACGCGTTCTGGGTGCACGCAGTGATGACCAGCTCAAATTCGACCAAGAGACCCCCATCGGGATTGCACAGATGTCTACAGAAACTACTGCACTGAATCAGGCCAACGAGAGAACAGTTGATGTGGTCTTAAGCGATATGTCTGCTCCCTGGCACCAAACTACTGGGTTCGGAAAGAGAAGTCTAAGTGATCCCTATGATAGGATGATGAATACGAGCGGCATAAGCTTCAAAGACCACGCTGGCAGTATGGTATGCTGTGCGACCTAAATTTGCGGGCAAGGCTATACTAAATTCTGCAGGATTTATGCTATGCAGCGTTACAGTTCAGTCGTGAGGTTCTCAGGACCGGTGGCCACTTCATTTGCAAATATTACCAAGGCGCCGAAGAGAAGGCGTTTGAAAGACAGCTTAAAGATCTCTTTCAAAAAGTCTACAGGCATAAGCCAGAATCCTCGCGTAATGTAAGCTTTGACTTCGTGGCTGTGCATACATAACATGCCGAAATAATGCTAATATTATAGGTAGGAGTCGAAAGAATCATACTTTATTGGAATCAGTCGCAAATAACCCAACCGTCAAGGATAGGGCCTAGATGTTGCTTGAATACAGAACCTATTGATTGCCATTGCTGTCTGCTTTCCAATGTACTCGCATAGACGAGCCACGATATCGATGTCATGCTTGACCCGATAATCCCTCGCGTTCGTCAAGTTCGGAATCTTCATCCCACTCAATATCGGCAAGCGATGCTTCTGCCGTTGCTTGGACCTTGTTCGGTGTCAGCTTCGTAGTTTCCATGTTCATTCTTGTCGCCTGAGCTAGGCGGTACCCAGCCTGGTCTTCTCTTCCTGAGAAGGGAGGTGATGGAGGGTGCACTGGGTTAAAATAGAGGAAATCAACTCACTTCTTTCAGTCCGCTCAATACTTCGAGATACCCGGGCTCATTCAAAACTCTCAGTACGAAATCCCAGCCATCCTTCTCGAAAGCCCCAACAATATTATCTGAACAAGCGCTACAGAACTTGTAACTCCTGCCGACAACCGAGACATTTTCAAAGGTTGGCAAGAATCCCCGAATTTGATGCGGCAATAGGCCCAATGGATGGTCCCCTCTGTCATGATCCCTTGAAACCGGCGCTGGCGCTGCTGCACCCAGCGGGTGTTGGATAATAGAGACGAGAAGCTCCACAAGCAACGCGGACGCTATGGCGGCCACTCCAGGCCGAGTAACCGTACATTGTTGATCAAGCGTTTGGTCTTTAGTGGACTAGAAAATGTTCAGGTTTGTGGTCAAGAACTAGTGGAGGAAATACTCACATTCATTGGTGCGACGACGTCGTTACAGAAGTAACAGCCAAGCTGTTCTGAAAGCTGGACATCTGATTTGACCCCATGGCGCATCACCACAAAGGAGTCAAACCCCAACGCTGCGTTCATGACGATCTTACCTGCAGCCTTCCCCATGACTGTTGGTAGCCATCGAGATTCTCTTGTGTCCATCAGGAGAAATATTACGTCATGGCAATCAATAAGGTCTCGCAAAGTCTCGAAATCTGCCCGCGTTTTTTCAACATCGATAACAGGGTGACCAACCATTGGTACGGAAAGTACGTGTCCTGCGGACTCAACCCCCGGATAAATCTCAGTTAGAGCTTGCGAAGCTCGATGGGCTTTTTTGGCACCTCCTTCTAGGCAGTCGGTGAATTTAAAGAGCGGCTGCCTTACTGGATTGGAAAATGAGACGGAGCCGTTGTCAATGAAAGTGATTCGAGAAACACCCCAGCCCTGGATGACTTGAGTGACTGTGTCAATGTGGGAAAGAGAGGAAACGACATTACCATTAAATTCCGAGCAACGTAACTGCCTAGCGTGCCTGCTCCTAAGAGGAGACATTTGGTGGCTTTGATTTTTTCGAGATTCAAATTTGGGCTAATCCTCCATTTCATGAGTTTGAGGTTGAGGTCAACGGACTGGTCGGCCAATCTTCATGTACCAGAGAATCTGTTAGCTCGAAAACTTGTACCTTCAGGAAGGAGAAGCTACTTTTGAGGGTCCATATATCCTGTGAGATCAACCAACCGTCCTGTCAGCCTTCCTGAAGGATTGCGCTCCCATCCTGTAACTCTCGGCATGTTCTCCAATGGAGTCAGGTTCGCAGCGCTTGATGCTTGTGCTTTCTTTAGCTTTAGTGTCAACACGGTACTGCGACATTGATGACGGCCTGCAGACACATCACGGTATCTTAGCACTCGGATCTTATCGAGTCTCCAGCGTTGTTTGGCTAGTAACAGAAGATTCCTGAGCGGCCAGCCCGGCGCGTCGTCGTAGTTTGAGGGGTCCGCAAAGACGACAAAACAATCATCAAAGTCCGCATCCTGGAAGAACCCCTCTTCAAAGGATGAAAGCGGTCCAATCTGCCAATGTGGCTTTTGTATGTTTGGTGCATCTCTAGACTTCTGATCCTCAGCCTCTTCCTTACGGCTTGCGCTAGTTCTAACGAAGCATACTCTGCGAGCCAAGAAAAAGCCCCGCTGACGGTTGTCTACCGTTTCGCTCCATGCTTGAACCGCGTGAGCCAGAGCTAAACATTCGCTTTGTGTTAAAGCGTCTGTGCGTCCGACCAGGCTCGCATTTTGGTCGAGCTCCATGTTTGGATCAGATTCGCCCAAAGGTACCCATGGAGGGTCGGAATGCAATGCGGGGAATGCAAACCAGTAGTGAAATTTGTATTTTTTCAAATCCGCATAAGATAGAACGACGAACGAGGAGAGCAGGGAAGGGCTAGAGTAAATACTCCCATCGCGTATAGCAGCCCAAATCTAGACTCGGGCCATCGTTAATGTGGTTTTCGTGAAAAAACAGATACAAGACTTACCATTTCCCCAGCTTGCTGGAGCATATGTGATTTATTAGTGTTCATGTATTCTTCAATGGTGTTAACATTCTTTATTGTGCCCTCGGCGCGGTAATATCCAGCCGGTGTTCTAGATAATCGACAAACTAGTGAGTGGAAAGTTCTACTTGGGTATGCTTGAGTTTTGGAACCATAGAGCATCCAGAGCTTACTCTTCGTTGGTTAGAGCATCGCCGTGTATTTGCATCCGACATGAGGCTTCAGGTGAGTCTGTAGGCCGAAGCTCATAAAGGCCAAGAATCTTGCGAGCCGAGTCATTTAGCTTGTCATGATTGATTTTCAAGGATGTTAGAGCGGCGTAAAATGGCAATTCGATGTCAGAGGCAAATGGCGCGTACTGCATTGTTGTGTTTTAGCTCTGACCAGAAGCCGTGATTTAGAATAGCCCAGGCTAATCAATGGACTTGCTTTATTCAGGTGAAAAGGTAATTGACTTCCAGTGTCGACTCAATGACAAGACCTGCGTTTAATCACTGATGTAGTGTGGTGAGTACAGTGCAGAGCCAAAGGTCCATGAAAGGTGAGGAATCCGAAGGAGGGTGTCTCATTGACATTCTCATATCGATTGTATCTTTCGGACGGTAAGGAGGTCATCTGCCCCAAGGTGGGGTTGGGGTTGGTGGGGCTTTCAACAGAACCTCGGCGCTAAGAAAGTCACCCCGGGCCATCTGATCCGCATTCTAGCTTACTTAGTAGGATTAGCGTGGATTCATAGCAGTACTACTTAAATGGTACAAGATGTGAGAGTGTACAGTACATTGTAAATCAACCCCATGACCTTTGCCCTTGTTAAGTGTACACTGATGATACATTTACAGCACACAAAGCTATGACACGATAATGTGCAAATTGTTATCTCGTAGTCATTGGCGACCGAATGACTACTAAGTCTATCTACCAGTTTCGAATTTGCGAACCAAGAAACCCCTCTCATCTAGATAATCCTTCACTTCGTTGACAGTGTATTCACCACGATGGAACTAACAAAAGGCCGTCAGCAATCAAGCATAAAAGTGCGTGAGATATAGCAAGGATCACATACCATGCCGGCACCTAGAGCCGCATCTGTTGTTGTATTTCGGAATACCTCAGCGAAGTGTTCGGGATTTCCAGCTCCGCTCGACGCAATAACTGGTATCTTGACGGCAGACTTAACATCATTGATCAACTCCAAGTCAAACCCACTGTTGCTTCCATCCCTGTCAATGCAGTTCAGCAGAATCTCGCCGGCGCCCATTGCTTCGACAGCTTGCGCTAGTTGTCGCACGTCAAGGTCTCGCGCCTCTCTGCCACCCTTGATGGTGCACTGATACCAACAGAAAGCCTGCCCGGAACCACTTGGGTACTTTGTCTGGATTGTGTGGTGTGTAGTATCCTCCGGTTGACTCACGTATACACGCTTTGGGTCAACGCTCACTACCACAGCTTGGTTACCATAAGCTTGGGATATCGACTCTATGGCCGTTTCCCCAGTCAGCTTCCCGCCAGCCTTATAATATTCTTCGGCTGCAATAACGGCATCCGACCCGATGCTCACTTTGTCTGCGCCAGATTTGAAATACATGGTTGCGACGTCCAGGGCCGAAATTTTAGTGCCGTCAGTGTCAACGGTGTCTCTAATTCCGCCGCCAATTGTGAGCGGCACGAAAACTGTTTCTGATGTTCTCCTCAAAATCTCCAGCATGGGCGTATCCGCAACTGGACAGTTTCTGAAAGAGGTGATATTCAGAAACGTCACTTCATCAGCACCTTGTTCATAGTACCGTTTGGCCATATCAACAGGCTTTCCCAGGTTTCGGACTTGGCCTCCAGTGCTCATACCGTCTTTCTCACGAACATCATACTGGTCCCCTTTTGTCACGACGAGATCGCCGGCATCGTTTGCACGTACATCGAGACAGGCGATCACCCTGCGTGTTAGCCCATCCTTCTTTTCTGAGAGATGCAATGAGCTCAGGGAAAGCGTCTGCAAACTGTCCCCGTCAAGGAAAGCACGAATTGTTCTTAAACCGGCCTGTCCACTCTTCTCCGGATGGAATTGTGTCGCAAAGATATTTTCCCGTGCTATGGCTCCGACGAACTCTTCGTCGCCGTATGTAGCTGTTGCTACTGACCAACCCTCCTTTTCCAGGAGGCCGGGAGTATAAAGTGCTGCGTAAGAGTGTACGTAATAGTACTTGCTACTAGGGTTTAATCCATAGAAGCTTTGGTTGCCAGTTGTATTGACGTTGGTGTTCATCGCAGAATTCCATCCGATATGAGGAACACTTTTTGTATCGGCGCTGAACTTCTGCATCCGAGCAGGGACTATGCCCAATCCGGGCACCTCGGAATTTTCCTCAGACCCGATGAAAAGCGCCTGTAGACCGACACAAATTCCCATGAATGGCTTGCCCGAGTGAATGTGCTGTCTAATTGGTTCTAGATAACCGCCCTCTGAAAGTTGGGACAGACAATGGCCAAAATGACCGACTCCCGGGAGGATGAGTTTCTGTGACAATCATAGTTAAGTATGTGAAATCGTATATGGGTATCAGATCGGAAAGCCCACCTCCACATTCTCGAGATCGCTCGGGGATTTCACCCATTCGACCTCATATCCAACTTTATTAATTGCATTCACCAGAGATCGGACATTTCCAGCTACATAGTCGAGCAAATGAACAGTAGGCATGGTGTGGTACGGACTCGATTAGTTCCTTTGGCAGATGAATATCCCTTAGGTCAGAGAGCAGGGCCTAACCAAAAGTATGCAAGAATCAGGCAACCAGGAGTAAATCATGCAGACCGCAGAGGCTTTATTCACTGAATAATTAAAAGGACCCTTGGGGGTAAAATGAAAATGCAGAGGGGGTATATTTACTCTAGGCCAGAGAGCTGAGTCATTGCTCGTTAGAACCCGCTTTCGGGGCCTTTTTTTTCCCGGTGCTCTCCACGCGACGCAGTGAGGTGTACTGCCGGCTTATTCACAGCGGTGAGAAGGTCATGCAATGACACTCCGCCTTTCCTACTCAGTTGCATAATCTTGATCAGGTCCTTTCTTATTTTGCAGACATTGAGCTCACCCCGGTCACCGCAATGTTTCTGTGCTCAGCTTGAAACAGACTGTACTAACTCATTATATATAGGGTCCGGCTTAGTCAAATTTATATCGAGCCTGGGAGCTGATGCCGTTTAGCCACGCTGAAATTAGTCTTCACCGGTTTTTTCAACCTATGCTTCTGTAGCTCATGCAATCGGCTGTTCTGGAGTTTATCTTCAATTTTTTTTTGGTTGCTATGCAAGAAAGTATGACATCACTAAGCTTTTGGAATTGGAATGGAAATAACAAGAAGTCATTGTGACTGGTTTCTGGTTTTGTAGAAGCACACCGGTGACCGCGCAGCACTGGTTCTCCTTCATCGGTAATTCATGCACTACTATCGGAACCCTCAAGGTAGATCAGGCCATTGCGAGGCTGTTAAAACGCGATTAAGTCATGATCTAAAAAAACGGTTGCAACACAATCTTACCGGAGAAAACTGCCTAAGCCGTACACCGGCATCTTTAAGGATTGCCGCGCTCTGAAGCTCATTAGCTAAATCACCAAGTAAAGGAGTTAGCAGAAACATACATCATTGTCCATGTTATACCCCTGCGAGTATACAACCTCAGAAATGCCTACTTGGGCAATCTTGACTGTGCAGGTCAAGCAAGGGCATCTGACCAACACTTGTGGTTAGTCATGAATAAGGCAATTCGATAGAAGGAACTTACGTATCACAATACAGTATGGTGCCTTCCCTAATACGCTCTCTCCCAGCTTCAAGCAGCGCATTTTCTTCCGCGTGCAAGCAAAGACATGTGGACAAGCCTCGACCTCCCCCTTCCCCACTGTTACACCTTGGGCCTGCCTAATAGTAAGCTTCAGTGACTTCCAACCTGCAATGGGCCGTTGCATAGGCCCGAGCGTTTCATACATCCACCTTCATTGCAATTAGTCAGGTGCCGTGGAGTGCCATTGTATCCTGTACTTATAACGCGACGCTCTCGAACAAGTACACACCCAACCCTTCTCTTCATGCAGTTACTGCGCTGTGCTGCGAGAGATGCTAGTTCCATGAAATAGTGGTCCCAGTGCGGACGTAACCGTTCCTCATCAGCTAGGTTGATAGCTTTGAGAGCTTTGTGCAATTCCTGTAGCGATGAAGAGGGGTTGAACAATCGAACCTGGGCCCGGTCGGTGAGATAAACACGCCCAATGCTTTTGTCGTAGAGGTGTTGATCACTCCAGAGAACGAATTTTTCAAGGGTTGGGGGGTTGAGCTGCATCTTTCGACGTCTACAGCAAAGGCGTCAGATGTGTTGCAAGCCATACTACACTCCGAACAACTTCATCCAAATGTATGAGTACTGACCTATCGACAAATCGTTTCCATCGAAGACTCACTGGTGCATCGATGCTCACTAAAAGAAAAAAGGGACGCTGGAGAAAACGATCAAGAACAGCGGACTCCCATATTTCTGTCGTGACCCAAAGCCCCTGCCACCTTTTGGTTACAAAATCTAAGAGAGCTTCCGCATTCTCAAATTCTATTCTTGACGAAGAGCTACTTTCCTTCTGCGCACAGCCCGAGGGCTGAAATCGATAATCATCTTCAGACTCGTGCAATGTTCCAGCAATCTCCTTATGTTTCAGTTCTAGGAGTTGGAAGCCTTCCTCCTGGATGAGGTACTCGGCAACAGCATGTTTTCCAGAACATATACCTTTCGCAAAACTATTAGCCTGCGTTGTGCTAAATTCAGGGGGCGGAAGGATAGGTGAGATGTAGGGAAACGAATGAAAAATTCTTTCACGCCGGCCATGCTAACCTCCACACAAGCCGATTAACATGTCTCAGAACTTGATAGTTCAAAGGGTGCTGATGGTACGAGGTTGGCGGAGTAGAGGAGTGCCGAGAAGCACCCGTGACGATACACCTCAATGTCTGCTTAATTTTGAAGGGGACAAGCCGGTAGGGTCTGGAGCAAATTTATTTGGAGCTAGTTGTGTGATAACTAGAATGTATTACACATGACAACATCACGGACACCTCCCCGCTCGGATAATATCCAGAATTATCTAGCCTTGACAGTTGATTTGACGTCTTTCGACTTTACACGTACATTTCCTAGTTTATACATGGTAGTTGGTTTCGAATTTGCGCCTACTTAAAAAGCTAAAATTTGGGTGTATGTTACCAGATGTAGGTCCGTGGCATATACAATTGATATTGTTATGCACCTAGTATGTCTGAAGTATTAAATCCGATCTAAGTTATTCAAGGGGGTCCATGTTGCAGCGTCAAGGCTCGAAGCTTGGGGCGAAGACTCTCATTCAAAGCAGCAGTACCTACCCTCTCTGCGAAGCCGTGTCCCAAAAGTCATGGAACAACGCTAAATTCTCTGATGTATTGAGGTTACTTTATACAGGTATAAATCTACTAATCTTATGCAGGCAGATATATCAAGCTAATAAAAGTAAATTAATAATTATAATCAAGACGATTAGATATCTAATCAATAAATTATATATTGTAGGTATCGTTATTCCTGCTACTTAAAAATATGATCTATATTGGTACTGTTTGATTTCATTTCTTTTAATATTTGTTGACAACAGCTAATACTACTACCCGTCACCACCTTCAGGCATAATATTAATCAGCTGAGTATTTCTTTATTTAATTATATCTTTATTACTTTCTCTATTAATTTATTAACTCTTATAATTTATTTTTTTATTCCTATGTATATTTGTACTGTAGATAGACTCTTGCTCTGACAATATCACTAGTGTTGTTCTATATCTTTTGGGACACGGCTCCGTAGAAGCGTGCTATTTGGATCAGTATTTGACTACCTGGACCACACTACACAGTCTGTTTACTAACTATATCTAATTAAAGCTAAATCTAGTTTAAATCTTGTTATCTAAAAAAATAGAATAGAATATTTAATCTATATCCAAAAAAGCAAAAATCGCTTTAATAAATAAGTTCTCATATTAGTGTTATTGAGGTCTAACATATTAAGAAATTAAGATTTTTAGAATATATTCCTTATAGAGTTTTATTTTTTATGATTTTTATTATATTAAGATCTTTAGAAGAATATTTTTATTTATCTTAACTAAAAAAGGTTAAGTTCTGGAGTTACATGATTTTATTATCTACTTTAGGCTAGTTGTGGTCCTAGTGGTCTTCTACAATTATTACATACTGAACTGACATCATGTGACTGCCATGAAAGAAAGACCACTATCATCTACCTTAGGTCGCCACCACCTCTTTATCTATTTCGCCATTCACAGACAATCCTTTCTCGAGATCTCGCCAAGGCCTTCCTTGCCTTTGTCGCTCTCCATACCCTTCCAGAAGTTTTCTTTAGAACTTGTTTCTGATTCTCTGTGAATTGGATCTTTCTCTCCGCCTTTGTGCACCTGCGACCGGACAATCCTCTAAGTCACCTAGGAATCTTGCTGCGCGAGTATATTAGGATCCCTCCTTCGCTCCTTCCTCGTTCTCTTGTCTACGTCCATTTGTGAACCCATAAGCTGTCGAGTTTCACACACCTATCGCTATCGCTTTACTGTTGAGGCTCTTCACTCACTGAGCCTGTTGTCATCGCAGGTTAGGAACCCGGACTAGCTCAAATTTAGCTTGATGGACTAGCAAAGTCCTCGAAGCTCAGTTAAAAACCTATTCCATCCTAACCCAGAACTGCTTGCATCGTCTTTGTATTCGTCACAACCGTCAGACTTGTCTGTATACAGTCATCCCAAAACATTGACCACCCAGCTTAGAGGAAAGGTCTTCATTATATTACCGAGCAACGCCTTCGAGTAGGGTCTAATTCTTCGATCCCTGGAATTGATTATACGAGACTGTTTGCAAGTCATTCTGTTATCTCCGATCTGCAAGCCCTCTCGTTCGTTGCTGTTACCATCTGTCTACCTTGTTCTCCCGTGTATTCTTGTGAAAGTGGCATTCCTCTTTTGATCTAATTACATTGACAACGCAATCATTGGACATCCAATTGAATAAAATGTCATCCTCTGTTCATTTCAAGTTCAAGTCCCAAAAAGAGCCCTCCAGGGTAACTTTCGATGGCACCGGTATATCCGTCTTCGAGCTGAAACGAGAGATTATCAATCAGAGTAGGTTGGGTGATGGAACCGATTTTGAGCTTTCTGTCTACAATGAGGATACTGGAGAAGGTCAGTCAATTGTTACAGTCTGCTTCGCAGTACTTTCGTTTTCGGCAGCATATATCTTACGGGAGCTGAATGTCAACGTATGCTGATGACTTTCTATTTTCGACTAGAGTACGATGACGACACCAGCATCATACCGCGGTCGACATCGGTCATAGCTCGAAGGCTGCCAGCATCGAGACCAGGGAAAGGCGGCGCCGCGCGTTATGTATCTGGGAAAATGCCGCTCAATGCACGCAGCGTTCCTCGTAACGAACAGCCTTCATCAGTCCGAGGCGCTCTCAATAGTCAACCCATCAGCAACGGCGTCCTCGAACTCAACAATGCGCAAACTGAAGAGGAGAAGATCAATGCCCTTTTCAACTTGCAAGCGCACCAATGGAAAGAGCAACAGCAAGAAATGGCGAAGTAAGTACTGGAAGTTTACGTCCACAGGATCACTTCTTGCCACGAGAGCGAAATCTCCTAATCTCGTACAGTGCCACACCTGTTCCTTTCGGCCGTGGGAGGGGTAAGATTATAAACGGAATTTCTCAAGAACGCCCTATGCCCCCTGGGTATATATGTTACCGCTGTCGTGAGAAGGGTGAGTCATGGCATGTAACAAGGCATATGGAGAGGCTAGCTAATCATATATATAGGCCATTTCATACATGAATGTCCTACGAATAATGACCCCAAATTTGATGGCAAATATAGAGTGAAACGCTCAACTGGGATACCGAGATCACTTCAAACCAAAGTAGAGAAGCCCGAAAATCTCACTTTGGATGCCTTGAATGAGGATTCAAGGAACACAGGCGTAATGGTCAACGCTGACGGCGATTTTGTTATTGCTAAGCCGGATAAGGCTGCCTGGGAGCTTTATCAAGAAAAAGCCAAGGCTTCTGCTGCTGCTGCTGCTGAAGCAGCAGCAGCTGAACGCAGCAAAGAGCTTCAGGCACGTGGCCTAGAATGTCCGATAGATAAAAGAATGTTTCTGGAGCCTACAAAGACCCCATGCTGCCAGAAAACGTACTGCAATGATTGTATTGCAAATGCGTTAATTGAGAGTGATTTTGTTTGCCCTGGATGTGGGACAGAGGGAGTTCTTCTTGATAATCTCTCTGTCGACGATGAGGCCATCACCAGAATCAAAGAATACGAAACTGAGAAGACAGATCAAAAAAAAGAAAGAGACAAGCAGACAGTGGACCAAGAGGTCCAAACCAACAACAGAGCCCCGGTTTCAGGCCTGGTCTCGGTTACGGCAAAAGAGAGTCCTCCTGCCATCGCCCCTTCAAATGCGCCCGTGTCTTCGAAAAAACGGCTTGCGGATGCTGAACCTAACAACGTGGCCTCCGGAAGTATAAGTCCAGGTTCATCCCTTAAGAAACAAAGAAAAAGCGACTCTCACAACAAACAATCTGGTGAGTCGCAGACTACACAGACCCAAGAATCTTCCAGTGGCTTGCAACCGCCCCCTTTCGGCCAGCAGATGAGTTTTGGGGGCCTTGGATTTGCTCCAACTCAGGGAATGGCGGCCATGCCATTCCCTGCTCCTGGGTTCAGTGCTGAAGGGCCCGGTTTCCCGACCTTTTTGGGCATGCCCCCAGCCAATGCGTTCCCCTCCAACATGAACCAGGTCTGGAACCCGATGAACGGTGCGAATTTCAATCAGCTTCCTGGGGTAATGTATGGTGACCATATGAATGGGTATGGCGCAAATATGTTTGGCAGTGCGGGAGATTCAAGTTTCACCATGTTTCCTATGTCACAGATGAACGGACTAGTCCAGTCGAACACCGACTTTTCGCAAGCCTTGGAAATGGGCCAGTTTGCAAACCAGCAGCGTACCACTTTTAGTACCCCGTTCGCCAGAGAAGAGGATACCGCATATTTTCGTCAGCCTGTCAACCCACAGCGGCACCAGGCAAGACATCGAAGGACAAGACCGAGCGATTACAGGGAACTTTGAGAAGATGTCATGGTGTTGGACACAGCTTCCTAATCATGTTCTTCTTTTTTGGTGTTGGTGCCTATAACCCTCTCAGTTTGTTTTCCTGCTTAAATTCCTCTTCCTCTTCCCCGCCCCGCCTCGCCCCCAAAACCACAGAAACCCAACCCGTGTTTGTCTCCGTACCATCACGTTCCCAGGGCGCATAAGATATGTATTTTTTAGAAATGCATCAAATCATTGAAAATTTGCCTAATCGCTACCAACTTGATCAAGGGCTTTGTGCGGTAATTCTAATGGTGAAGATTTAATGACCCATAGATCAAGTACATTGTAAAGTAGAAGTCCCCATCTTTCACTCAATCTCACTCGTACTCCCGTTGTCAGTTAGTGAGACCGACAGCCTGGGTGGTCAGATGATGCGTGCATATTGAAAAGGCTGGACCCACCTGTGACCCCCCTTCCGTGACCTGTCAACTGACTCAACCACTCCCCCAGTCTGTCACATCATTCAACACAGCAATTCACTGGTCAACATCATCTAATTCATTTTCATTGCGATATCCTTCTAATCCTAAATCTTCCTCAATCTATCTCTCCTCGAGCAGTCTAGTGACCCGGAAAGTCTTCACTAAACCTACGACCTGCGGAAGCTCAGTCAGTGCCAGTCCGAACCGTGTAATCAGGCCATTGATTCTCTCCAACGAACTTCCACCATGTCCAAATCATCAAATGACATCAGTAGTAGGCGCTTCCAGTTGCAACAGTGCCTCGAGAGATCTTTTCAGGCTAGCGTGCTTGCAAGCTGTTACAGTGTGAACACCACCGCCTCCACGGTCACGGGGTTCCACTACTGCACTACAGTGGGCACCGGTAAGATACCTCTGCCTCCAAGAAGGTGACTATCAATGATCACATACCGAGGTAACATGGTTTCCAGGGGCACAGTGGTATCCCTGAGGTCCCCTCGGGATATAAATCGCCTTCATCTCCTCCCCTCGATCTGTCCCTCCTCCCTGGTCTGGGAGTCAGCTGGTCGGGAAACAGCTTATCAGAGCATAAAGGGGAGGCAGCGCATGCTATCCCGGAAGAGTGTGAGAGGCTCTTCTGCGAACATATGTCAGTGATTTTCCTTGGTGAGAGGAGATTCATTGGACAGGATTCGCCTGGAATAGGTGCGTATCAAAGTCGACCAGCTATTGCCGAGTCCGAGCACACGCCGATTCAACATTGGCTTGAGGTTTTGGACTACACGAATGACATCACTTATCGAGGCTTTGTGGCCAGCACGAGTGATGGCCAACCAACCGTGTTCGTGTTCTTCGACCAAGCTTTGGGCCACAGCCTTAAAACAGGGTATGACATCTCAAAACTGCTCCCGGAAATTAAGCTTATTGAAGTTCTGGCTCGATCTAATATTGAGTTTCTCCAGATTGGTGGCGTTATTCGAGCTCGCAAGCATTAGCATATTTGGATGCTCCCAAATTGTTGCCTGCATACCGCGTTCGCGGGATACAGTTGAGCTCGAAATAGTCAGGAATTTTGGGTGGTGTGGATTTAGCCTGACTACCCTTCAGCAGTGGAGTGTCGGAAATGCTCCTTATTCTCTAAGTGATAGATGGCTCTTTCTACTCGCCGAGGTCTAATCAAACCAGCATGGCCGTTGCATATTAGTGATTGAATTTAATTACAACATGGCTGTTCATATGTGATACTCTCCTAATTTTTGTAATAATTCTCTTGTCTATCTAGCACCAAATATCTTTCCTAGCATGTCCCAGATAATTGAAGCGTTTTCAGTCTACTAAATGCTATCCGATTCAAACCCAGAACGACATAACAACCTTAATAGGTGTAGAAAGTAATGGACGCCACTGCTGGGACTGATTCGACATGCCATAATTGGATACAGGATTATTCTTCTACTCCTGACTATTTAGACCTATTCGGCAACTTGGACCACTAACCTTGAACTAGTAGTTAGATAAGTAAGCCCGTGGCTGCACGCTGATGTTGCGCGCGCCAAGCAATAAAGTGGCCTGTCACGGCGGATCACGCGGAGATGACCTCAGTACTATGATATAGTAACTATAAGGTGGTTGGCCATCTAAAAAAATAACCTTTAATTAGGCATCTGTTTGTCTAACATGAATAAATCTATGTCCATGCTTCTGTTATTGCTACTAGGAAGTACGAACGCTCATAGCTTAGCTTTGATGTTTCCTAAATTTCTTCTTTATTCAGGTATCGTTCGCCCCAAACACCGCGGACTGTCCTCTGAACTCGGCCAGATACCTTGTTCGGACGAGAGAAACAACAACGGCAATGAGAGAATATTGAATGGTCATGTGTCCTGCATTCGATGCTCTCATTGCGCAGCAGATCTATGCTTGACATCGCAGATAATTAGCAAGGGCTTCACCGGCCGGCATGGCCGTGCATTACTTGTATCTGCAGAAACGGTTGCCAGTGCAATTTCTATTAGTGCATCTTCTGCAACAACTGAATGTCTGCCAAATACCATCGTACAGAAGCCCGTCTTCAGAAGATTAGTGACTGGTGCGCACACAGTGAGCGATATAAACTGTGCGCTCTGTGGAACGGTGCTTGGCTGGAAATATGTCTCCGCAGAGGAGGAATCACAGCGGTACAAGATCGGGAAGTTCATCCTAGAGACTGAGAAGATTACAATATCTTCAGTCTGGGAGTCTGCTGACTTGCCTACTGATCCTCCTGTTTCATATCCCGAAGGGCCTAGGCCCAAATTATCGGCAAAACGCATGGAATTTGATAGCCAGGACGAGGATGAATGCGAAGACCTTTTCGCAGGAATCTGGAGTCCTGGCCTTGCCATGCGCCGAAGAAGTCGCAAACTCGATCATGATTCACCTTTATCCAGACTCACCCCGTCATGATCCAATCCTACGGGTATACTGTCCCGGAAGCAGCATACTTCAACTTAGATACAGAGGGCCCGTGCTTAACAATTGCCAACCCTTTGACGCTGTTTGTCCCTGGCCGAGAGCAATGGTGTTTTGCATTGATAGTCTGCAATGGGTCTCGAATGCTATACCTGCCAATAGGCCTATGTGTCCGAGGCGCCACAATCTTTGTTATTATTGACCTTTTCCGCCTTCCAGCGGGGAGGTACACTTTCACTCAGATCTGAAAATGCCCATACATAATGTCCTTGATTGAAGGGGTATCGTAATGCACTATTGATTAAGCACAGCAATAAAATCACATCCAGAGCCTGCATTATTGATGTGGGGAGAGTACTGCGCCCGTGATTGTGGTGAAACTGGACACACAATGGTTTGCCAGCTGTTATCTAGTCAGTATTACTGGTGTCGGTTGTTCGGGCTCTTTTCGTTTCGAAGTCTTGGGCGTCAACTCCAGTTATACGCCGTTTCGCCGTCTCCCCGCTTTGGGATTGAGAGGCACCCGCAGGCTTCCGTTTCACAAATGCGGATAAGTCGTTCGCATTTTTGGTAACTGCGTCTAGTCGAGCCTTCTGTTCAGAAACCGGCTGTCCCACAATTTGACCCAGAATGCCTCTGAGCATGGTATCCTCCACACCACTGGCATTGAAGGATGACGCGGAGGGGCGTTGGAGATCAATAAGCTGTCAATTCATGTGAGATTCAACGATTTTCGGCACAAGTAATAACCCAGGGCAGTTTCTTACCCTTTGCTCCATGTCAGAGATTATGTCCTTCACATTGGCTATCCTCCTTTTCATGGTGGTTTCCTTGTCTTCGTCTAGCGAATTACTAGCGTCCAATTTCGCCTGTTCCTGGGACATCCTCACTCGACAACTATCGATAGCGTGCTGCATATGGGTAACAGCGTCTTTCCTCATTGCTTCATCGACCTTATTGTCTTCCCCATCATCATCACCTCTGCTCACCGACCCAAATTCGAGGGCGAGGGAAAGCTTGTAATGGCACTCGGCAACGGAGGGGTCTTCCATCGGGAACATCGACTGTCTTAGACTAAGAGCTGTCCTCAAATCTGCCACAGCATCTGTAAATCTTTCAGCTTCGAGTGAAATCTCAGCTTGTAGATCATATGTGTCGGCAAGCCGTTCTTTAAGTTGCTCTAGGTTTGACGGAGCCCCAGCAGATTTTCCTTTCCCTTGCTCTTCCTCCAACGCATCTAGTTTTTTCTGAAAAAGTATACGTGCCAAGTCGAGGACCTCATAAGCATTAGCAAAGTCATCCTCATCTTCAGCGACCTGGCTATCAGCCTCGTCCTCAGTATCGGACTCGTCAAAATTCTCATCGCCTGTGAATTGAAAGTATGACCTGCTCGTGCTTTCGCTTGACTTAGCCTCAACTTCATGCCCTGGTCCTGCGACCTGCGCCTCCGTGATAGCATTTTGAATGACCTTTCCTGCTGTCGGAGACGGTTTGTCTGACTGAGAGGGGGGCTCCGTGGCCACTTTTGTTCCGAGAACGTCGCTTTTGCTAACAGCGACGTTGTATAGAGCTTTCCCGTATGCAAAGAGAAGATCGGCGTTCTCGAGTGCCAGTTCGCCATTCAGCTTCGCCTGGAGCTCCGTGGCCTCGGAATAAAGCTCAGCGGCAGCATTGAAGTCTTTGATGGCATCCTTCGCTGCAGCCTGACTAACAAGATTGTCCAATGATGCCTGGTGATCACCGTCGAATCTTGTTCGCGGAGAGGCGGCACCCGATTGTTTATTTTCCGTCATGACAGGTGTCTGACAAGAATTCGGAGTGGTTTGCCTGAGAAGAGAGTCAGTTGCCATAAGAGAAGGCCATCGGAGATAGCGAGTGAAGGTATCAATACAGAGTCCAATTTCAATAAATGGCCCAGGGCGAAGCGACCGTGCAAGCAGAAAGGTACCAAATCAGATGATCAGGACAGAGAGGAAGCTTAAGGGCTCTAAACTTGTGAGGACGAATCGTCTTGGAGAAGAGCTCAGCGTCAAGTTGCTTTTGACGGGGTTTCCGACGGAGTGGAGAACCCCAGGCCTGCCGCGAGACCGACAACTACAAGTACTCGTGGACGTGCGCGTGCCGCGCGCGACACCACGCGTCCCGCTCGGGCAGGGTAGCTGACTGTCTTGCGCTGATTTATTTTTGGTCTCAGATATTGCTGCGATCACCGACGACGCAGCAACACACTCGAAGGTATATTGTTGACGGGCAATCTATTATCCACGACGACGTTAGTGCGGATATTGTTGCCTCGCAGAAATATTTGCACCATCTACCGCTTGGCAATTGTTAGGGAACGAAGAACACCTCTTGACATTATTGACAAGCACCCGGGACCCTAAGCATGGATATGGACCCTGTCCCTTCATCCTCGCCTGCGTTTGGTACACCCGCATATACTTTTCGAAAGAGCAGGTCCAATCCAGTTCCTGCACGAACCTCGATACTTCCCATCTTACTTCCACCTTCCACTCTTCGTCCAGTAGCCTTCCGGACTTTTACGCGGAAGCACAACTTGACGATCTCATCGTCTGCTCTTCAAACCTTAGCGGGATTTGTGGGAAGGAACTGTGGCTCAGGGTGGCGGGAAGAAGGCCTTGCTGAACGGGTACTGGATGAAGTAGCCAAAAGCTGGAGGAAAGCCGGAGGTGGTGTGATTGTCGACGAGGGCAAGGGGGCCTCGCTGAAGGACATTTTGCAAGTCCTCGAGGGCAATATGATTGGGGGAAAACTGATCGGTGGGAATAAACCGGCTAGTAAGGCTCCTTCAAGAAACAGAAGCCCAAACCTAGACAACAGGGGCCCGATTTCGGAGACTGTCTCTGCAGCAAACGTACTTGACGGCAGCGAGTCTGGAGAGTCTGACTTGGCTCTACACCCACGGCAATGGTTGAAGGTTATTGAGGCCTTCGACATTCCGCGTCTTACATATCACGGCGACATGAAGTATTTTGAAATCGCTAAATCCAAGCCCTCGCTATTTCCGCCACCGTCCCATAAAACTGCCTTATTCAGGGACCGCTACAACATTGTTCATCAACGGTTGCTTCGAAACGAGTCTTTCCAAACATCATCAGGGCTATCAACTCAGTCGTCATCGCAGCCGACATTGTCCAGCTGGTCTACCCATCAAGGCTACAGACTGACACCGGTTGCAAATTTGCTAGGAAGAACCGGGACTTCTCATCTAATTTTTGGTTTACTGTTGATGTCGCCCACGGGGGAACTTTCGCTAAGCGATCAAACAGGGAGCATTGTTCTTGACCTGAGTCATGCACGCATTGTACCAGAAGACGGTTCTTGGCTTGTTCCCGGAATGTTTGCTCTTGTGGATGGGGTATATGAAGAAGAAGCCCATGTTAAGGGATCCTCACTTGGCGGTAACCCTGGTGTTGGGGGAGCCATTGGAGGGAAATTCTTAGGCATTTCTATCTGTGGGCCGCCATGTGAGCGCCGTGACATTACCCTGGGAACAAACAGTCGACAAAATAGCAGCGAAATCAGCTCAAGCGGAGGACTTGGCTGGGTTGACTTCCTAGGTGCCGGGAGTGAGCGGGCACAAGGCCCACGCATGAGGCAAATACAGGCTCAATATCTTCAGGATGCTAATTATAATACTGAGGATGGTCGCCGACTTCGGATGGCCATCATGAGTGAGGTCAACCTTGACAACATGGGGACTTTAGATGCATTAAAAAGAGTCTTCAACCACTACAACGACTTGGACGTGGCCGACCTTCCTGTGGCATTCGTTTTAATTGGGAATTTTGTGCAGAAAGCAACAATCAACGGCAGTGGTTTAGCGGGCAGTATCGAGTACAAAGAATACTTTGATGCATTATCCTTGACGCTTTCTGAATTTCCCCTGCTGCTACAGCACTCGACTTTCGTTTTCGTTCCGGGTGACAATGATCCATGGTCGTCAGCCTTCTCTTCTGGTGCTGCTTCCACAGTACCACGTCATGCTGTCCCAGAACTGTTTACTACCAGAGTGAAACGTGCATTTGCTACGGCTAACGCACAGGTGAATCACTCGAAGACGGATGAGCCGCCTGGCGAAGCAATATGGACTTCTAATCCTGCGCGTTTGACCCTGTTTGGACCTCTTCATGACATAGCCATATTTCGAGATGATATATCGAGCAGGCTTCGACGCAGTGCGATCAGGGTTGGGCCAGACGCTGACCTAGACGTGGCCGGCGCCAGTGGGAACAATGGCTCCGAGGTTGAATACCAGTCAGCTCCTCGATTGCAGCATACACCTCCTGATACGAACGCGATGACTTGTTCGACATCAATTGCTCGAAAGCTTGTGAAAACAGTCCTAGATCAAGGAAATTTATCTCCTTTCCCACTTTCTCTGCGACCTGTCCTATGGGATTATGCATCTTCACTTCAGCTATACCCACTGCCTACTGCACTCATCTTGGCGGATCCAGAGTCAACTCCGTTTTGTATTACATATGAGGGCTGCCATGTCATGAACCCAGGGAGGTTTGTCCAGGAAAAGGGACTACCTTTTGTTCGATGGATAGAATATGATGTCCTCACGAATAAGGGACGGGTAAGAGAAGAACGATACTAGCCATATCTACTCTTGAGTGAATATGACTTGACTGAATTACAGACACGAACATAACCGTTCTGTCCAATATATTTCGATAGTTATGCTGTGACAACATTGCAAGATAGTGACCCATCACTGACAGTAGCGAAACCAGAAATTATCGAGTAAGCTGGCTCATCTCTGTGACTAGCATACTATACTTGAATAGATCAATGCTGTGTTTGAAACTCTTACTCTCCAGAATTATCGTGCACAGTGAGCCTAAGCGACCCAGATATCCAATGAAGACGTGGAATCAATTTCAGGCGAAATGGAACTCAGACAGGCTGTATGGTAAATGTAGATAGAGGGATTGCTAACGGCCTACGAAAGTAGAAATGAGAACGAGCGCTTCGAGATGTCTGTCAATGCAACCTGCTCCAACATGAATTAGGCTGATTATTTCCACTTCGAAAGCGATTCTAATCAATCATGATGATATCGGCACTATTAGTAGCACCGGGCTCGGCAAATTGTGACGAATCACGAGGTACTGGTTCAGTCACCACAGCTTCAGCAGGTGCCGTGGACTTTCTTGGTTTGCTACTCGATTGCTCCGCGGTACCCGAATTAGGCCTGGAGGCGGTAACGCATCTGTGTAGTTCTTGCAGAAGACTTTCAACCCGGTCAAGCTCTGCAATCACGCCACTTCCAAGCCCTCTCCAGCCCTCACCCTTGGCATGATATAGTGTTTGCTGCACTTTGGTGGATATATGACTAACTTGGCCGGAATGAGGCCCGGAGTTGCTCACATCGCTAAGCACCCAGACTAGGCGATTCGAACGCGTTCTGGCAACTAACCGAAAGTGCACAGCCGCATCAGGGTAATGAATGATATAGGTCATTGCGTTGCGCACTATGACCTGCACTTTTAGAGACTCGCTGCGAGAAGTGTTGTCCATGAGCTTGTCAAAAGCTCTCATAAGAGGGAGTGTTTTTTTCAGGAGTTCAGCAATGGTTTCCATGCTGGCCCCAGCCGAAGCACGATTCAAGCTAGAGGCAAGTGATCTCTGGATTCGACGATGAGGATTTGAGGAGTCGAATTGCATGCCTAGCTCCAAACGGAAGATCGAATCCGGCCTAGATGCAAGCTCGACCGCATCAACCTCTGAAAAGGAGGGATGTCTTATGATTCCAATCTCAAGCCTGGCAGAGAAATCTCTCTTGGGCCCATAAGTAAAGGATATTCCAGACAGAGATAATGATGTGACCTCTATCTTTTTTCGTTGCAATGTCTCTAAAATAGACAACACGCATTCGAGTCTCTGTAGATTTTCTATGAGACTAACGATGATAGGTCGACCTGTTGATGCAAGAAGGCGAATAGCAAAGCCGTTGCCGTTCTCTTGAAAAACTAATGAGTGGTCCCATCTGCGAATAAGGGCACTGAAAGCTTTCACTGGAATATTCAATCTTCCGTAGGCACCTATGATAGCGACATTTTTCAGAGGATCAATGCCGAGGAAAGTAAGACGAATAGTCTCTCTGACGAACCCTTGCCTTTTTATCCTTGCGGGTAAGACCATACGTAAGGCGTTGGGAAGTTTTGCAGGCTCATATCGAAGAGAGAGGTCTGGAGTTTTGGAGCCTGCCTCAATCTTCAGCTTGTGTACAGGTGGGTAAAATTTGATAGCATCCAAGTCAGCCAAATAAAAGGAATTGGCATAAATGGTCAGAATGCCCGATAGACTGTGCCCAAGATCTGCGAGAGACGCATAGCTCTTCTCAAGCTGAGAAGGAACGAAAGTGTTCCTGACGATCTGAGCAAAACGATAAGCGGAGCGGTTACCAAGCTTCACACCGTATGCTGATTGTCTCCTGGCTAGCGCCCCGGGTCGAAACTGAACAATCCACCAACTATCACCATCCATGCTGCTCGTCGCTGCCACAATCCAATTTCGTTCCCAGAGTCTGTGACTGAAGAAAGAGAAACGCAGAATATTTGGTGGGAAGATTCTGCGGACGTCTATATTCAACGCCCTTGGATTTATCACGTCGAAGCCGAGCATCTTCAAATAACTCTCGACTTCTTCTATGGCTGCAATGCAGCGGAGCCGTGCGACACGAGTAACTATGTCATCAACAGAAGACTTGTCCAGGGGTCGATCATGATCAGGCCGCTCTAACGCAGTCGGTGTAGTGGAAAAGACGTTCGTGCCTGACATTGACTCCACTGAAACCTTGAGATGTCTGGTTTCCGTGAGTTGAACTTCAAGTAGGCAGTTACCTGGCTCAGTAGCTGTGAGCTGGGCTCGCAAGGACAACGCGCTGGTTGAATAGAGTAGGCTTTCGCCTATGCTATTATAGGCCGAAGAAATGATGTGAGTTATATGCAGAGCAATAACACTCCGGAGTAGACGCTCCATGGAGAGATTCGTCGTGTCAAAGTCAATGCCCCCAGAACTGATTTGCTCTCCGTCTCTTATCCAACGTAGTCCCAGGTAGGGTGGCACAGAGGCCCCTAGCTTAGACCCGCGACGGCCGCGATTGAGTCCAACTTCTACCCAGCTCTTGTGACCAGGCTTTCGTGCCCAGTAGTGAACAACAAGGGTCCGATGCAACAGCTCGATGCGCAATACATCAGCCCAGAGTCCTCTTGCCATTTCGATGGCTTGTTTGAAGAGGACATTGATCTTATTGGTAAGTACCAGATTATGCAATAGATCAAAGCAACCAGGCAAACCGTGGGTTTGAAGTACATCATTCACTTTAGATTCAAGCTCGTTGAAAATTCGACCCTTCGGAATGGATGACGATGGATGGAAGAGGAAGCGGATATCCACGAAATAGTATTGCGATATCCCACTACCTTCCCCAATAGACAGATCAAGCTCAAATTCATTAGGTACCATGAACGTGACTCGACCATCATGAATACGGTATGTTTGGAAGGAAGGGGGAAGCTCATCATGCAGAGCAAGACGTGTACTCAAAAGTCTGTTAATCTTTCGTAACTTTCTTAGCGTTCTCTTTGGCGTTAAATTCCTAGGAGGCTTGTAACCGAGCTGACACCACGTATTAGATCTCGGAATCAGTATCCCAACATAGAATGAAGCTTACATCGGACATTGACGCTACTTTCCCCTTGGATAACACCTCTAGGGAGGTTCTGATATCTGGATTCGCCACTTGAGCCTGAACGAGGTTTTTCTTCATGTCTCCAACATATTGTAACGCTCCTGTGTAGGCTTGGTGGCGTATGCGTATAAAATTTTGAATGTCAATTAGCTTGCTGACATCCGCAGCTTGTCGACCCCACTGAGAAAGGACGAGAAGCTTGATGAACTCAGCACGTTTAGCATGAGCAAACTCGAGTACACGGAGCTTCTTTTGTATGTTCTCAGGCGACTGATTGTCTTGCGGCTTCCCCGCGATGGGAACCGATGCATATACTGAATCATGAGGAGCTACCTGAATCTCTGCCAATTCGGTGATCATATCGAGCAGGTCATTCCAGCATTGCTGAGCTGATCTATTGAGCAATTTCGAGAAGAGAAAGAACCCTTGCGTCACGTGAAACAGTTCTGGTAACTCTCTTGTTTTCGCTGACACAGATGTGACGGTCGAAGCGTCAGGGCGATGAGCGGAACTTCTCTCCAAGCCGTTCGTATGGAAAGAGCCATTTTGAAAGACATTAGAGCCTTTTAATGATGTCCCCTCTCCAGGTTCATACGATACGCCGTTCTGCGAGTTGTGGCCTGATCGCTGTATATGTTCGCCGACATTGGCAGTGTCCATGACGACGCCCGGCATGTTCCACAAGGCATAAGCAGACGTCCAGTTGCTCCAAACCCTCCCCTTCTCACCCTCTGCACGAGAAAAGGGGAGTAATCTGATGCAGGACCGTGTCTACCCTAAGCTGCAAAAGCCGATTTGGGAAGGGGTGCGAATCCGCAGCACACAAATAATCACACGTCGAACTAGAGACGCAGCATATAGCTCACATAGAATAATGACCATCAACTGAGACGTAGGTATCGAAGACGTATCACAATAAGTATCAGATGCGCAGTTTAGTTTACTCGTAGGGTGACGAAGGCGCAAAGGGACCTGGTGCTCGGCCGCGGGCTTAATTTGTTCGAGCAAGGAGATTTAAATGATGAACGGGTGGTTGTTTCGATCGGTGATAGATGCTGTCAGGCCGCTTCAGATTATTGTTGGCTATAGCTGCTCTCGTGGCAGGATTCGTGTCCAAGACCAACAGGCTCGGGTGCGACACAAATGTTGGTCGCTTTGTTCGTGATATGAGTGGCGTATAAAACGGATAATAGGCAATCAAATTGGAAGCTAGAAGTTTGCAAGTGAAAACAGTATGGAGGCACAAGCCTATGGCGAAGATACCAGTGGTTTTGGTTGAGAGACTCTGTGGCTGGGGAATATCCGTTTGGGAGGTCGGATTCCGGTAAAGGATCAGGGCAAATAATTGATGAACGAAGCCGGCGCGATGCGCTGCAAATGCACGAGCCCCAGGTCCAGCCTCAGCGAGTGACACTCAGCGAGTAGTTGGCTCTGGGTGTCTCGGGATTACATAACATTAGAAATTACTAAATGCAAGTCTGTGCCCGAAGTAGGATTAGTGTACTATTATGGTGTGATCCGCACGCCGTACGTCAGCGTACTCCTTAGTGCCACTGTCCTGACAACATCTCTCTTCCTGTATTGCAATAGCATAGCTGGTTTCGTGCGTCCACTACTATGCTATTATTTATAGTCCTCTCTATCATATCATTGTAACTCAGAGGGCTCGATTTGCACAGTATAAAAGCACTGTTTTTTTTGTATACCATGTGCCTATATCACCACAAATATTCTCTTTTGGCTGTGTCATAGATCCTCCCTATCCTCTCTTCACCTCGAGTGACAGTAGACACAACTCGGTTCTTGAACTGGCTACAATCGCAAGAGATCGTCTTGATTTGTCTTGTCTGGACTGGTGCTGTGAGCTATCACCAACCATATTCAGTTTTGCTCTGTTAACAAGATTTTCACAGACCACATTGACTCCTAGTACAGCTAAGCAAGCACTGTTATCTCTGTTGGCTATACAAGCCGTTTCCAACATCTTCTTGGCATCATGCAGAGGAATCAAGTAGCTGAAGCAAATCTTCCCCAATACCCAGGTGATGATATACGTCCCACGAGTAAGAAGGAGCTCGTCGGTTGGTACAGCTATGGGTGGGCAGCAGAGGTTTTTGCTGTATGTGCCATGGGTACGTTACAAACCGATGCGCTGTTATTGGTCTTTAGACCCTTTATACCCTAACTGGGATTTTCTAGGGTCATTTCTCCCCATTACCCTGGAGCAAATGGCTCGGGAACGTGGAGTCCTTCTATCGGATCAATCAATCCCATGTAGTGCAAGCTGGAATCACTCAAGAAGCCATGCACAACCAGCCCTTCTGTATGAGAAATCTGGGGCACACAGGGTAGCCCAGTGCGTTGTTAATGTTCTAGGATTTCAAGTGAACACTGCAAGCTTTGCTATGTATACGTTCTCGGTGAGTGTCTTTGTTCAGGCTATTCTGATTGTGTCAATGTCGGGTGCTGCCGACCATGGGAGTCATCGCAAAATGCTTCTGGTGCTTTTCGCTTTCGCTGGCTCCGCTGCCACCATGGTTTTCCTTGCAATCTCGCCGAGCTTATATATCCTAGGTGCGCTGTCTGCAGTTGTAGCCAACACTTGCTTCGGGGCCTCTTTCGTGCTTCTCAATTCGTTCTTGCCCTTGTTAGTCCGTCATCACCCTTCGTTATTGGCAAAAGAAGTCGATGGCTCTCCTGTACCGGTCAGTACAACTATCAGCCACAGCGATGCCCCAGCATGTACCGCTCCACGCGGTGAACCAGCGGAGACGACTCCGCTGTTTCGATCCAATCGTTTGCGTCATATAGCAGATTCCCAACATCTCCTTGCCCGAAATAACCAAGAACTCGAAATTTCGTCTACAATCTCCTCCTATGGAATCGGCATTGGCTATATTGGTGCGGTGATACTACAAGGAATCTGCATTGCTGTGGTCTTCGCGACGAAGCAAAGTACTTTCTCGCTGCGTCTTGTGCTATTCTTGATCGGGGCTTGGTGGTTTTTCTTCACGATTCCTGCGGCGATATGGCTGCGTTCTCGACCAGGGCCACCTCTTCCTTATGTCTCGCACGGCAAAAAGCGTGGATCGTGGGGTGGCTATTTTATATATGCCTGGAAATCTCTTGGCCAGACAGCAATGCGCACTCGGCACATGAAAGATATTCTGTTGTTTCTCGCGTCTTGGTTTCTACTCAGTGACGGGGTTGCAACTGTCAGTGGAACGGCTGTCCTCTTTGCTAAAACACAGCTTGGTATGCAGCCTGCTGCATTGGGCTTGATTAATGTGGTTGCAATGGCGGCGGGTGTCATCGGCGCATTCTCCTGGGGCTATGTTGCGCGGTTTTTTGGCCTTAGTGCATCGCAAATCATCATTCTATGCATTTTGCTTCTTGAGATTGTGCCGCTCTATGGACTGCTAGGGTTCATCCCAGCCATCAGAGAGCTGGGTTTCTTGGGTCTCCAGCAACCTTGGGAGATGTATGCGCTGGGCATCGTTTATGGGCTTGTCATGGGAGGATTATCTTCATATTGTCGGAGTTTCTTCGGGCAGTTGATACCCACAGGCTACGAGGCAGCGTTTTACGCCCTTTATGCTATCACCGACAAAGGATCCAGCATCTTTGGTCCAGTGATTGTTGGAATCGTTACGGATCGCTATGGTGAAATCAGACCTGCGTTCGTCTTTCTTGCGATCCTTATTTTGTTCCCACTGCCACTCATGCTACTTGTGGATGTTGACCGTGGGAAGCGAGATGCTCTGGCACTCGCAACTGAATTGGCTGGTGAAAGAGAAGTACTAGAGCCACTAGCTTATGGAACGGTTCCATGTGACTCCACTTACGGTGAACCACCAGCCATGGAAAGCGAATGAGCAATGAGATGTGGAGTAATGCATACAGTATTCACATTATACTACTCCGTAGGTAGTCTAGCAGCGATTTGATACTTCTATTTTTCATATGTACTCTATCTCGTCCCTTCTGTTCTACTTATGTTTCGAAATAGTGATTGGCTTATTGACATGGCATCTTCTCTTCATGGTAGATTCGAGCGCGTTATGGAAGACTGAGTAAGGTGTCGTCAAGTCTTATGGATGGAGCCACAGCAATAAGCAACTGTATCCAGCTGTAGACGTGATTCGCATGGCGGCCTCCATTCGAGTTGGTGTTTTCTGCTGAAGTTCTTAGTAATATAAACCACACGGGCGGAACTTTTGGGCGGCTGCCTAGGCAGTTGCTAGGAGCTACCTACCGACAAGTTCTGTATTTAAGTGAGTGAATTACATGTACTCATAGTTGACTGTGCTAATTACTTTAGTTAAATAGCTAACTTAGTGAACAACGCAGTTAGTTACCTTACCTTAGCCAACAAATTTACCTACATTCCGTTGCAATAATGCAATGCCGCAAAATACCTACTATAGGTACAATTCAGGTACATGAATTAGGTTCGTCCCTTGCTGTACTAAGCGGGTCCGCTCGAACCAGTCAGCATGCTCAAGCGGCAGCTTACTGCAGAAAGAACAGACTGTCCTTAACTCCATACCCATACTTTTACAAACACTATTTAAGTCTGGAATCACCTACCACTCATTAACCACCTTGAACACTGATACTTCTCCTTTTCAGTCGCAACAGCACCCCCACCCACCACGGCAAGGCATTCTTACGCCTTTACCTTTCTTTTGGAGCTTGGTTGATCCTATACTCATCCAGGACAGAAGGGGTTTCGGTATCAGCATCGTGAATTTGCGTTATTTCCGGCAGCCATTGCATTCATTATGCGGTCTCTCGCCCCCTTGGTTCTCAGTTTTCTAAAGGCATCGAGCGTAGCATATGCTGCGGATGCTGCGGATACTGAATCCAATGTCATCTCACTGAGCACGGACACGTTCGAAAGCTTTATGTCTGAGCATAATTTGGTGCTTGCGGAATTCTTCGCGCCCTGGTGTGGTCACTGCAAGGCTCTTGCTCCCAAATATGAGGAAGCAGCCATAGAGTTGAAGGCAAAGGATATTCCTTTGGTCAAGATCGACTGCACTGCAGAAGAGGACCTGTGTAGGAGCCAGGGTGTCGAGGGATATCCGACTCTGAAGATATTCCGTGGACCGAACTCGAGCAAGCCTTATCAGGGTGCGCGTCAAGCAGAATCGTGAGTCAAAGTCAATAGCTTCCGATGCCTTTCTAGTCCTCCGAGTCCTTGAAAGGACCGAATCTAATGCAATGCCCGCTTGCTAGCATCGTATCATACATGGTCAAACAATCACTTCCTGCCGTATCACCTGTCGATGGCAACAATCTCGAAGAGATGAAGATCATGGACAAAATTGTTGTCATCGGCTATTTCGATTCTACGGATAAGACAACGCATGACATTTTTGAGACCTTCGCCGAATCCCAAAGAGATAACTACCTTTTTGCGGCCGCAAGTGACCCCGCAGTCGCCAAGGCGGAGGGAGTCCAACAGCCGGCTGTTGTTCTGTACAAGGACTTTGATGAGAAGAAGGCCGTTTACGACGGCGAAATTGACCAGGAAGCTCTACTCGGTTGGGTGAAGACTGCTAGTACCCCCCTTGTGGGTGAGATTGGACCCGAGACTTACTCTGGCTATATCACTGTAAGTTGACTCCCTGAATCCTCTGGCTGAAACATGCTTGTTCTCTCATAGCGAGGACCCATGTGTATGTATCGTGTCACTGACTCAAATCATTAAAGGCTGGTATTCCCCTGGCATACATCTTCGCCGAAACGAAGGAAGAGCGTGAAAAATTCACTGAGGAATTCAAGCCAATTGCGGAGAAGCACAAGGGCTCTATCAATGTCGCTACCATTGATGCTAAGATGTTCGGTGCACATGCAGGCAATCTCAATCTTGACCCTCAAACCTTCCCCGCCTTTGCTATTCAGGATCCCGCCAAGAATGCCAAGTATCCATATGACCAGTCCAAGGAACTCAAGGCAGACGATGTGGAAAAGTTCATCCAAAATGTCCTTGAGGGCAAGATCGAACCCAGCATCAAGTCGGAGCCCATTCCGGAGACTCAAGATGGCCCGGTTACGGTTGTTGTAGCGCATTCCTACAAGGAACTTGTTATTGACAACGACAAGGATGTCCTGGTAGAGTTTTATGCGCCATGGTGCGGACACTGCAAAGCGTATGTTCTATACTATCTTCTTCCCAAATCGGGCATTACTGACCAGGTGTAATAGTCTTGCGCCGAAATATGATGAGCTTGCTGGCCTCTACATCAATAACCCTGACTTCGCGGCCAAGGTCACCGTTGCCAAAATCGATGCAACGGCAAACGACGTACCGGACCCCATTACTGGATTCCCAACCATCAGACTGTACCCAGCCGGTGCCAAGGACTCTCCCGTCGAATATGAAGGCTCACGCACTGTCGAGGACCTTGCCAAGTTCATTTTCGAGAATGGAAAGCACAAGGTGGATGCTTATACAAATGCCGAACAACAGCAGGAAGACGCAGACGTCACTACTCCCCCTGTTGCGGCTCCCGCAGAAGACGAAACCCCCGAAGCAACCAAAGAAGGCGCGGTGGAGCATGACGAACTCTGAATTGTCACAGGAAGTTCTTTTCCCCTCTAATGAAATTGTACCTTATCATCATCATCAATCTAGCCAGTATTCCCGGTTCCTGCTCGAGCTTATTCATCTCTACGTGCACATCTCCAAAGCCTGGTTTCATCCCCTACTCAGCATAAAAGATACGGCTCGCACAATCTATATTGCGAGATGTAGATGATGCCAATTTCTCGAGTAAGAGGCAGTTATGCAGTAGCACGTGACTGACAGTCAAGCTGGTCTGTATCATGGATTCATTTCCGTGCGTCGCCATCTGACATAGTCGTCCGGCACCGTCCCGGAAATATGCAGCAGAACAACGTAGTAAGGCCCATATCTGGCGTGAGAGGTCATTGCTTACAAACTCGAATTACTCCCTCAATGCACCACACAACTATCCATATTGCGATCCCAAATTCTGGTCTACACTTGTCAACCTGGAATGACAAAGCAAATGCTGACTAGTACGACTGCATGAATCTTCTGGCTTTGGCAGAGATATCCCAGTAAAAAGAGCATAACGAGATGAAACCAAAAACCGCTACCGTCCCTGGAGCTCAAGTGGCTGAGTCTGCTGCCGCCAAAACTTCCAGTGCATCTAAGTCCTCATCGAACTCATCGACGTGTTCGGTCGGATAGGGGTTCTTCAAATCATCACGAAGCGCTTGCTCTGTGGGAAAGCCGGGGGATATCACCGCCAGGCCTTCATTATCGTTTGACTCATTTGAAGCAGGAGCCTGGATGTCGGCGAGAGGGTTACTTGTCTTATTTTTTGAGCTTAAACTCCAGTCGATGGTCTCGTCCAATCCATACCGTTCGGAAAGCCAGTCGTTGCATTTCTTGAAATGTTGGTTGGTGAACTGTTACCGGAACATTAGCCAGGAAGGCATTTTTGTAAAGGAATGCCTAAGAGATGGACTCACAAAGCCCCTAGATGCGCTCAACGGACTAGGGTGGACCGATTGCAGGACGCAATGTTTCTCTCTATTAATGCCTGTCACTCGCTTCCCGGCCGGTGTACCCCATGCCAAGAACACAACACCACGAGTACGCACTCGGGCCACCAAGTCAATGACCTTCTGAGTAAATTGTTCCCATCCCTTATTTGAGTGACTAGCGGCTTGATGTGCGCGAACTGTCAGGCATGTGTTGAGTAAAAGTACCCCCCGATCGGCCCAGGGGGTCAGAAGACCACCTTTGTTTGGCGGTCTCTGGAAAGAGGGGTAGTCGTTCTTGATACCAGTATAGATATTGACAAGGGACGGAGGAGCTGGGGTTGGCGGCCGGACGGAAAAGGCCAGACCGTGAGCCTGGTTATGATTGTGGTAAGGATCCTGCCCGATGACGACGACTTTGACCTTGTGCAGAGGGGTGTGGCGGGACCTAGAGTTATATTAGTGATGGAATGGTGCTTATCATCCGAGGCTTAACCGCACCAAGAGTAGACTTCCTCCTCGGGGGGAAAGATTTTAGTCCCTGACCGTTTTTCTTTTTGCAGAAAACGCTTCAAAGCTAGGAATTCGGGCTTCACTACCTCTTCCTTGAGCTGTGCCAGCCAGCTCTCATCTAGAGTTTCAATTTCGAGCTGAAGGAGCTCCTTCTGCTCAGGGGATAATGATGCCACCCATTTCTGTTTGTCAAAGTTCAAGGACGGTCCAGTCAATGGTGTGGCTTCAACCGAAACTGTGCGTTTTGGAACACCAAAGAAAGACGTGATGCTACCGTTTGCCCTGGGCTTTTTGCGGTCCGCGGCTGAGTTTTTGAGATGATCAGCATCCCGTTTAGTGCCCGTTTGACCGGCCATGTCGCAGATTAAGCTTGCGTGGTGACGGACAACGAGCAGATTCTTGGGCAGTAATAGTCGAGCAGGAGTATAGTGGAAGAACAGGCAGAGGAAGGATGGTTGACCAAGAGAACTCAAGTGAAGACGTGACACAGAGCTCGCCGGCGATGTTAGGACTCACCAGCTCTGGCGCATCTATCAAGACGAATGGATGGACAAGACCGAAGTGGTAGCACTGGAATCATGCCCGACTTTCATGATCAAGTGTGGCAGATCTTAGTGACAGCTCCAACTACGGCTGCGGCAGTCTCGCAACAAGCACGCGTCGCGGTTGCGCGAGTCCCACGCGTCCTTGGAGTGGGAATGCTCATTTGCTCGTATTGTATATACAGTACATACTGGCCCCAGACTGTATGTATCATACATCATATTCATTGTGACAATATGAGAAGTCTGGATCAATACACTGGGCAGTAGAGACTGATGCTGACCAAGGTATTTAAATAACCTAACTAGTTTAATTGTTTGATTTGCCATCTTTAGTCGATTATACATAGGTCTGAAACTGTAGATATTTACTGTACCTGTCGCCTCTTGCTCTCTTCAAAGGTAAGAATGGTATGTTAAGAGTGCGTGTATAGTCTAGTCCGGAAGTATCGAATCTGTCAAACTTAATATTGATAATTCCATACCCAGGCAACGCTATTAGGTTCGAATCCCGTCCTACCCATCCATACCCCAATAGGCCTTAGCGGTATTACTTACCCGTCTTGATATCCCGCACCATTTTTCAAATAAAGTAGACAGTTTCTTCTTACATTAGGGTTTGAGGGGTTTTCAAGGCTGAAGCTATTGGATACTAGAATTTTATATTAAGGAATATCTACATATTTCCTTATATTAGGATCTACATTAGGGATTCCTTCTTATAAAAGAGGTGGTCAGCAGCCGTGACCAAGCCCAAGCCCAAGCCCAGAATTCTGCCGGGCAGAATCGGAAAAAGGTTAAACCGTGTTAGGATAGATTTGTGCGCCTTTCTGGTTTAGGCTTAGTGGTTTTTCTAACCAATCATATGATACGGTTTACAAAACTTCAACAAAGGTGTTGGGCTCTAAGATAAAGATATATTTAAATATCTAACTTCAATCTATATTTGATAATTAGTAACTGAGGGGTATTTCTTAGACTTTTTATATAGGAAAGTAACTAAAACTATACTGATTTGAAAATATCATCTAAAGAATAACAGTTGGGAGGTTTCCTACTAATCATAAGTTAGTGACAATACTAACTATTCTGGGAATTGGGAAGGGGTGCCCAGGCCCCACCGGCTGAGAAGATGACCGCCTTCCTGATTTACACGAGCTAAGCCTAATTCAAAACTGGTATTGGGCTTGCTGACCACCTCTAAAGTATCAAGTTAAGGAGAAAGTGGTGTGAGATGCTAAGGCGGGTAAATGATACCGCTAAGGCCTATCCAGGTAAAGTGATACTGTAAGTAGGGATATCAGGTTCCTCACTTTTTCTCACTAATTTGTCTCAACATCAGACCAGGTTTTGTGTTCTAGATAAGACATGGAACTTATCTGGCTTGCTGACACTCCACAGGCTAGGCGGCGCAACAGAGCCTTGAGGGCATGTGCTCAATGCCAGAGGAGAAAGGTGTGGTCCCTTATACCTCATGCAGCCTGCATACCTTATTGAACCATATGCTAAGCTACGAATCTATGTATTATGGTATAATATAGAAACGCTGCCACCATATTGCTACAGAGAATGTCGTGAGCCGACAAAACAACATCCGCCAAGCACATACTATCTCTAACATATCTCCACAAAAGCAACGGCGTGAGTGCAGCAGTGTTGATCAGCCGACACTCCCTGTTGCGGCCACTATAGCTCAGAGCACATCCACCACCACTACTTCCCGAGATATCTCGCGCACAGAACGCTTTGTCGGAGATTTAAATCCAGAAGCTGCGATCCGCGAGAAGTTAGATATCGCTAACGGAAATCAGTTGCGGGACCGAATCGGGCTCTGGATTAGCTCCCCCTCTGGTCCAACTCGTGAAGAGCGTCTATCTCACTCCGAACCCTCTCAGGCTCATGACGCCATCACCTATAGCCCCGATTCGCGCCCTGTTGCTTCTCTATTACACCAGCAATATACATCTGCGTCAAATGCTTGTGGTCGCTTACCTTACTCCACACGGAAAAATCTTATCTCGATCTATTTCGCCAAAGTCAATCATATCTTGCCTCTTCTTGATCAAGAAACTATACTCTCGAGTCTATCCGAAGATTCGGTATCCGTGTTCTTAGAACGCGCAATATGTCTTGTAGCAGCAAAAGATGGCGCAGCAGGTTGTTGTCTCCGCCTGAGTGAGGGAGGTCAACTTGTGACTTCACGTCTATTCTGCTCTGAGATATACGATGGACTTGTCGCTGCCATGAATTTTGGCTTTGAGAGAGACAGAATCACCCGCATCCGTATTTTGGCGCTCATGTCTCTGCATTCCGAGGGTTATGAGGGCGTTGAAACAGCCTCAATGCATCTTTGCCAGGCTATTCACCAGGCTCAAACAGTGGGCCTACATCTTCACCGTCCTGATAAACCAGCGGACGATACTCTATCACATCTCTTTTGGTGCTTGTGGACTCTAGACAGAATGCATGCTTGTCTAGGTGGCCGTCCTGTTCTTCTTTCCGAACGTGACATCGGGATCAGGAAACCACACGTTAGACATTCCACGAAGACTTCTGCCTTTGACATATGGTTTGCGATCTCTGATCTACTCTCGACAGTGATATCATTTTACAGACCGTCATCAGATCATACAGTTGGGTGGGAAACAGGTTTTCCCACATTCGAAGGCATTACAGGAGATCGGTGTTCAGACTTGGACTCTGCCACACTAGGTATGTTCTCTGTCAGATCATACACCCTCTAAACGAGTGTTCTCATGGCTAGGGCATAGCTGTCCTTGGCGCGATTGCTAAGAGCTATGAAGATTTTTTAGAACTATATTACCACGCTGTTTGCATTCTTTCATGCAGGTATGGATTTTCACATCCTGCGGAGTTGTCAAAGCCTTCGTATTCTCGTCAGGGCCTTGCTGCAGTCCGGATACATTCTATTTTCGCCACTGAATGCTCCGGGAATCTCCCCCCGCTACCCATTGTCCCATATGCATTGACGCTATCGATGGCGGTCTCGTACCAGCAATTCCGCTCGAGCCAACTCGTCACCCATTTGGATCGAGCCAGAGCTGGCCTAAAAGCCTGCTGTGTCATGCTTGAAACTATGAGTGCCTACTGGTCTACCGCAGAGGCGATGGCCCGGCTGGGACGAAAAGCACTTTGTCAGATCGAAGGCGCAAATCCGCAAAATCGACCACATGATCATGATCACGGGTTGATGGCAGTTTGCCCTGAAGTCCGCATCCCTCGGCATCTAGGGGAAAGCATGTCGTCCTTGCCATTATCGTCTGATGCTATACAGGGCACTCGGACTAACGCCCCATTACCCATGCCTATGCAATCGCAATCGCCATTTAATGATTTTGGGGCACAGACCATGAGCGAGCCCGACCCCGCGCACGGTCAATTCGCCGATATAGATATTTTGTTTGGAGAATTTCTCGACCTTTCTCTTCCCACGAATTTCTGGGATCCGGTATTCTTAAGGATGGAACCCTTAAATTCATGATTGTGCGCGGTAGGAAAACATTGGCTCGATAAGCGCAGACAGTCCCCCGAGTCCCCCGAGTGTAGCACTAGAAAGGATGTTGCCTTCGGGACTCTTGGCTCGGCATTTTAGAATCCACTATCCAGGCACGCCTCTTTTACTCGCCAAAGTGTTGTCGTTACCGATATGTTGATCGCCATTGGTGTGCCTTTTTACGTAGTACACTAGTAGGAACTCGCTTGGAATCAGTACTCAAGGGCTCTTCTTCTGTAGTAGACTACCTTGCATGCGACGATGAAGACTGGGTTCCGGTCGCGGCTGTGCCAAGGAAGCGAGGAAGAATACTTAACGTATTAGATATGATTGCAGTCCGTGTTGCTGTTGTCTAGACCGGATCCCGCCCCTTTTCACCTTTGGACACTAGAGAAGAATATGGTAGACTAAGAGAGAACATATCTAATGGACTTTCGGCTGATTTTCCACTGGCACATTCGCGAGGCCAATCTCAGGTATGACTTAACACTTATTATCATTATTATCATTAATTTTTTTGGGGTTTTTTTTAAAAAAAATTATTACTTATGAGATGCAAAAACTACCTAATCTAGTCTCTTCTTCTCTCCGCCACCTTTCTCCCCCTTTCTCGTATAGTCCACTTAAGTTACTTGTGCGATCTGAAGTCTCAAGACCCTCTCGTCAAAGTTTTGTGAATCAAAATTGTCCCGACCAACAACGAAGATTTCCTCTATCTTGAACGAAACAGCAAATGCAGCCTAACCCGTCCACACGCTGCCTATTGAGAGTCTCGTAAAAGACAAGACAACTATCTCTGTTATCAACGTTCCTTCACAGTAACGGCAGGCTTGTCCCTGGCGGTTGGGTTCGCTCTCGAATTCCTGTCTTTCTCTTTGTTCGCCTTTCGCTATCTGGGCTTTGGTAAGCCACAAATTGCAGTTTATTCCGTGGCAGCCTCTCCATCTTCACACAGATTTAGCTCTGAGCTGTCTTCCGGCTTGATATACAATGGGACCCTCCAACCTGGCTGCGCTGTTCGATGGAGTTTGAATGCATGTTTCACTTGGCATACAGCCTGTAGAAGAGGCATTCCTTCACGATCGCTCCTACTGCTGAATGCGAATGGAGGGTTTGGCCTAACAATCTCTTTTGGATCGAGTTGTGCCACCAGACAAGCCAGCATATTCTTTATGGCTAGCGTGCCTGCAAAGAGAGGGGGCCAGGCCGCCTCTGCTGATGCCTCAAAAGGACGAGGAGGCTACATCGAATCTGGCCAAAAGCATACCGGCCAGTTGTCGCTGCACCCGATCCCTCAGCTGCAGGGTCCTTTCGAAGAGTCAATAGCGGAAGCCCGCGATGCAACACGATGTGAAACGGTCGAGCTTGACGCCCAAACCCGACGTCGAGATCTCCTTGAAACCTCCAAGTATGAACGGCTTTGTGGTCGAAAATGGCGCCAAAGGGTTGACGAACGGTAAGTGGTCCAGGGCTTGCGTTGTCGGGAACGCCTTGATAGTGAAATGACAGGCTGAACCGCGGCAGATACCATCCACTGTGGAAGCTTACCGCTCAAATGTCTTTTGGAGTCCATCTCCTTGTTGGAGGACTGGCCAAGTCAGATGCGGAAGTCTTAAAGATTCTCCAATCCCATGTGGATGAAGTAGATGGTTTTCTAGGGAGAACTGCGGATGATTTCTCAATCATACGGCTTGATGTACGCACACGCATACAGTACCTGAGCCTGCCTCTGGAAAACCTAGATGTTTTCGACGAGATGCTAGGGGACCGTAGCTTTCGTCTCTCCATCACTGACTATAATGAGAGGATCGAACATGCGATCGGAAGATTTACGGTCGCAGTCCAGGATGCCTTGAAGGACATACAGAAAGGACGGGAGGCCATTGGTTCTCTGTGGAAATACCTCCTACAGTCGGCAAATGAGAATGATCCATTGCCTGCAAAGATGGTAGCTATCTATAATGCCATGCTATCAAATGCAGAAGGTTGGCATGGCGCGTTCTCGGAGCTCCAACGGAAAGGCGTGGCGCTTCAGCATGCACTTGTTCCACTCGGCTTGGCCGTCACTGAAATGCAACGACGTGTCGGCGTGGCAAGTCGAAAGTCCGCGGTTAGTATCAAAATATCTCATAATGCTCAACCCGTGAGTACTAACACAAGCATAGGGCTCTTTTGCACATGGCTCTAACCGCCCTCTGCGAGGACGATTGCTCAAAGGAGTCTTTGGGAGGGATCCATCTCCTGGGCCCTGTTCTTCTATCTCATATAAACCTCTTCCTCGTGCGCCAGACCTTACGCAATCAGCAACGCTTGCCTGGCCGGCCGAACGCCGGAGACTGACGCAGAAAAGTGTGCCAAATCTAAGGAGGACAGCGAAGAGAGATGCTGAAGATAACACTTTCCAGATGACGGACCAAGCGACGTCCGTCATTGACGCTGCAGACAGAAAGACCTCCAGGATATTTGCCCCTAGCATTCAGCGCAACCCAGTCACGCTCTCAAAACCCACATTGAAGCCGACGGAACCTCGGGACCAGCCAGTCCAGAGACCATCCACTGCGCCATCTAGGGCATCCAGGGCTCGAAGCATCTCTCTGGATCAGTTAAAGATTTTTCACAAAAGCAGGAAACAACAAGGACGGCTAGCTCCTCCTCAGGCCGACCAGCCTCCTATGCCTCACGGTTCGCTCAGGCGTGAAGCAATGAAAACCCAATTGCTGCAATTCTTCAGATCGGACCGTGTGCAAGACGTCTGGGACACTGTAGCACGCAATGAGAAAGGTGCTGTCGTGAATACCTCTGGGCCCCCGAAGGATGGACCGTGGAGCAAGTTTCACTCCGGATCGCCCAAAGATGATGATGCGGTGCGTGGTGCAGAAACTGACGTCCTTGATCCAGTCTCAACCGTAGATATGGCCTGGCTCCCGGAAAAAGACTCGGAAACGCTCAACACGTATTCATTAAAACCGAAATCCGATATAGCGCCCCGCTTCCACCTCTTTCCGGCCCAGACAAGTCACCCTCAAGGACGGAAGGCGCTCAAAATCAAGAGTACTATCAATGAAGGCGTTAGGAAGCAAAAAGAACCCATGCAACCAATCATTACAGCCCTTCCTTCCATACCCGGGCAAACGGCGAAGAAGCCGTGGTGAAGGCGGATTGCACAACAATCATACCACCACGTGACAAACCAAGCGCGGCTCGGGATATAGTACGTACTACGTCGATGATGCTGAGATCGAGGTTTATCGTGAATACAGCCTTACGTGGTAGGAATACATGACAGGTGATAGTGTACAGGCCAAGCATGTCCAGTGCTCGCAAAGCAAAAGTCTTTATTTTGACACAGTACCATAGCGATAGCCAATAGATAACATCACCGAGAATGAACTTAGAAGTTCGTATGAGGTCGTCCTCCGGGTTTTCATCACATATGATAGCGCGAAAGCAATCCATGAAAGGTACCGCAACAGCCACCTTCCACTACCTTGAAAAGTGGTTCGAAAACAGATAGTATGACACAGGCAAACAAAGTATTCCTACTTGCACCGTTTCTCAACAATGTTAGGACCGTGTTCCTCGAACTCCTTCTTCGAGATCCATAGTTGATGGAAAGTTCCGAGACTGGCCAGGATACTTCCGCCAATCCAAGAGCCAAATTTTCGCTCTGCAGTGTTTCCTGGCGCTGAAATCCGCACGCGCGGTCCCGGGTACATCTGCATCAACTCTTGATTCAAGCGGTCCGTAAACCCGTAGAGCAAGCTCGAGGCACCTGTCACAACAACGTTCGCCAAGAGATGTGGGCGAACGTCCACGTCAACACCATTCAGCGCATTTTTTATTAATTCGGGTACGGTCTGCACCTGCGTGGGTGGCGAGAACGCCGACTCAGAATCCGGAATCGCGGCCTTTGCGTCAAAGAGAGATTCAACTACCCGATAGCGATCGACGCCGAAGACTTGGTTATAGCCGTCAGGGAACTCGAAAGGCCGCCCGGGACTGGCCTTGGCAAGGTCCTCGTTTAAAACCCCATTGGGGCCCGTTGCAGAGAGCTTGTTAGGCCCAGGCCAAACTTGAACCACGCATTCCTTGAATTCACACAGCGTCCGCTCTTCAAGAAGGGTGCGATAGGATGGGTCCGGCCCCTTCTCTGGTGGAAAGGTCCTGTATTTAGCTTGTGCAGGCTGCCCGGCATCCACAGCAACTTTGGAGGAGATGAGATAATGGGGTGTTATGGAAATCGGTTGCGGTGTGTTTGCCTTGAAGAGAGCGCGAAGTTGCGACGAGATATATTCTCCGCCAAGAGGGGAATGCTGAACCCCTCGCTTCAGGATCATCCCATCATGGACCGGAGTTATGGATAGATTGGATGCACCGATGTCGATAACTAACGCGGAAGCTTTGCCGGCCGCGAAGCTAAAACAAGAAGTCAGTCAATGGAACAAGTCAACTTGAGAAAGGGCTGTAGGCGACTTACGCTGCAAGAACGCCATTCCTTGCAAGATAGAAGGCTGGCGTGCCCCATTTTTCCATAGCGATCTCGATGGTCTTCTCGCGGGCTTTTGTGGGATTCCAACCTGGCTCTGACATCAACAATGGGCTATCCGCCAGAGGCTTTTCTTCAGTCTCCACCCCCTCCATCTCCGTGGGCAACTCGCTGTCTGCGGTGTCATTCAACCCATTCTGCAGGGGATTCCCAGGTTTGGGTCCTGTAAGGCGCGAGGTGAATGAATACTCCCAAACTTTCTCGGCCATGTCCCAGTCTTCTACTATTCCATCTCGACCCATTGGGTTATGGATTGAAAGGCCAGGACGAGGCGTGACGAAGACATCATCCCCGAATATCAATTTTTCCTGACCATCGTAGGTGTATTTGCCGTAGTAGGTTGGGATTAACGATTTTGGTGTATCCTCACCAGCGAATCCAGCGCGTGTCGTGGAATAGCCCGGGTCAAGCACGATCGCAGAAACCTCGTCTGTGCATTCCCAGCGGTCAGCAAGTGCCAGAGCAAAATCACCTCAGAAGGCCGTAGCTGGCGCATGAATCCGTCTCTTAGTAACGCGCACCCAGATATTTGACATACCTCCACCGTATTCGGCTGTTGAGGGCGGAATGGAAGGGTTCATGGCTGAAAGGTCAAGGGCACAGCTTGTCCGGATGAAGAGATCGGAGTAACAGTATAGGTTCTTACAAATTGGCTTGAGGTAATGAATAAGATAAGAAAAATACGAAGGAGAGATTTGAATTGAAAAGAGGTAATAGACAAGCCATACAGCGCTGGGTGCCAACCGGGTTTGTTGAGGGAAATGAATGTATTGCACGGCAGGCGGGAATGAATGGCGATTGCATTGAAGGAATGAATAATCGCCGCGGTCGAGCCCGGCGCCGCAGCTTGTACTCGCCAGCGCAAGACCACCACCACCACCACCACCACCACCACCACCATCATCGTCCAGCAGAGCCTATTCTACTAAGATTTAAAGTTTTTTTTTTTTAGTCATTTTGTTTCGCCGATACCTCTGAAACAAGCTATAGCTTGTCCATGTAACTATGGATGCAGATATCGGCCCGGCTTCTCTCTTCCGTCCAGTGAAGAAGAGAAAGTTCCCGCGACGCCGACCGGACGACAGCTCAGAGGATGCGCAAACTACTGCCGCGGAAGATGATAGCCGGCCGCCAGGAGGCCCATTGTCTCAGTCTCAGCCGGATGGTTTGGACACTAGACATACCTTAGATGTCGCGCGTCTTCGGCGGTTACAACGAGCTCGGAGAGGAGGCATCGAATTTTCCACCGCTTCGCGGCCATTACTGGAAGGCGAGAACCAGACCAATATAACATGTGCAGCGGCCGAGGACATCGAGACGGCAAGGTTGCAATCTATGTGTGATCGATTTACAGCGCATACAGGGCAGACGGTGGACGTTGACAAGCATATGTACGACCGTACCCCCGAGATCCTCCACCCCTGATCAGTTCCGGTCGCATCGTTGGCTAACGAGATAAGGATGGCATACATAGAGTCCGAGATGACGAAGCGTTATCAAGGCAGCGTTTCCACTGAGAGCACTCGCGACGGCTTGTCTTCGACGACCACAGCGACAGCTGCCCCTTCGATAATCGACCTACCACATCGTGAACCGGCGTCATTAGGAAAGCTACACGAAATTGACCTCGGTCAGGAAACCAAATTACTGAACATCGCCCGGACTGAAGCTGCTGCTAGAAAGCTCGCTGGTGATGATGGCGAATTGGCTCTTGCGGCAGTATCTAGCTCCAAGGCGATGTCCCCAGCGAAGGAACAGAGATCCTGGCGCAACCGGAAACGACGAACCAGTGAGGACATTGAACGAGATCGATTGGTCGAAGAAGTTTTGCGAGAGAGTAAATGTGAGTTTCTTTCTAGGATCCATATATCCTGTTTGTTCACAAGCCCTTACCCGAATTTAGTGGACGTCTATCATGGCCCATCGGAAGATGAGGAAGACGGAGCAAAGGACGCAGATGACCAAGCCGCCGACGACAGGGTGGCAGAACAGTTCCGAAAAGATTTTCTTGATGCTATTCAGTCTCGTCGTCGTGTGGCGCGAGCGAGGAATACTAAAACCACCAAGGCCGAAGCCCCTCGAGGGCCAAAGTTGGGGGGCAGTCGAAGTGCTCGAGCTGCAATGCGTGAGATGCAGGAGAAATCAGCACGGAAATAAGCCTTCGCTACGATACTGCTTCTCAAGGCGAAAGGGCAAGGATGCAACATAGCAGCGGTGATACTTAGCAGTAAATTTAGATGAGGGAACGAGAAACGAGACCACCCAGGTCGTACGTTTAACGTACTGTGACAGTATACCAGTTCGAACTTCGTACCTCTGCTCAACGACTTTTGCCCCACCCCCTCCCGACGCGGCGACTTCATGCTTTACGACCTACCTCGCGTTCTACTTACAATGGCTACCTTAAACGCTGCACGTTGGGCCAGCAGCCTCAATCCTTCTTCTATTCCTCCTGGCGTCCTTGATGCAGCCGTCCGAAGTTTTCATAATTGGGTTGGGTGCGCTGTTGGGGGCAGCGATCACCCCGCCGTTTCGATCGCACGCAATTCCCTTCCCCGATTCTTCGGCGCCCCGACTTCGAGCTTGCTGGGCACCCAAGGCGTCCAAGTAGATGCGCAGCATGCAGCCTTGCTCAATGGTATCCCGTCGCATGTTCATGATTGTGATGACACCCACCTAGAAACGATCTTCCAACCGACAGGGCCTGTGGCAGCTGCCCTTCTGAGCTTCGCTCAATCACTCAATCGACCAGTGTCCGGTGCCGAGTTCCTCACTGCCCTTACTGCCGGGATTGAACTTGAATGTAAGATCGGGCTAGCAGTCTGGCCGAGCCACTACGATGTGGGCTGGTAAGAGCATCCCTGATCAATCCTAGGCACTAAGCCAGCCAACCAGTCTTCTGACTAGGCATATCACCGGCTCCACGGGCTCGATCAGGGCAGCTGTAGCAGTATCGCGACGCTTGGACCTCAATCCAGGAAAGATGGCCCATGCGATCGGTCTTGCCGCGACTCAAGTGACCGGCATTCGTGAAATGTTCGGCTCGCATACCAAATCCGACCGGTGCCGTGCCCTGAAATATAATAAGTGACTGGGTGTATCCCTCAGCTGTTTCCGGCCCCAAGTCACCATCATTAGCCTAATCACGTGGATGCCCCTGTCTGTCAACCTAAATCAGAGAAAGAGCGAGGAAAGAATGCAACCGTTGCGCTGAATTCCTACCGCCTGCCCGGAGAAGAATACAATTTTCTATTTTTTTGAACCTTCATTCTGGAAGAGGGAGAAGAGAAGTAACTGTAAGATTGATGCAAGCCTTGTAATTTCCTCGCTCGTATCATAGATACAGATGATGAGGGTTGCCCCCAAATGCCCCCAAAAGACCAAGCTTTGCTCTACGAGTGCCCGGAAGGACATCATGATATTAGCCCACCCGGTCTATGTTGTCACGCGAAGCTCCACAGGGAGATGATAATAATAACTACATAGTAAATTCATATATTTAGCAGCTAACATCTCAGAGTAGTTGGGGCTCACAAGTAATCTAACTAGTCAACAGTGTAGAGGATTTCCCCTGCCTGAGTGATCGTTCTTTATAATTGATATTGATGTTCGTTCCGAGAGTTGTTAAGGAAATGAGAGAGTGTGCGGGTGTGGTCCAAGTCTGCCGTTTGGATTGTTGTCTTGGGGCGATTTCAGGTCGGTGGGGCCGGGTTTTGTTTGTCTCGACTCTTCGGAGGACGTGAGGACCTGTTGGTTGGTTTCTTTGTTTCAATTGTCTTGCTGTCAGTCAGTCGGTCAGTCGGGGTCACGGATTGGTTTGTCTGTCTTTATTTCTAGTATCTTTCTTTTAGACGGTGACCTTTTTTTTTCCCTCACTCCCCTTGCCCACCGCACCCTCCCTCTACAGTTGCTTATGATTAACGACAATCTGCCCTGTGCTCAGTTCTACCCTCTTCAAGTTGTGTGTGGCTCTTCCAAGTGTAAACCTAATACAAAGTCGGATACTTTAATCCATGATGGTGGTAAGTACGTATGGAAGAGTCTAGACTGGCTCTAGTAGGCGCCAGTCGCTAACAGCTGGGCCGTTCCTGACCCGCGACTGGTACCAAGCAAGAACCGTGGTTGGACATCCAGCATCAGGGGTAAATGAATCTAGATATTATTAGTAGTAGTAGTGCCACCCTCTGACATTACTGAGTAGTGTTTTTATCATTAGTGTATTGTTATGAGGACACTACATTCATGCCCTTAAATTAGGTAATAGACCAGGTTCAGGTACAAATCCTATCTACGTAGTATGAGGAGGAGGAGGCAGAGGTAAAAGGAGGAAGAGGAGAAGAGAGGAAAAGAGGAGGAAGGAGGAGGAATAAGAGGAAGGAAAAAAGAGGGAAGGAGGTACAGTACAAGTAACTATAGTAGTAATCTATGATTAAGTATCTACCTTACACTACAGTACCTGGGTACCTAAAACTACCTACCTAGAACCTAACACCTAACTCACCCGCCTCGTCAGTTTGACCAATCCCAATTGAGTGCAGTGGAGCGGGGGTGGCCGTCCTTAGCCAATCAATCTCTTATGTTTCAGCTTCGCAGCCCCTGGCTAATCCTATCCGGGCTCTAGTGATGCTGTGGTCCATCCCGTTCCGCCCTCTTGGGCGCTTCAATTTTCAGTAATGCCAATCTTAGGGTAGTCTAAGTGGTTAAATTGTAAGATCATCACTAGAAATTCACTAGACAGAGATGGCCGGAGTACATACCAGTACTGGTAGCACTGTACCTACTACCTACTCCACAGGGCTGGCAGTAGGGATTTCCTCGCAGCCTCTTGCTTTCTCTTCCCTCCCCTTCCTCTCCTTTTGCCGCTTGTCTCCATCCCACCCACACACCTCCCCTCCAACCACACACTCTTTCTTTGCTAGTTAGTTTATACTCCGTACCTCGTTTCGATTCTCTTGCACACTTTTGTTCGGTCTCTTGCATTGCTTTGTCAAATTGCCTAGGCTGTGATTGCTATCGATCGATGCCCCTTGGACACTCGTTTGCTTTATCTCCCTTTCGCTCTCTGTCTTGTTGACAACTCCTCCGCTGCTCGATCCCTAGAGAACAAAGCGATCATCACCTCAGAGATCAACTGTCAAAACTTGCGAGGCTCCGCCGGACCTCCTCAGCAGACCTACGCACCTTGACCCTGAAGTGAACATAACTAATAATTGCTGAGCCTAGCAAGAGAAAGTACGGCCAGCAAGTGAGGGGTTTCGATTACCTTGCCGTTCATTTGCTCGAAAGACTCCCGTCGCGTCGTTGATTTCCGACCGGACATTTCTCGTCCTTCTCATCTTCCTTCCGTTCTGTCCAGGTTGATCCTGTCGACCCCTTGTGGACCTCGTTCATATCAAGTCGCTGCGCGATTTGACTGGATTGGGGCTTCATCGCATACCTTTGCTAATCATAGCCGTTTCGCCGGCCTTTCCAATCATTTTGAGCATCAAGAAGTAGAGGTTCTTGATGTTAGTGCTTTGAAACCAGAAGTCTGACGACCTGTGCCGATTGTTGACGAAAATGCGGACCAGTCCTATTTCACAGATCACGCTGACTACGTTGAGCTTGTGGGCTTCTCATACGCTCGCTGCCGACACATTGAGTACTAATGGTCTGTCAACGTGTCTGACGGATTCGGCAATTGAAGTCAACAACCTTGATGTCACCTATACCAAATCAACAAACGAACTCATTTACAATGTCGGCGGTACGAATGCGAAAGAACAGAATGTTACTGGCTCCATCACAATCTACGCGTACGGCAATCAACTTTATTCCAAAATCTTCGATCCATGTGGCACTGAGTACTACACGGCAGCTCTTTGCCCCGTGCCGGCCGGCAGCTTCCAAGCCCAGGGACAGATGCAGGTTCCCGATTCAATCGCCAGCCAAATCCCGTCGATTGCCTTCGCCATTCCCGATTTAGATGGTCAAGTGAAGCTTGAATTGATGTCTAAGGATAACAACGATGAAGAGCTAGCTTGCATCCAGACAGAGTTGAGTAATGGCAAGACGATGCAGGTTGCAAGTGTATCTTATGCCGCTGCTGGTGTGGCAGGGGCAGCTCTGGCCGTGAGCGGGTTGTCTGCTCTAGGTGCTGCTGGTCACCCTGGAGCTTCGACATCTAGTCCTACTTTCGGCGACGTGATGACTTGGTTTCACACGATGGCCACCAACGGGATGCTCAGCGTCAATTATCCTACGGTCTATCGCAGCTTTGCTAAGAATTTCGCCTTCAGCACAGGCCTGATCCCTTGGGGCCAAATGCAAGAGTCTATAGATAATTTCCGCCGGGTCACAGGTGGAAATCTGACGGAAAACAGCTACGAGTATCTGAGGAACGCTAGTCTGGTGTATTCCAGCGGCTCTACATCGAATTCGAGCAGCAAGTCAAAACGAGCGCTTGAATGGGCTATTGGTGCTTCCCACCTGGTCGCCCGCGAGCTCACAACGTCGAATTCCACCACCACTAATAGTACCTCCAACAGTACCAGCAGCAGTGGTGGACTGCAGCATATGGTGTCGGGAATCGAGGCATATGCGGAGCAACTGACTGTGCCGCAGGGGAACACGTTTATGACCGTGCTACTTATTTTCGCAATCCTCGTTGCCGCCATCACCGTTGGAATTTTGCTTCTTAAGGTCATCCTCGAAGTGTGGGCTTTGTATGGATCTTTCCCTCAGAAGCTTTCCAACTTTCGCAAGGACTATTGGGGCCTCCTTGGGCGAACAATCACCAACTTGATCTTGATCCTATATGGAATCTGGGTGATCTGGTGTGTCTACCAACTCAGCAGCGGAGATTCCTGGGCGGCAAAGATCCTGGCTGCTGTTGCTCTGGTTGTATTCACCGCCGTGCTCTTGTTCTTCGGTATTCGCATTGCCTATTTGGCGCGGAAGTTCAAAAAATCTGAAGGTGATGCGTCTCGCCTGTACGACGATGGCGAAACCTGGCGCAAGTACAGTCTTTTCTACGATAACTACAAGAAGGATTACTGGTGGATCTTCGTGCCTGCGATTGTGTACATGTTCGCTAAAGGTTGTATCATCGCGGCAGGTGATGGTCATGGGCTTGCGCAAAGTGCCGGTCAGCTTATTGTCGAGGCGCTTATGTTGGCCATGCTGCTGTGGAATAGACCATACGTTGTCAAGTCGAGCCAGTGGATCAACACCAGCGTACAAGTGGTACGCCTTCTGTCAGTTGTCCTTGTTTTGATTTTTGTGGATGAGCTCGGTCTCTCCGAGACGACCAAGACAGTCACCGGCATTGTCCTCATCGCGGTTCAGGCTGGCTTCACGGGCATCCTGGCCATTCTGATCTGCGTTAACGCAATCCTTCTCTGCTGCCGCGAGAACCCCCATGCGAAGCGAAGAAGAGAAGCTGGTAAGACGCACTATCCCTCGAATCTCTAGGTGGAATGGAAAAAGTATGCTAATCGTCTCTTTCCTGATACAGACAAATTGAATCGCGACATGGACGACCTGACCCCCTTGGACGCCCGCGAGTCTCTCCTTATGGACAACCCTCCTCGCAAGGATTACGCCGAGATGAGCAAATTCAACTTCACCGGTCCCTACGAGCCCTACCGTGACCAGTACGATCACCCAGGACGGCAGAGTCCCACTGGAAGTATGGATCGCCTAGTCAGATCCGGATATCCCCTCGACGAGCGACACGATCGTATCGCAAGCCGGGAGAGTCGGCGGAGCCGTGACAGTCATGATGCTCCTGAAAAGCACCCTGCAACCACCCCCGGCTATGGTTTTGCCTATTAACCTCTCCAGTCAAGGCAGGTTAAGGCTTACGATTTGTTCTTACACCTTCTTCTGGCGTGAAGCCTCTTCTTTGGACATAGACCTTATTCTGTCAGTCTCCTAGAATTTAGCGCACTACTTGCTGGTGGTGATTAGCATTTGCTTTTGGGAATTTTGCTGTTCTGCCTCCGCGCTACCATTCCTTTCACATTCAGTGAGTTATCATGTGTATTAAATCATATCCAAAAAATCTGGTTTCGTCTGTTGTCATATCAAGCATCTGCTGTAGGAATTGACATCGAATGTGTCTTAATTGCCTGCGCCATCCCAAAGCGTTGAAAACTGCCGCGAAACTGAGCTGAGCTGGGCAAGTTCCTTCCTGTTCATCCGATACCGAGGCATGTACGCTTTCTGTGTACTAGGTCTACGCACAATATAGGTTCGGATGGATGATCCATCTCACGGCGGAACTCAGGTTCTTTTAACATACAGCGATGGCAAGACAGGATGGCGAGGGGAAAGGGGGGAAACAGATATCATAGCAACCCATGCCGAATTTAAAGCACAATTTTAGATTAAGTCGCATGCATACGGGCAGCGAGATGGCGAAGGGGCAAGAGATAAAGTTGGAGGAGTCAAAGAAAGGGTCGAGGAAGAGAGGCAACAATAGGCGTGGACACGGATATTTTGGAGGATGTTTTATAGCATCAAGGGCCACCGTGACTGCTGGAAGCTCGTGCCTGTCCAGATTTTCTGAGAGAGAAAACGGCAATTTCGTCACCCACGAACGGGAGGGCCGTAAGTTCACCCAAGGGAGCGGGATGACTGCAGAAAGATCCCCAGTAGAAAGAAGAAAGTGGCAACCGAGCACACATGTACAACAGCATGAAAATTAAAAAGCCAGAAAGACAGAAGAAGGCAGGTCAAATCAGCTCAACCTCGGGAATAAGGGTGGAAACCACGGTGACCTCCACGGCCTCCACCGCGATAGTTGGCACCTGGCTTGCCGGCATTCTTCGGACCCGTTGGAGCATTGGCAGGGGCGGCGCTTTGAGGTTGCGGAGTTGGACCTTATGATTCTCGAAGTCAGCAGAGCCAGACAGACAAATTCAACAGTGGGGGACATGGGAACAAAGGGGTTAGAGACATACCGCGTCCCATGCTCCCCGCGCGGGTCATGGCCTGGGGCCCGGTCGGAATGTTCGGCTGAGGTACTTCATCATACATACCTTCCCAAGAAGTCGGTCCCCCCTGCTGATAGGGAGAGAAAGCCCGGTTCTCCATGGCTCGGCGTGCCTGTTGCTGCTCGTACTTCTGCTGCTCAAAGGCAATCTGTTCTTGGGCATTGTAACCAGGTCCGCCCCGATGGCCCGAGTAAGTGCCGTTAGCGTTGGCTGCGGCCATGTTCATTCCGTTGCCGCCCCCTACCATCTGGCCGGACATGCTCCCAGAGTTGCTGCTCTGGCCTTGATTTTGCATCTGTTGCATCTGCTGCATCTGCTGCATCATGGCGGGATTCATCATGTTCGGTGCCATCGTCTGGGGGGTCGAGCTTTGTGACGGAGGGCTTAGACTTCCCTGCGGTGCCTGGCTATTACCCATTTGCATTTGCTGCATCTGTTTCATTTGCTGCATCTGTTGCATCATGGATGGATTCATCCCGCCCATGCCCATTCCTCCCATGCCTTGACCCTGAGCGGCAGCAACGGCCATCTGCTGTTGCATCAACGCAAAGTACTGCTGCATCCTCTGCCAATACTGTGCCATCATTTGAGGGGTGAGTCCACCAGCCATGCCGCCTTGGCCTTGAGCACCGGCCTGTTGCTGCGAATTGTCGCTCCCCATTGCTCCTCCGTCCCGAAAACCCTCCCTGCCACGACGGAATCGGCGGTCTTCCTCATCGCGCAAGTTGCCTCTTGGCTGAGCTTTCTTGACCTCAATTGGTTTACCTAGAATTTCCAAAGGACGCGAGAGAGCTGCTTCGACAGCCGCTTCACTGTCGAAGGTCACAAATCCAAAACCACGGGGACGGCCGGTATCCTTGTCAATCATAAGAGTGGCATCGATCACACGTCCGAACTGGGTGAAGAAGTCTCTGAAATCATGCTCATTCGCCTCTTGACTAACGCCGCCCACAAAGATCTTACTAGTCTTCTCCTGCTCGTCGCGCGGGATTGCACGCTTGGGATCAATCTGCCACATATTGGTTAGCTGTCAAGGCTATACAGAGCGCAGACGAAGACGAGTTAACAAGTAAATGTGCCCCTTACAATCTTGCCGTCTAAATAATGTTCCTTGACCATAACGGTGTTGACAGTCTTTGGGTCTCTGAACGTCAAGAATCCAAAGCCTCTGGAGCGACCAGTAGCACTATCTCGCATCACGGTGCATTCTTGCACCTCCCCAAATTGAGAAAAATAGTCTTTCAGGGACTCTAATTGAGGGCGTTAGATAACTTATGGACGGCAACAGCAGCTGCGGGCAGCCGTGGAAAAATACATACGATCCGTAGTCTCCCAATTCAAGCCACCAATGAACATTTTCCTGCTCCATGATATGGTTAGTAAACGACAGATTGCAATTGTTGAACCATTGATCACTATGAATAAACATGCAACGGGACTGAGGTCAGGTTGGAAGTTGACAAGAGGAGAAAAAAAGGTCGATAAATAGCATTAAAGATCACAACCCCGACGATGAACCGTGACAGTGGTAAGGAACGGGACAGAAGGATGTGCTTGATTTGCTGCAGTTAGATGATTCTTGATGATCCGGGCACTCGGTTAAGGGATGCTAGCTGCATTTCCTCTATGAAAGTCCAATGGCACACAGGTTGTCTTCGAACACTTGGCAAGCTATTCTTGCCGCTCGATCGTGATCATGACGGCGACACCGATTGAACCCAGTGAATCGTTGTGTATTCGAAAAGAAGGTGTAAGAGCACTGATCGGTATGGGCCATCAATACATTGCCAGGGATCTCCTTGCTTAGGACAGCCACTATGTCTCTAGTCAGGGAGCAACACTGCTTTACAGCACCATCCAGTGAGATGAAGACCAAATGAGGGAGTTTCCAGCATCGAAAAAGGTATGCGAGTGGTGTCACCACGGGTTGAGTATGTCAGGCAGATGGATTATGTCCATTTCCCCCCCTTCTTATCTGTTTGTCTGCTTGTCTGTCTGCTTGTCTGTCTGCTTGTCTGTCTGCTTGTCTGTCTGCTTGTCTGTCTGTCTGTCTGTCTGTCTGTCTGTCTGTCTGTCTGTCTGTCTGTCTGTCTGGCCAACGATCCTTTTGCCTGTATGTCTAAGCAAGTCCGAAGCTAGGTAATCTGTTTCGAAAACCTCCCCAACTAGACAGCCAAGGTCTTGTTCCTTGCTGTGCTCTATCATGATATATCGACATGCAGCTATATAGTATCGGCCGTACTATAGTCGCTCGTGACACGTCTTCGGGAAGACAGAGAACCTAGTACTGGTTCCCTGCAGTTTAAGATCGTTGCCGGATCGCTGATAGATTTCTGATCCCGAGTCTCGTAATGTGGGTATGAATTTTCGCCCGTACCAGACGTAATCCAGCTCCCGCCAACGACAGAGTCAATTTATATCATGAATCTCTTGTTTGTGGCCGGGATCTCTTTTCATTAGAAACCACGATCGACTCCAAAACAGGGGAAGCCTTTGACTGAGACGATAGAACCTGATCCTTCTGCCCACAGCGCCAAACGACCGAGATTCAATCGGGTTCCAGCACAATCCGTTACTTCGTGTTGCGGTACCGAGGTGTAGTATGCAAGAGTCCCTCACGCTTCACATGGGAAATGATCCGCACGAGCGGCAACGCCCCGACAGTGATACATCTCCTCTCAATCGGAAAGGCAAAATCGATTGCAATTTGTAACCCCATGGTTCCAAGGGCAAGGGAGGATGCACAGGTACGCATGAAACGTGATAAAGACTGATTAATGAAATTTTGACTCACCCGTCTTCTTTGATTCCCGTTCCCTGAGGCTCAGAATCGCCGGCTGGAGTTGCAGAATGATTCGCAAAACCGGCGCCTCCAATCTCTACTCCTTGGTGACGTCCAGGCTGGTGCGAATACTGGTAGGTTCCGCCCGCTTCGGTCTCAACATGGCTCTGCTCGGTGTAAAGCGGTTGATGTTCTGTGGTATGAACAGATGGAGCGGAGGCGATGGGATCTGACGCCCGTGAAAGCTCTACAAGTGATGTCGTCTGGGCTGCAGTGTCATCGGCATCGTACCTGATTGTGGAAAATGAGTGTCAGCTGGTATCCACGATTGAATTCATCGACAGGAGCATCATACAGATCGGCGAAAAGGTCTTCTTCAACATCCTCGGGTTCCGCCATGTCTGCTCCGTGACTGAGTAAACTGGATGAAACACGAGAAGGCGAAAGATTGAGGACGACTGGACGATAAGAATCAGAAACGGCTAGAGAGGATAAATTGGGCTAAAGGAGAGCCAACTGTACTCAGCCGAGAGAGCAGGGCAGTGTGTGGGCTGCTACCGAGGTCAAAAGTCTTGTATCGGGAGAAGAAAAAGTGATGGAAGGGATAGGAAAAAAAAGACGAGAGAGTATGTGTGGTGGGAGAGATGAGGGTGGAGAAGGAATTAAGAACAAGGGCAAGGACGAAGGAGTCGTAGATGAAGGAAGAGAAAGAAGGAGAAGGAGGAGAAGAGATGAAAGCAGGAGCGGAGGTTGAATTGAGGCGAGAGAGCGAGGAGATACGACAGACTATGGTATGTAAGAAACCATCCGTAATGTATGTACAGTACTGTATGTACGTAATCTTAGTACAGTACCACCGCTGACTGAGCGGCCATGACGAAACGAAGCTCAGCTTCTCTCGCATCCCCAACCATCAAGATTTACTCTTGTTTGTTTTCGGATTCTTGGATTCGTTGGGCCCCTGGGGATGTTGTATTAATATCCACATAGAAGATAGGACGAAATCATCGACACAGGACATCATGTTCTCATTCAATGCCGCAGCATAAATCCACGTGCCGTGATACTTCTCTCCCCGCACTCCCCCGTCTTAGCTTTCTGTCTACCACTCCCTCCCTCCCTCCCTCTCTCTCTTTCTCTCTCTCTCTCTCTCTGTTTCCTTCACACACACTCTCTGGCTCGCTCTCGCTCTCTTTCCCCCCTCTCCGCCTTTTGTGGTTTTCTCTCTTTCTTTCTCTCTCGGTAGCCGATGATTTAATCAAACAATTTGTTACCTCCGGACGAGTAGCTTGACGCAATGGCTACGAAGAAAGCCCAACAGCAGGTAAGTCAGCTTGATGCGCTATGCAGCTCCCTTCTCCTCAGTCTTCTTCCTAAGCAGCTGGGTTGCTAATTCAATCGCTCGGTTCATTCACCGATAGGAGATGGTTCAGGTTGGTTCGTACCTCTTCATTACCCCACGTTTATCTCGCATACGAGATCACACAACTGATCCATCTCCCCTGTCGGCATCACAGATCGCACCGAGTATGTTAGCCCCGCGTTTGAGTCGCCAAGTCTCAATTTATTGAAGCGATTGAACCCGTTCCTCCCACCAATACATAGAGGTCTTGCTAACTGGCCGGAGAAGAAGGAACAATTCACCTTTTTGGAAGGCTAGGTCGGTGTCCCATAATCAGACCTCGTCCAGAACTCCGGATTCCAACACTGTTGTTGGAGCTTCATACTCCCATGCAAATATATTATTGTTAGTCCTATGGTTGCTTAGTTGAATTGCCCTCGATCCCTGGTGATTGACGCAAGGATTCTCTACAGAGGAGGACCCCAGCCGCATGCTCGTCCACGAACACCGCCTCCAGTGACTTCCACCAATCCACCGCATGACACTTTGTCTCCACACCGGCCGGGTGTATGGATATCATCTCCTCGTACCTCATACTCTGTTATCATGAACGGAGGGTTGGAAGCTTGGGAAAGTTATCGGACGAACGAACGAGAAGAAGATGAGGAGGAGGACGATGGCGATGATGACGGGGATATTGCTTACGATGATGATGAGGACGAGTTTGGTCTCCCGAGCCTTACAAGCATGCGAAGAAAGCAGAATCGAGCCACTGCTCCAATTCAACCCAGTACTATTGATCCGGACAGCGAAATAGGAAAACATGAGACCCTCGGTGTTGGACTTGGTAACAACCGGCAACGAGCCAATAGTTCCGACATCGCAGAGGAGCGTGGCGTGTCATTTTATCCTACAGCCAAGAAAAGAGAGGGTAAAATCTTACGTCCTCAGTACAAGGAAATCTTGAGAGGTTGGTGGCGGCCCACGCGCAGACAACTCACTACCAGTGCTGATCTGGATTCTAGACCCTGCGCACGCCCTCAATCTTATAGATCATGCGCCACCACCCAAAAATGCGTCCCCTAAAGAAATGGATACATATTCGAGCCGCATTTCAAGAATCAACAAATTCAAACGTTTGCTACAGACAAGCACTGTCCCTCTTGCGGAACTAAGGAATCTGGCTTGGTCAGGTGTTCCAGAAGAAGTGCGAGCAATGACTTGGCAATTACTACTAGGGTACTTGCCGACAAACAGTGAACGGCGCATTTCCACCCTTGAAAGAAAACGCAAGGAGTACTTGGACGGAGTTCGACAAGCGTTTGAGCGAAATGCTTCAAACTCCGGTAGTCCGCCTTCATCCGTCACAGGACGAGGTAGAGGGTTAGACGAAGCAGTCTGGCATCAGATTAGCATAGATGTTCCTCGGACTAGCCCTCACATCCAGCTTTACAGCTACGAGGCTACCCAACGCTCTCTAGAGAAGATACTCTACGTCTGGGCTATTCGTCATCCCGCCAGCGGCTATGTTCAAGGCATCAATGATCTTGTAACACCTTTTTGGCAGGTGTTTCTTGGTCTTTACGTCACCGATCTCAATGTTGAGGAAGGCATGGATCCAGGCCAATTACCCAGAAGTGTGCTGGATGCGGTAGAGGCTGATTCCTTCTGGTGTCTCACCAAACTCCTGGACGGCATCCAGGACAATTATATTTATGCGCAACCTGGCATTCACAGACAAGTTAGAGCATTGCGTGACTTGACAATGCGCATTGACTCTACGCTGGCTAAACATCTAGAGCAAGAAGGAGTGGAGTTCATGCAATTCAGTTTCCGATGGATGAACTGCCTGCTCATGCGCGAAATGAGCGTGCAAAACACAATACGAATGTGGGATACGTATATGGTACGGCATCTCCCCGGTTTCCAAGCCAATACACTTGCGATGAATTCATTAATTAAACCTGTATTCAGGCCGAAGAGCAGGGCTTCTCGCGCTTCCACCTATATGTGTGTGCGGCATTCCTTGTAAAGTGGACAGATCAGTTGGTGAAAATGGATTTCCAGGTTGGTATCCAACTGGGATAACGTACTTGTTAAGCAATCGCTAACTCGGGATAGGAGATTATGATGTTTCTACAAGCTCTGCCGACGAGAGGCTGGACTGACAAGGATATCGAACTTCTGCTAAGTGAAGCCTACATTTGGCAAAGCCTTTTTCAGGACTCTCGCGCCCATCTTCGCCCGGCTGGAGATCGGTCGCCCGAGAATGGCTTTCAATGACGGCTATCGTAAATCATTAAGTTTACCTTGAGCTCGCATACATCATGAAATCCCAAGAATGGTATGCGCATCTTTCTCACCAGCTGTGGAATTAAGTGAAATGGAAGCCTTTCTGGTTGAACGCCCACAACAACTTCAGAAAATCGTTTTCATCGCACATCCTTGCACGTTTATCTGCAAGCCCTGTTTCGTCTTCCAGTACCTGCCGAACCTTCTCTCGAACCAGCTCTCCAACCTTTCCTCTCTTCTTACGGCTTGACCGACCCTTTAGCGCCTCTTGTATACGGGCATTTTCCTGCTCTTTGAAAAAGTCCGGCACGTCATCTTCATCATCCACATCCATGACCTCTTCAACCTCATCCTCGTCATCTTCATCTTCCACATTGCCCGTGTCCATCGCATCTGCCGCGGTCTCGTCCGCTGGCCCGTCCTCGACTGGAATGTCATTTTGTGCACACCATGTCCGATAGTTAGCTTCCAGCATGTCCATCACGGTGGACTTTCCGAGAAAACTTGATCGGATTGTCTTGTTCTTCCGAACGAAAAGGATTCTCAAAAGTCCGTCCCATTCATCATAGTTGATTTGAGGTCTGGGGTTCTTGGGGACTAATCGGACTACACTGGACTCAACCAGCGGAGGGGGTTTGAAGTTATTCTTTCCAACCTTCATGATGTGGTCGATCTTAGCCCACATCTGAGCATTGACGGAGAGGCGACTGTAAAGCTTATCGCCCGGTTTGGCGAAAAGCCTCAGCGCGAATTCACGTTGAAACATTAGGATACAGACCCGAGGAGCGGGCGAGGTCGCGAGAAGTTTGAATGTGAGCGGAGAAGATATCTGATCGAAAACAGGTCAAGAATTGAATGCTAAGAGAAACTGGACACGAAAGCGCACCTGATAGGGAGTGTTGCTAATGCAAACGTCGAAGTACGGGAGTTCTGTCTTCATTACGTCTCCAAGTATAACATCAAGGCGATTCTGGGCGGGTGTGCCCTGTACACGTTTGGTGACTTCAGCAGCCATTCGAGGGTCCAACTCGACAGCAATGACTTTCTTTGCTTTTTCAAGGATCTTTACTGTCAAATTACCAGTACCTGGGCCAATTTCTAGAACAACCTGTAAAGAGAATACATATCAGAGATTTGATGTGCCTGAGCATTGGGCACGGCGAAAGCGTTACTCACATCACTTTGCTTCAGCTCAGCTTTCTCAACAATTCGTTGCGCGACACCGGGGTTCTTCAAGATATGTTGGCCAAGGTCCGTATTCATTTTGAAAATGCTGTTGGCTGCTTTAGTTTTGGCCGCAGCGTCAGCATATGGATTGGCTTTCGAAGCGCTGTTGCGCTTCTGTGGTTTGACCTTGGGCATGTTGGTGGATTTATATGGCGGTTGAGACAGTCAGACTTGCTGTCATCTAGAATGGGGATGTAACAGAAAGGCTATTGAAAGAGATTGTTGAGACCTCGGTGCAATGCTCCACTTTGTACTTCTGTTAGACAGGCTCGAACAAGGTAAAAAAAATCAAAGTGATTGCGGAGAATTCCTGATAAGATTACCGGAGCCGGAACAAAAGTAAATGCGAGTGTCTCGTCGCCCGTCGCATAGCATCGATATCCACCGTCGCCGCCGCCGCCCGTACCCTGTCTCCGAACAGACCCTGCTTCGAATTTACAGCTGAGTACATCCTTTGCAACGTGAGTCTCGGTCACTATGGCCTCCGGGCGGAAAGACTTTCTGAGCCAGCCCGCCCCCGAGAACTATGTTGCGGGTCTCGGTCGAGGTGCGACTGGTTTCACCACTCGATCAGATCTCGGACCTGCGCGTGAAGGACCTACGCCAGAGCAGATCCAGGCGGCGCTTGCCAAACGGGCGCAGCAGCTGGGAGCAGCTCCCCCTACTGCGTATGGGGCGGGGCGAGAAAAAGGCGGCAAGGAGGACAAAGCCGAAGAAGAGGAAGATGACGAGCGGTTTCAGGATCCGGACAACGAAGTGGGGTTGTTCGCCTACGGGCAGTTTGATCAAGAGGATGACGAGGCCGACCGGATCTACCGGGAGGTGGATGAGAAGATGGACAAAAGACGCAAGATGAGAAGGTGAGTTGACCGCCTCCTCCCGCCTCCCAAACCCAGACATGCGGTGATCACGAGTCATTCGGCGAACCAGTATTTTAATGGACTACTAACCTGGGATCTGATCTTGAATAGAGAAGCCCGCGAACGGCAAGAGCGAGAGGACTACGAACGCAAGAACCCCAAGATCCAACAGCAGTTTGCCGATCTGAAACGATCGCTAGCCTCCGTCTCTGAAGACGAATGGGCGAACCTACCGGAAGTGGGAGATCTCACGGGAAAGAATAGGCGTGCGAAGCAGAATCTCCGACAACGGTTTTATGCGGTTCCGGACAGTGTGATTGCCAGTGCAAGGGATTCAACTCAGTTCGACACAACCGTGGCGGACGACGGTACTCAAACCAGCGCCGCGGGCGCGGATAGCGCGGATGGAACGATAACGAATTTCGCTAATATTAGTGCTGCGCGTGACAAAGTACTCCAGGTCAGACTAGATCAGGCTGCGCTTGGCTCATCAGGAGATTCGGCTTCGGGAAGTGCCACTAATATCGACCCTAAAGGATACCTTACAAGTCTCACTCAGTCGGAGCTCAAGGCAGGTGAAGTGGAAATCGGCGACATCAAGCGTGTTCGTGTTCTTCTGGAATCGGTGACAAAGACAAATCCCAAACATGCTCCGGGTTGGATAGCTCTGGCTCGTCTGGAAGAACTTGCTGGTAGAGTTGTGACGGCCAGGAATGTCATCGCCAAAGGTTGTGAATTATGCCCGAAAAGTGAAGATGCTTGGCTGGAGAATATCCGACTCAACGAAGGACATAACGCCAAGGTCATCGCTGCAAATGCGATCAAGAACAATGATCGCTCTACAAGACTCTGGATTGAGGCGATGAGGTTGGAGACTGAGCCCCGGGCAAAGAAGAATGTTCTCAGACAAGCTATTCTTCACATACCCCAGTCCGTCGTTATCTGGAAGGAGGCCGTTAATCTGGAGGAGGACCCGACAGATGCACGTCTTCTTCTCGCAAAAGCAGTTGAGATCATACCTCTGTCGGTGGAGCTTTGGCTTGCTCTAGCACGTCTTGAGACCCCCAAAAATGCTCAAAAGGTTCTGAATGCCGCTCGAAAAGCGGTGCCTACCAGCCATGAAGTCTGGATTGCGGCTGCCAGATTACAGGAGCAAATGGGCACATCCGAGAAAGTCAATGTTATGAAGAGAGCTGTGCAGGAACTGACAAGGGAGAACGCGATGCTCAAAAGAGAGGAGTGGATCGCCGAGGCTGAGAAATGTGAGGAGGAGGGTGCCGTTCTCACCTGTGGTGCTATCATCCGCGAGACTCTCGGATGGGGTCTCGACGAGGATGATGATCGCAAGGACATCTGGATGGGGGATGCAAAGGCTAGCATTGCACGGGGCAAGTACGAGACAGCCAGAGCTATCTATGCCTATGCACTCCGTGTCTTCGTCAATCGCAGGTCGATCTGGCTTGCGGCAGCCGATCTCGAGCGCAATCACGGTAGCAAAGAAGCACTATGGCAGGTTCTTGAAAAGGCCGTGGAGGCTTGTCCACAAAGCGAAGAGCTGTGGTTGCAACTCGCTAAGGAGAAATGGCAATCTGGAGAAATCGATGATGCTCGACGAGTGCTCGGTCGTGCTTTCAACCAGAACCCGAACAATGAAGATATCTGGCTGGCCGCTGTCAAATTGGAGGCTGATGCCGACCAGACGAGTCAGGCTAGAGAGCTTCTTTCCACAGCCCGCCGTGAAGCAGGGACGGATCGCGTATGGATAAAGAGTGTCGCATTCGAGCGGCAATTGGGCAATGCTGATGAGGCCCTTGATCTCGTCAACCAAGGTCTCCAGCTCTATCCTAAAGCCGACAAACTTTGGATGATGAAGGGTCAGCTCTATGAAGCTCAGAACAAGTATCCTCAGGCAAGGGAGGCTTACGGAACGGGTACCAGAGCGTGTCCCAAGTCTGTACCGCTCTGGCTGCTGGCTTCTCGGCTGGAAGAAAAGACTGGGGCCGTTGTCAAAGCTCGCTCGGTTCTGGACCGCGCCCGTCTTGCGGTACCTAAGAGCCCGGAATTATGGACCGAGAGTGTGCGGGTAGAACGGCGTGCCAACAATCTCGCCCAAGCCAAGGTGTTGATGGCAAAAGCCCTGCAAGAGGTCCCTACATCCGGTCTTCTGTGGAGCGAAAGCATCTGGCACCTTGAGCCTCGTTCGCAGAGAAAGGCCCGTAGCTTGGAGGCTATCAAGAAGGCTGATAATGACCCGATCTTGTTCATCACTGTAGCTCGCATTTTTTGGGGAGAGCGTCGGTTGGAGAAGGCTATGACCTGGTTCGAAAAGGCTATTGTCACCGACAGTGACCTGGGCGACGGGTGGGCTTGGTATTATAAGTTCCTGTTGCAGCACGGTACTGAGGTATGACTACACTCTATTACCCTTTGCTTTCTTGTGTCTTTGCCCCTATTCCTGAACATATCATGGTCTAATATTTGGTTGTGTGCAGGAAAAACGAGCAGATGTTGTGGCCAAATGTATCACGACCGAGCCCAAGCACGGCGAAGTCTGGCAATCGATAACCAAAGACCCGGTCAATGCGCGCAAGTCAACGGAAGAGATTCTCAGAATGGTCGCAGATCGCCTCACTCAATGAGTTGCCCTGGTACACAGTCTAGACTCTCATCCCAACAGAGTCCGGTCCTAGTGATAGCGTACCGAAAGATTGCCCAGGGCTGGCGTGGGGACGCATCAGATGGCCGCGAGCTTGACCAGCTCAATGAGCTCGAACCACCAACAGGTCAACAGAGTGCAGCTTGCTTGACTATCATTAAGGTTATAGGTCAAATTAAGGCGGCTCTGAGAAGGAAGAAGCAGTGATTCTCTCCGCTATGGATGGCTAGCAAATCAGACCATCCAGCACATATGCTGGGACAAACTTATGTACAGTCCATAGAAATATGAAGCTCATCGCCAGGTTCGCGGGACTAAGCCCTTGCATCCTGGAGCTCAAAGACATATCATATATGTAGCATGCCAAGATTTTGTTTCCGATCATCCTAGTACGTACATGACCAGCCCTTATGTCCAACAGGCAAGAGTATTGTAGCGCGCAGACTCAAGATGTTACCGAATCGATCACAAATCCCTCTCAAACAAAATTGGCTTGCTAAGGGAGTGTGGGTAGTGCGACTCGGAACGTGTTTGCGTCACATTCCGGGAGACGCCGGGTTTTGGGGGGGGGGGATGCATCACAGTGAGCCGAACTTACTGTGCACAAAGTATTTAGGAAACAAGCAATGAAGCAAGTAGGCAAGACATTGATGTGAGGAGGAAACAGATTGATATAAACAAAAGAACAGATATTATCTTTAAACTCCATGCCAAATGCAAAAATAACAGTGTCGCGCACCGTGGCGGCTATCTTAATGACTCCCAAGACGCCCTGACGCTTCCGGCCAGATCCAAGATGCTGAACTCAATCTTCGGTGCACCAAGATGGATATGTATGTGAATGTATGTGTATCAAGAACAGACGACATAAAAGTGCAGCGCATCAAAAGCAACGGATATCAAGCGGCTTGAGCCTGTGAAGGCCGAACATGAAAAAAGACAGTAAAGGAACGGGAGGCCAGCTGGAACGCAATATATAGACAGAGGGGAGAAGAGAGAGCGAGAGAGGCTAATATTCACGCGGCCATGGATAAACACTCATCCAATAAAGCACCCAAGTGCTCCCTATCAGCCGTTGTGCCTCCCTCCCAATCCGAATCAAGGTCGTCAATCTCCATTTCATCAGAGAAGAGATTTTTTCCCGCATCATCATTCGTTATCTCCACATCATCGTTTCGATCATGCTTTTCTGCCTCAAGTTCATCTTCGAGATAGCCTCCCATAATCTGGTCCACAAGCAAGGGCATATGGCTGAGAACACCGCTGCCGAGTTCTAGTGCTAGCCGGAGGTCTCGAACGCCCAATGGTTTTCGGGCCCCTGCCTCCTTAGCTTCAATTGGGAGCAATCCTGTCGCACTGTCTTTGACAATCTCCCCACGCGTGAAAGCCAACTCTTCTCTTTCCAGCTGTTGTCGATACTTGCGCATCATCATACCGTTAATGGTTCCCGAGGGACCGTTAGATCTTGTTCGTGAAAAGACCACCGACAAGACTTCCTTGACGAACGTTTCTGTTGCAATGGCCATGTATTCCGCACAGGGTAAGCTTGCACCACTGACTATAGATTCTTCATAGCATATAGGAACCATGCGTGCATGAATCGATTCAGCATCCGGAAACTCGCCGGTCTCAGATGCTAGTGGTTGTGCATAACGTTTTCGAATTTCCAATTCCCAATCTACCGCAAGCAAACCAGTAAGCTTCCAATCCCAATGAATGAAACACCTCAAGCCATCCGCAAAGTTATGAGACCTACTTGTCTTGTTTAGTCCGCCGGCGCTGGCAGGTACTTGACTGGGCAACTTGATCTGTTTCGCTAGGTGATATACCGCCAAGTCGTTGGACGAAATTTCATTGTGGTCACGCTGTCCAGTTTCAGATCACATTAGACTTGTTTATAGACATTCTATGTGGCGTGTTCAACCACACCATGATAAACGGGCTACCTACCTCTGGTATAGCTTTAAGTCTGCGCCGGTCCCTCGCAGGCAGCTGCATCACTTCCGTCTTAAGTCTCTGTTCGGCGGCATCTCCAGAATTTGGTTTCGACACGACCGAAGGCTTGTCGTTTGCGGATACCCAGCTGGCAACTCCATGGTCGGGAAGATCTCGGGTCAGGTTTCCGATGATCGCGCAGACAAAGTGATTGTGGAGGTGCTCGGTCTTTTGATCGGCGCATATGATATGGTCTACGCGCGAGGAGAGTTCGCTCTGATTCAGTTGTCCTGGTTTTTGAATCAATGCGTCAGTATCACGAATTTGGTTTGGAATAAAGGTAGAGCGGAGGTGTGGGGTCACATAGATACGACCGTAGGAGACAGCACCGCGATGCGGTCGCAAGTTCCCAAGGTGGTCATCGTGTGACTGAAGGAAGAGCTCGTCAAACCAGACTCACCCAATAGAAAAAGGGCGGTCGCCTCCTTATACTCAGACCAGTGGTCGCCGATGGCGGCCTTCAGCTCCGTGTAGACGGGTTCCAAGTCGAGTCGCGGAACGGCGTTCAGCGGCTTGGTCGACTTCTGCAGTGCTGAAGCACTGGGCGCGGAACCCTTGGACGGAGTGATCGCGGCAGATGCAGAGTCTGACCGACTCAGAGCAGCTGGGTCGATCTGCATGGTTGCGATGCTCGGAGCTGCGCGACGGGGCTGCGCGAAGCCCGGGTGGGAGGAGGAGCGGCGGAGGGGAAGGGTGGAGAGGGAGAGGAACTAGGCCTTCATGAAGGGGACGGAACTCATTCCACTCAATTTATCCCGGCGGGCTATATTTCAGTCGATAAGATGGAACGGAAGCATGCGAGAGCTCGTTGGGTGGGTGATGGCGGAGACGCGCGTTGATGAAATTGACAATGAGGAATAGGAAAGAGAGAGAGAATGACGGTGGTGGATGGGAGGAAGGAGGGAGGAGAGGCTGTTGGACTTTCCGACAATCCGCAAACGAGAACAATCTCCTCCTCCCAGCCCCCCTCAACCACAAAGAATAGTTAGTATAGGGCTGTCAAATAGATTGAGGACTATTTTCTTATATTGATTCTCTGCTTGGAACTACTTTTCCCGGGAAGTATTCCCTCTCTCGGGGGTTTCTAGTTGCTACAGTCCGGTTTCTTTTCCCTACCTCAGATCTAAGCATATAACTTCACTGCCTCCTCATCTAGGACTCCGAAGAGATGACCAATTTCCCCCAGAATTGCTTCAATTTCTCCGGACAACTGTCCCACCACCAACACTAAATCTTGATTTTAGTCTCGCGTGAATGGGATTTCTGCAGAATAAAGAACATACCGTAGGCATACAACAGGGCGTAGTCTTCGTCGGTTGACAACCGAGATGCCTCAGGGTCTTTACGATAGTGAAAGAGACGCGCTAGAAGTCGATCCCGGGCGTGCTCGACGTTGGGAAGCGCGTCGCTTAAAGGGTACTCCAGTTTCATCGAAGAGGCCATAACTGATTTTAGGGTCAGTATTTCTTTCGCCGCCCTTCTGCCGATTGCACTTTACCTGTCAGCAAATGACTGATGCGATAGGACAGCTGCTGCCGTTCCTTGACGGTGTAACGTAGAATGGACAGCTCTCCCTCGGAGGCAGTCATGTTTTTAACCAGTTCAAGATTGATGGCGACGAAAGCATCCACCATGCTGCGAGTGCGACGAAGGATATTGCCGTAGCTGGCGTCGGGAAACGCACTTTTCAACTCAAATTCTGAACGAGCTGAGGCCTGCAGGGACTCCAGGTGTGACAGGAACCGTTCGACCTCCAGTTTCTCTCGGGCACTCATGAACCCGGCAGACTCCTTTGGATTTGCCAAGGTGGACAAGGGACCACGTTTCCATATCAAGCTCATTCGAAGCCAAAGCAAACTCAGGCCGTCTTTCAGCCTTTCCCGGGCACTGATCGGCCAGATCATTCGTGTGATAATGATACCCCAGAGACAGCCTGACAAGACGGCAACCACACGATGAAGGGCAATCTCAGTGATCACGGGGCTGTCGCCTCCTTCATCTTGATCATTCCTCCCTTCCTTCTGGGCAAGTGAGTAGGCGTAAAGGACCGAGAGGTTGTATGTCAGCATGATGAATCTACCCATTGGCCCTTGACCTCGCACAATGATGATATAAAAGTTCCAACAGGCCATAAGCAAGCCTACACAGGCGAGACCATACACATTTCCGCCAGTGACATACCACGAGAGGATAGCACAACCCGCGCCCATGCAAGTGCCCAAGAACCGAGCGTACCCCGTCGTGTTCGATGCCCCAATGGTCATGGAACAAACCAACATATATGAGAGTAAACCCCATTCACCTCGCCATTGGCCATATACTGGCCGAGTAGACGGAATGAATGCGGGCAGGGCATAGAGTGCAGCGCCAGTGCCAACCTTGATCGCAAACTTGGTATCGTCCCGGCGAAACATACCCAAAGAGCGCCACAATCGATAGCCAAGTCTCTGCTTTGCGAGACTAATGGCGGTGACATCAGATGACACGCTCGAACTACTAGGCGGGTCTGGTACATGGTGCTCGCCTATATCGGCCTGCCCCATCGTGGCATCCAGCTCGTGACCTGTTACCGTCCCTTTGAAAGTCCAGCGCCAAAACTTGAGCCAGTTCCATGATCGTCCATCGGGCCTCTCCTCACTCACAAGCTGCAGCTCATCTAATATGGCCAGAAGCTCTTTCAGCTGCTCCCCAAACTCGAGCAATGAAAAACTGAAATGCCCGCAGCTGGCCGACACCTCCTCCAGATCGGCCTCGACTTCCAGCGTTTGGATGCCTAGAACTTCCCGTTGTCTATAGATGGTTTTAAGTGCCTCTTCTCGCGAATTTCGGTACAATTCCAGTGCTCGATCGAGGCTCGAGCGGTATCTGCTATTTATTGATACTCGATAGTCGGATTCCGGTTTGAACGGAATATCACGGAATATCTCCTTCAATGTGAACGCAAGGGATCTCTGAGGCTTGTTATCAGTACTGACTGCGTGGCATCTTCCTTGTCAGGTCCACTTACCATGGACGGCCCCAGATGGCTGATGAATACAGCGAAGATGTCCGCTGGGTAGAGTACCTGTTCAGCCCCTCGACCGGTGCCATTCTCCGCATAGAAATTGAATCCGTCCGCACCCGCTGCTTCTAGCAGCTCCTCTTCTGGCCTCTCGTAGATGGGTTCCAAAAGCGGGCGGTCTTCATGCAATGACCATGGACTGGGCAGCGGACCAGAGCCCAGCCCAAAGCCAGGATCAGTCCCCTGATGCGCGGCCTCGGCAGCTTTCGTTTGTTTGAGCAGTTGGAATTGTAGATGAGCAGCACTGCGCAAACCGCCCATGTTGTGAGTGATATCCTGGACCCAGCGGACCAGTGTCTTCTCGAGTCTGTACTCCTTTTCTGTACCTACGACGAAGTGCTCCATTTTGGCTTCACGCACAAGCCTGTCCAGCTGCCCATACGCTTTCTTATGCCGTGCAGCGGTAGTGAGAAATTCCGCTGTTTGGAGCTCCTCTTCCGAGCCACTCAAGAAGCTTTCAGTGATCAAAGCTAGCATTGTGGCCAAAGTTTCCGTGACCGTGGTGAGATTAGACCGCAGCTGTTTTCGTGCCGAGATTGGAAAGATCAAAAATGAAACTGCCATGGAGGCGGTTACGCCCATGACCACCATCTTAAGGACTTGGGAGATCTTTGCGAATGACAAGTCACCACTTTGCACCGCACCTTCTTTGGTCAACACCGTGATGGTGGAAAGAGACGCCAGAGAGCATGCGACGTTGACCAAAGGATCACCAAGTCTCTGCTTTGTCCAGCCAATAAAGCCTAGGCCACCTCCACAAAACACGACCAGAACTACAGCGTGACCGAGAAGGAACATGTGTAGGGTATCCTGGAAAAACATCGAGACAAACATACTGGTTACGGAGATGAGAGCGGCGTAGAGGAAGGCGGCAAAGGCACATATCAGGGCCTTGTACATGCTCCCCTGCGATCGCGCCGGGTGGAAATAGACGGTGACCGTGGCCACCATGTGTTTGCCATCTTGATGGCCCAGGAACGAGGATATAGCGGGCACAAATGTTGCGAGCGAGCCAAGCAGATAAGCCAAACTACATTTCAAGACTCCAATTCCCAGTTCCGAGGAGAAGAAGTCGTGCGCTTGCGGACCAATACTCTGGAATTTACCCCACAGGTGTGCGGATAGACCTTTGCGAGGGGCGGGGATCTCGCCGGTCAGGAGCGCTCGTCGCTCGTCGTCATTACTGCTGCCATCCAACCCCCAATCCGGATTTCGTAGATTGATAAGACCTTTTAGTCGCTGACCTGTTCGTGGAAGGACAAAAGTCGCATATCGTAGCTAATTCGAATTTTGAGAGCGTCAATTACCGCTAAGAATAAGCTTGATGTAGAAGGGTATGGTAGAGGGGAAAAGAAGTGGGTGATCATAAACGCTGCTGGCTGGCTGACCTTCTTGGGACGTAGAATGCGGCGGGAACTGCTTGATGAGTCCCCGGGCAGAGACATCTTATCACTTCATGATCCTGAACTTAGGCAGAGAACAAGGTAGGGAAGAAAAAAAAAGAAAAGAGACAGGAAGGAGAAGGAGAAGGGAGGAGAAGAGAAAAGAAAGGACGAAGAGAGGAGATCTGGCAGGGCAATGGTCAAGAGCCTGAGAAGAGGACCAAAGCCCGGGATCACACTACCACTACCTAGAGAGTTTACCTACAAAGAAGAGAACAACCCAGAAAAACATGAATTGAATTGAAGAAGTGGGAATTCATCAATGGGGAAGCTTGAATCGCGCCCCGGCGGTGGAGAGCTGGTCATCCGACCAATTGGCATGTCAACCTTAGGCATCCCCGCTCTGGGCCCCGTTACTCACTGCCCGCCCCGGGCGTCGATCCACACTCACCACGCGCAGTCTTCCCAGTGCATGATGTTCTGACTGAATACGTAGCATGTACTGTAACTACAGTACATACGCAGTTAGCATCATGTAGCTAGTAGTACTTGAAGTATATGTACTGTACTTTATACACTACTCTATGTATGATGATCTGTATACGAAGAACTCTCTGGCTTTTAAGAACACTCTAGAGATCATGCCAATCCTTCCACCTTCCACACCTTGATCGCGGCATCTGCTCCAGCCGACGCAATCTTGGACCCTCCCGCAATCCAAGCTACTCCGTTCACGCCCTCCTTGTGAGCATTCGACACTTGCAACCAGTCCCCCGGTTTAGTCAAACTCCACACGAAGATGTTGGTGTCGAGGCCCCCACTAACTACATGTGTATTGTCCTCATTCCACGCAATCGATGTGACTCGGGAGGTGTGTGCCGTCCACCGGTCCGTGACCAGGTTGCCATTCGCAGCCTGGTAGACCAACACACGGCCTCGGGAATCCCCAACAGCCAGGAGTGAGCCATCCGGAGAAAAGGCTAGAGCTGAGATGGGGTGTCGTGATGCTTTGAAGTCAGTCTTGGGTGTCAACCCGTCGGCTGAAACGTCGAAGATTTGAACCGAGGAGTCCTCGCCACCTAAGGCTGCAAGATTACCATGGGCTGCAACTGTCGTCACGGCAAACTGGGGCTTGAATTCGCCGGTCTTGAGCGCATCATGATAGACCTCGACACTTTCGGTAGTCCCCACCACCACCTTATCCTTCGCAGCCGCAATGCCTTTCGGTTGACCGGACAACTTAGTTGAGATGCCGGTGTAGGTTTTAGCACCGAGATCCACGGATCGAATCGTGTCATCCCAAGCGACACTGTAAATCCGGCCGGTGCCCTCGTGAGTCGGAGCGAGACCGGCAATGTACGCTGTATGGCCATCCCCTTCCATTTCCTCCGAAGTCCCCGTCGGAACATCCCAGTGACAGACTCTCCCGTCAAAACTGCCTGACCATAGTGTTTCCGCGTCGCTACCAGACCGGAATTGAGTCAAGGACGTGATGTTCTTCTGATGGCCTTGGATTACCTGCCGGGGCTTGGGAGTGCCTTCCACTAGGTAGTTTAGATCCCCGCTCAACGAGAGACTGATGAGCAGGCTATCAGTTCTGGCTGGTGGCCACACCACACCAACCTGCTGATCTCTGACGTTGGACACTCCTTCCTCTCCGATATCCCAGCTCTGCGTAACCTTACCCGCTTCCACATCCCAGATCTTCACGGTTCGATCGGCACTGGCAGTCACAAACTTGCGCGAGTCCTTGGCCCATGAGACAGCAAAGATGCTGCCTTTGTGCTCCCTTTCTCCAATTTGACCTCTCGGCTCGCCAGTCTTGCCATCGTAGAGCCAAATCTTTCGGTCAGCACCGACACTGACCAGGGTTGAGCCATCGGGGCTGAAGCCAACGCCATAGATATAATTGATGTGTTTGTCTCGAATACCAGTATTGAACTTGAACGGAGCGCCGTGGTAGAAAACAAGATTTTTATCATCACCGGCGGCAGCGGCCCTCAATGGTCTTTGTTGTCTGATGGAGACAGAGTTGATCTGTTGCGTGTGTCCGTAGATCTCACCGACCGTGTTGCCACTGTCCCATGTAATACAGTGCCCATATCGCTGCTTACCGTCACCGACGGCAATGATGCGCTGCGAATCACCGTCCCAAGCAAGGTCGTTGATACGGCCATTCACGATACTGTATTCACCCTTGGTGATGCCCTCTCCGGCACAGTCCCAGACACGCACAATACCAGTCGCATCCCCACTCGCCACATAGAAGCCGGAGGGGGAAAAGCGGGCGACTGTTGTCTGGGCCTTGTGTTCAGTGTACTGCCTGGCGATGGAGGGGTTGTCGATGGAGCGTAAGAAGATGGACTTATTCGCCTATGCAGTAAATCGAGATTTCGTCAGCGATCCGGCATTGAGACTCGCTTTGAAGAGCGTACCGCATATGCAAGTCGTTCGCCTTTGGCGTCCGACGAGAGTTGGGTGGGTTGACCCCTCGTGGTGGTGGGGGTCGCAGCCCAGATCGATTCTATAAAGTGCCTAGTGAGCAGAGGTCAAGGCTTAGCCAACAGAGGAATGCGAGGCCGACCGTTGGTAATTGACATGGCTGAGCCAGCAGACAATATCAGTGATTATGTGGTAGAGTTTATAGAGCAGACTTTTGGTTGGACGAAAGACACGCAGATGAAGAAAGAGAGAGGGAAACGGAAGATGAGACGAGAGACTCGGGCGGGGGGGGGATGTTTACTGTTGACGTCGTAGTACGGATTTCGGGGCCTAGACGGGTGGGGATACTTGCCGCTGCTGGTTTTCCCTCCACAAGCATCTCACCCTTGGTCGGTCGAAAGTTCGTGGTCTCGTACACATCACGTAAGAGAATGCAAATTCTCCGTAAAAACATATAGATATATTGTTATTGGGCGCCAATGCTTTCCATCAAGGCAAAGTGGGAGAGTACATGGATGGTGACAGCCCCAAATTCAAAGATCATCTTATAACATACGAGTGAACAACATAAAGCATGTCCACGAGGGAATATAAATACAAGCCAGACCCAATCGACACCATCAATGCGATAATTACTGAGTAGAAGCCGATCACTCAGAACACGCTACCTCGCCCCGAACGAGCCATAGCGCGGGCGGCCAGAATTTCTGGGTGTCGGTGAACACTGGGCATCAGCCCGAGTCCAATTGCCCTGCGGATGGCCTTGGCCATTTTGCGTTGGTTAACTGGACGCAAACCAGTCTCCCTGCTGTGCTTGATCCGGCCCATGTTGGACATGAATTCGGACATGATCGTGAAGTTCTACCAGAGGCGGCTCGTTAGCAAGCACTCCCAGGCTATTCTCACGGCCTTATTATCGGCAACCTTCTCTCTTACATACCTTATACATGTGTAGGGGATTCAGTTTTAGAGCGTCAAAGATATCAGTGGACGGGCCAACGCTGTTTCTCCATTTGCTCATCTCCGCAGGACTCAAGTCGTGAGGAGCATGAACATCACCGGCCCTCCATTCACGAGTCATGAATTTCTCCAATGGGCGGCTTTCGCTCGCGTCCTTAGAGTTCTCAATAAACCTTTTTCGGTTCAGGATGCGCCTTTTACCTAGAAAGAGACAAGAGACAGTCAGCTATGCCATTTTCTAAGAAGGAACATGCCGGGGATCCAAGCTAAGGCAGATATGAGAATGAAATTAGGTCAAAAATTGACCAGCACGCAGCAGAGTCACATACTGCTGGTGTAACCGCGATTTAGAGTCCGCTCAGCGTTGGGAGCAGCATTTGAGGCAGTAGTCGAATTCCAGCGACGAGTAGACACGGAGTTGAAGGTCGAGCCGAGAGTGCGCAATGGCGACCAGGAAAAGGAGTGGAGCGCCATGTTTGTCAACAATAGAGTCAACTAGGTGATTGCATGCAAGCGGAGAGAGTCGAAAGGTGAAGATGAAATCGATTTTCGCCTTTTCGGGGCGGGCGGGCGCCAAGAGCCGCCTCCGACAGAATCATGGAGCTTTCCGCCTTCCTTCATCCTTTTTACATCGCTCCCCCCTCCCCAAACACAATTCAGTCATTCAATCAAGCTGTCACCCCACATTTAATCGCAGACTCCATTGCTTCAAGCCATGGTACCAGGCGGCTTTGCCAGGCTCTCGTCTATGTCTTCTCTTTCCTTGCACTGATAAACATAAGTTACAAACACTACCAGGTGCTCGAAGGCGCACCGCACTCCCAAAATGCAATCCCACCTGACCCGGCGAGTTTTCCGCGCGATTCTCAATAATGAGCCGCTTCCATCTTCGCGCTGCCTCTATCGCTCGCTGCACACTGTCCGGAATTTTCGGCTTCGCGGACTCGATCTCCCGGCCTTTCATCACAATCAGCGACGCGGTTTCTTCACGTATAATGCGGCCCCGACCTCCAATGTCCAATCTGCAACGTTGCCCTCGGAGATTGGCCTAAAGCCCATGAGAGACCTCATGAGATCACTAGCCGACAAGAGCCGAGGACCTACCTTTGATGTTCTAGCCAAAGCCTTCAACGACTTCCTGGGACAACGCACTGTGCTGCCCGGTGTCATTACACACTTCCATGCGACATTGCTCTCCGTCACCTGGCATCACATGCGAACTCATGCGGAAGAACTAAGTTCCGAAGAATGGCAGAGGACTCTGTCTACTGAAGCTCTCGAAAATGTGCTCTTCATTCTCTCACAAGCAAAATGTCTACCCGAATCGCAAACAGTTGTGCGGAAATTGGCTCGTGCGGTCTTTACGGAATTGTGTCGTGATCCGTCACCAGGGATGAAACACATCAGCCGGTCTGCTTTCATTGCATATATAAATTTACAGGCTTTAAATGGCCGCCCAGATGAAGCACGCGATGTCCTGGAGCGTTTCTGGTTCAGACTGAAGAAAGCTCGCCCGACTCCTTGGCATGCGGTTATGAAGGGATTCGCCATGGTCGGCCAGAAGCGTCAGTTAGCACTGACAGCGGAGAACCTCGAAAAATATGGCGTCAAGTTTGACAGCAAATCTCATGAAGACCTTGTCAAGTTTCTAATCCAAAAGAATATGCTCAATGCGACGAAGACATTCTATGAATGTCCTTTGTCCAAAGGGCAGAAACCCGCTGTGTCCGTGAAAGAGGCCGTCATAAAATATGCTGTCTTAAACACCGAGATTGCTTGGGCAGAATCTGTGTTTGAAACACTTTCAGACGAACCGGTGGCCGAGACGATAGGTATTACCCTCTTCTGGGAAGCCGTGCAAAAGCAAAGTGCTTGCGCCGTCTTAGATAAAGCCAACATCTTGATGGCAGGCGATCAGCGTGCGAGGGAAGCACTGACCATCTCGTGTGTGAATGACCTGATTGAGTACGCAAACGCCATTCGAAACCCTGCCCTAGCCACCAGCTTTGCTACGCTGGCCTCTCAATGGGGTTTAGAATCCGACACGAGAACGCAGCTTTTGCAATTGGAATCCTACATTCAAGCAGGTGATGTTGCGAGGGCATTGGACTCCATTGAAGAGTTGCAGGATCCGGAATCGATAGCGCTCGCCAACATGCCACTAATAGACAAGCTCATCACACTTCTCTGCCAATCCGGCCAGGACGATGCGATATTCGACCGCGTTTCGACTTTCCTGGATCCGTTGTTCGAGAACAATGTATGGCTAGAAGCAAGCACTGTGGCAGCGATCACACACATGCTACTCTACCGACACGACTGGGAGGGCGTTTCGGAATTACTCCGCCCACGACTTGGGCTGTATGACACTGAAGAACGGACGAAGATCCGCAATTCGCTGACCGGGTTCATTTTGGACCTCAATCAAAAGAGTTCCGACGCGTGGGAGACGTATAACCTCCTGCTGCTCGCCTTCCCGGAAACCGGCGTCAGCATGCGCACGGACATCATGGCTTCATTTTTCAAACGCTACCGCAGCGACCTCGCCTACCTCGTCTTTGGCCACATGCGACAGGCGGAGGATTTCGCCCGGCGGCCGAAACCCGACACCTACGCCCGCTGCTTCATAGGCATCGCTCGCAACCAATCCGCCAAGCATCTCCAGCTCGTGCACAACATGCTCAAGCTCGACGTCGAGGTCGACCTGACCACTCGCGTACTCGACGGACTCATGCTCGCCTATGCCTCCTGCGACATGTCCGAGCAGGCAATGAAAGTCTTCCAAAGCATCCTCCAATCGGACGAGGGTCCGTCCCACAAAACCATTCCCATCTTCTTCAAGGCGTGCGCCCATCACAACAACGGTGTTCAGGAGGCCCTGAAGATGATGGACAAGGTTAAATTGCTCGGCATTGAGCGCAACCGCCAGCTGTACATGGCGTACGTCTTGGCTCTGGCCGCACATTGCGAGTTTGATCTCGCCACCGAGGCGTTGGAGACGATGCAGGCGGAGACCGGCCTGGAACCGACCCGCAACTCGTTAGTTCATCCTGCTCCTCTTCTATTCCCGTTTCTTCCCTCTCATGCAGTAGCGATGTGGTATGCTAATTTGCTCTTTAGAATTGGTCATTTCTATAATGCAATTCCTTCCCAACACTGGAAAGATGAAGTCGAGAAGTGGGCCCGAGCCAAATACCCCGAGCTGTGGGCGCAGCTGGAGCAGATAGAACGCAGGGAGCATGACGAGGGCCTGCGATTTAAGATTGAGACGAACGAGATTGCCGTCTAGGTGTATGTACATGAAAATAGACTATCTCAGGAAGTTCTTTGTATGTATAGTGCGATTTAGCGGTTCATTTGTGATCCGTGGACGAGCGTTTATTTCTGATGCCGTTGTAATCGACACGTATGTGGATGTGCCAAACTTACGAAGAACTTAAAAAGCGGCTCCGAATGACTGTGCCGTCAAATTGTACTGCCGTCGCAACGTGCACACCATCATTGGCCCCGTATTTTGAAAATCCACCCATGCTACTCAAATAACTTGCAATAAGCATCGTGGGAAAATGAAGAAAAAGGAGATTGAAGCTTGAATTCAAACAACTCGCTGTATTAAGTTGGGCTCTTAGTGGCTTTTCTGTATTCCGTGAAACAGCAGGCATCCAGTCATAATTGATATATCCATAACACACTGCATATATGCAGTAGGCATAACCCGGAAAGATGCACCTCATCGCATATTCAGAAAGAATCAGGGACACCATGTATATCCGTCTAAGCATCATGTTTTACGCTTGGGAAATCTGCGCAAGTCGCTTGGTCATGCTGATGTTAAATGTTAGCGAAAGCAGTAGGTTCAGGGTTAAAGGCGACTTACAAATCGAAGAAAGAAAACTGGCTCGGGCTGCTGCCATACTCGTAGACAAATCGACTGGCGAGGTAACTGCCGAAAATAGCCCGCAGGTAGTTCTCTGGCACCCGCTGGAGGATAGTGTCCAGACCGATCTTGTTCAGGAGCAGCTTGGGAAGAGCATCATGGAGAACCGAGCGGCGGAGTTCGACGTTATCCCACAACTCGGTGTTCTGCAGTTCTTCGTCCAACTTGGTGATAGCGATACTGAGCTGATCGCTGAGCACACTGCGGAGCATACCGGTCTGCTCATGTTCGCGCCAAATGGCCTCGAACTCCAGAGTGGCGTTCTGCTTGATCACCTCTTGGACCTGCTTAACGTAATCGCTGTAGAAGGTCGGCACAGTCCCGTCCTCGCGAATGCACATGTTCTCCACGAACTCAGCATCATCGAAAGACAGCGAAGCCAAGACCTCCAGGGAAGAGGATGTCACACCACCCTTGTTGGCAGATGCGTCCTTGAAGAGTATACAGCCGGCGCGCTCCAGGCGAAGCTTGCTGTCTTGAGTGATGAACAGGTTGGCACCTTCAACAATATAGGGAATGGTGGCTTTGCCGTCGTTGATTAGCTTTCCGACGGTAGACAAGTCGATTGACTCAGGCCGACCACCGCAAGGCACAAATGTATCGTACTGCTGATCATTGCGCAGGTGGAACAGGTTGCGGAAGATCATTCCATTGTGGACGAGCTCGCCGCTGGGTAGTCTCACGTTACTCTCATCCACCAAAACCCGATAACCCTGGGGAGAAAGCTTCGACAGGTCGAACTCCGAGATGGTAACCCGATTCTTGGCCAGTCGAACGAGCTCATCATGGTTGAGACCCTGGGGGTCAACTATCACGCCAGAACCGTCTACAATGGCGGTGTACTTCTCGTTTGCAAGGAGGATCTCATTGGAGCCTAGATCACCATCGGGACCACCAGTTTGCAGCTTGCGAATAGTGCTGGGGTCGATCTTTAACTTGCGATAGATTCCGAGGACATACTGACGGACAGACAAAGTTGTCATTCCATAGGTGTCGTGAGGAATACCTCCTAGTCTGGGGCTCTTGCCAGTGAAGAAAGACTTCCACCATGGGGCACCTCGGTTCCGTGCATGCTCTGTGGCCCAGTCGACCAGCTCGGCCGTGTTTTCATCCGGACCCATAAACAAGATCTCGTCTTTGCCGTACAGATCAACTATAGGGTCCTTGATACCAGGACTGACAGGTGGCAGCAAGAGGTCAAGGATACTGTCAATGTACTTCTCAAAAGCGACACGAGCCTTGTCCTGGTGGTTCACATCGAGCAGAATCACGCCTTTGGCACCCCCTTCAGGAATATCCTTGTTCTTGCGCTGCTGGGTGTTGGCCAAGTTGTAGTTCTCGTCGAACAGGGAGCGGGCGTTGATGCTGTAGGCTTCCTTGTTGCGGCTCTTGACAATACGAATACCTCCGCGGGCGATATCACGGAAACGCAGGTGGAACCCGCGGAACTCGGAGCTGATGACCAAGAACATGCCGTAAAGCGGCTGGGGGTACTCATGCTCCGGGAGGAAATGAGGGTTGAGCCGGAAGCTGAGGGCTACCTTAGTGGGGGTGAAGAAATTTGTCTTGAGGATGGAGGCGTTGAACACCCGGAAAGCGCTCATGACCATTTCATCATGCTCATTGGCAGCCGTGCTCGAGATAAGCTGCTTCAGCTTGGGGCCGTCAAGGACCTCGTCAACCTGCAGCCGCAAGTAACTCAGCGTAGGAAGGAAGTCATCTTCGGCTGGGCCACGGGTCTGTACATAGTGGGTGTTGGCAAAGTCGAGGTAGAGCTTATGAATTAGTTCCGGGTACTTGTTGACGATCTCGGAAATATAATCCGAAGTGAAAGTTTCCGTACGCAGACGCTTCTTGATCTTGGCCAATAACTCAGCGTGAACGCTGTTGTTTGAATCCAGAAGGTCGGTTAATGACGTGTATTCTGAGCCCAAGCGGTTCAGAAATTGCTGGACAAACACCCACGCGCAGTGGGCATAGATCGTCTCTTGCAAGCTGAGACGACCGACTGCGAAATGGTGCTGGAAGCGATTCTGGGGGATGCAGTACAAGAGAGAGACCTCCTTGATGATCTGGTGAATCGCCGCCTCGATTGGGGGGAACTTGGCGGCAATTTCTTGGTTAGGCAACGGACGGAGGTAGAGCGAGATGACCGTGATCCCATTGGAGAAGTGCTCCAAATACTTCCGAGAACTGGTCAAGCGGTAGTAGTGGTACAAATCGGAGAGGGCACTAAAGAGACCCATGGCGGAGCCTTGCCGGTAGGCGATGACCAGTCTCTTCTCGCGACTCTTCTCGATCTCGAACATTTCAATGACAGGACCAGAGCGACTGACAGCATTGCTGATGATCTCTTGGTAGATAGCCTTGGTGTTGGGGGTTGCCTTCTGCAGAAATCTCTTCTCGCCGATGATGTCGATGTTGGTCTCGTTGGGGTCTGGGTTTGGATTTGCGAACTGACACTTGTAGACAAAATAGCAACGGAGCTGCTGACCATCGTCGCCCGGAATGGAGGTGGGCGAGCGGAAAGTCTCCACTCGGTAGCTGTTCGCCGGGGTCGAGCCGTTGATGTACTTCTTATCAATCCGCGACTCGTACCGCGGGCCTTCGACGGAGGAAATACCTGGCTTGCTGGTATCAATGTAAACCGCGTGATCTTCGGCCTCCTTGTCCAGTCGGATTTCGAGCTTCTTATCGTCTCGAGCGTACGCGGCAACCTTTGCGGCGTACAAGGACAGGATTTGCGTAACGATGGCGTCGACGGACTCCGTCTGGAAGTAGGTGTCGTCGATTCCGAGTTGGTTGTAGAACCATTCAGTCTCTCCTACAACGAACTCCACGGGGATGAAACCCTTCTTTTCCAGCTGGTCCATGACTTAATTTGTAGAGCAGTCAGAATCAAGCTTGACTGCGAGCTCCTGGTGTGGGTGGTCACGTACCCTGTTCCATCTGCTTCTCTTTGCCCTCGAACTTGGCGGCTACATAGCCTGGATCTTCCTCGGACAGGATTCGATGAGGACTACCTCCGGGAAGTCCCAAATGGGTGGGTTGCGGGGAAGGTTGGCGGATACTCGATCCGGCCACGCTCTCGAGAATCTTGTTGTGTGGGTGTCGCTGGAAACCGATAGGGGTGCCAGCTCCCGAGTAAGCGCCGTCGTTACTGCCATAGAGCTTGGGACCAGCCCGCACGGGTAGAGTGTTGGTGCCATTGAGATGGCCGTCGGGAATGGGTGAGGAAGATGGTGCGGGGGAAACCATGTTAACTGGAAATCTGAAGACTGCAATACAAGGGTATAGTGTGGGTGGGCAATGTTCGGCTCGAAGAGTCTGGAAGGGTATGTATGAGTAATTGTAATCAAACCGGGCAACGGTGGCGCTCGAACAGTGGTGGCGGACGAGGGGAGGGTTGACAGTTGACAGTGTGTGGTGAAAGATAGAAAGGAAGTGAACGAGAACAGAGACAAAGCAGATCAACAAAAAAATGAGCGAGTGGCGTGGAACGCACTTAGCTTCAAGTCGTGGCTAAGATGATCGCAATTGAACGGATTCTTTAAGATGGTCAGTCCAAAGAGCTTAGCAGACAGGGAGGGACAACTTTACTGTTATCGAGCTCAGCCATGCAATGCAGTCGACACGTCAACTGCAATTGAGAGAGGGAGAGAGAGAGAGAGAGAGATAAGAGAAAAAGGTGCGGATACGAGGAAATGTTGACAATTGGTTAAAAGTGGGAAGTGGACAGAATTCGAGGAAAAAAGGAGAAAGAAGGTTCAAAGAGAACTACAATTCAGACCAAACAAATGACACTATTCAATGAGTGAGAGCTGGGGAAGGCAACTCTTTATAATTAAATTCTTGGGATGATTGCAATGGAAGGAAGGTTTACCAGTCTTGTATTGATCAGTGGTAAGGCCGGATACAGGGAGGTCCCCAGTATGATGATGATGATGATGTTATACTCCCTCACCATCTACCTAGTCGCAATAGCCGGTGCTATGCGATCGGCCAGGAACGGGGGAGGGTCCCGGTCCGGGGCAGGTGGTATTGAGACAGTAATCTTACCATGAGTGTGGATCTCCCTTGTGGCCCTGTGGCTCCACGTCGGGTTTGGCTTGAATGCACTGAAACTGTGGAAGCTGTGCAACTGCTGTGGCTCACTGGCTACTGACTGACTGGTCTTTTCAACCACCAGGGTAATGAGGTAAAAGTGAGAACAAAAAAGAGAAGAAGAAAGAAAAAAATACCTCACTTTATGAATGAGATGAGATGACATTCTGTACTCAACTTCTTCTCCGTCTCTCTTCTCCCTTTCCTACTTGTAGCTACCGTATACATTCACCAGCATCCTGACCGTACGTAAGCATTGAGGAGAATGATCGGTCTTGATCGACTATCTAAAGACTCGTACAAGTAATGACTCTACAGTGTCGTCGACGCCAAGGGAAGTGGACCGGGATTTGCCTGTTTGGATCGCGAGCCAGAACTCGGATGGCGCGATTGAGGCAAAAGAGGTTGAAGTCTGGAGGAAAATGCCGCATTTGCAATTGTTCATTGGTCAGGACACCGGGTTGTGGAGGAGGGGGCCTAATTTTGGAAATTTCCATAATTGCCTCAGCAGCTGAATGTATACAGTACAATATAAGTATGTAGTCAAGGAAGAGAAAATAATACGGGAGTACTTTGTAAGAGCTGAGACCTATTTTGAAAAGGGAGCGAGGATTATGGAATGAGATGTGATGGAACCGCGTCCAGGGACCCGGGGAGAACGAAAGTATCGAAGTGGCAGTTGCAGTGGTGGCTGGGGTTGAAAATGCTGTAGATAGCCAGGGGTAAAAACTAAAGGAGTACTTTGAAGTACCTAGTACCTACAATAAAGATCAGGTCAACAGTGCAATGATCACGAGCCGAGTAAATAAACTCAAGTAAACTGAAAGAAGGACAGACCGGAAACATTCCAGGATTGGCTGTGTCAGCTGACCGGACCGGGTTTGTGTTCCCCACTTGATGTGTCATGGTTTCGTGACCGCCCGGTTTCCGCTGCGTAATGTGAATCGGTGAAAATGCCGCACCGGCAACCCCACCATTTCATTCATCCGTCTCTGCTTGATTCGAGAGACGCATACATACATGAGGACGGAAGAGGGAGAGTATAAGATATCGTACTGTATCTATGTACAGTACCTATTTCTTTAGTATAGACATCCAAAAAAAAATTAAAAAAAATAAAAAATAAATTCTTATGCGCTATATAGGCTGCAGGGCATTATTGAGTCCGCTTTGGCAAGCTTGCTGCAGACTGGTCTACCGGTAGTACTGTAACTATTTAATAACTTCGATCATGTGGACAACGCAGGCAGGGGATTCTGTTTGCGGGGGAAAAGGAAAGCAACCAAGTCGATCGGTTCCTGGATCGAAGCTCGATCCAGACTCCAGTTTGGAGCACCTGGCAACTTTGCGGGGGAAGATTTGAGGAATTCATCTCAAAGGGGAATTTCCATGAGTTCCCATTATTAAGATGGCTCAGGGATTTTCTCCCCCAAGGGCACCGGCAATTACCCCATTAAAACTAAAATCTGAATGTCCCAGGCTTTCCCCAGGCTTCCCCCTCCCGGCTCGGCGGCTTCTCCCCCTTTCGGTCCCGGTCTTTTTCGGCGGACTGTTCCATTACCTATACCACCCCCGCCCTCCTCTCCTCTAGGGTGATCGTCCATGGCTCCATACCTCTAGTTGGAGAAAGACAGACGGGTGGAGATGACAAGGTTAAAAATCCATGATGCCTTGGAGTCTAGCCTGCTGGGTCCATGGAGGAAGATTTTTCCTACCCCAAGGACGCAGGATGACGCAGGTCGAGGTTACCGATACTGCAGAGATAAGGGAGAGGACGGAAAAGTACTCGATTCATCTTGTCTCAAGCATACATACAGTATTGCTGGAGAGCTAGCTCATTTGGACAGCCTTGCATAGCCGTCTTGCTCGATTGCTCAAATTGGTCAGCTGCACCCTAGCACGAGGGACAACTCCAAGGGGCTCAGAGGTTGAGGATCTCGAAATACTCAGGCCAATGACTGGCCTCCAGCAAGGCCCGGCCATGCTGGGCGTAATCGCAGAACAGGAGCTACGGTTATAGATGGCCGCAGCAACAAGAAGAATGCATGCTCGATGTCGGGGAAATTTTTCAAACAAATCCAGCCGAGTAGATCGAGTCACGAGAAAGAACGGGAGCATCTCCAACCCACTTGGGAGAATCCTTTAGGGACAGCAGACCTGCTTGATGCAGCAAGCAATCAATGAGTTTGAAGGCGTGATCCTGACGAAATCTCGTTATTGAATGCCCGGCCAACCCAACGCTCTGCATCCGTGCCTGAACGCCAATCGATTCCCTCCTAAGTGCATCACACGCAAATTTGGTGACCTGCGACTTCCCAAAGGGGTTATCAGATTTGTTGGAGTCTAATTGTGCGCTCAAAACATTTGAGTCTGATTACACAGTCGTTTCGATCAGCTATCGCCATTAACCCTCATGATATACCAATAATATGCACCTATCAGGTAAGGACAGCAGGATGACGGGTCGGACGCCTGCTTTAGAGAGATGCAGACCACACATGTGTGCCCGTCAGGAAGAATACAGACCAATGAACTCTCACGGATAACATGCAAATATCTACAGCTTTGAAGAACACCGTCGACAGTTATTTTCAATTCAGGTCTGGTATAAATAGCTAGATCAAATGATACATCCCACACGGCTACCGCTTCTTGATACTCACGTCGAGGTTCCCCACAGCCCACGCGGCCACAAACACCGTAAAGAGGCCAGCAGTAATGGCAACTGGCTTGCGTAATCCGTCCCACAGAGAATATTCGTATGTCACCTACCCCAGTCGTCAGTTCAAATCGATTCAAGATTAATCAGAGATCGCAAACTCACCACAATCTGGGAGTCACAAGCTTCATCTGTCAGTCCGTCCACGGTCAGGGTCAAGGCTGTCCGTCCCAAAGTGTCCATGAAAGTCTTGTGGTCGGACAGCTGGGCCTGGATCTGGCTGGCACTAGGGAGTCCGTTGCTTGAAGCCTTCTCAAGTGTCTCCCAGCGAACGTTGCGGGAGCCCTCCGGGAGGATCACTCGCACAACGACCTTCTCATACTGGACACCCTCGGAGACCTTCGGCCCCTCAATGAAGGGAACCTTGAGCACGTATGAGTCGGCGCTCCCGACGGCTCGACGGAGGAAGGCGGAAAGGTCGTTGTTCCAGCCGATGCGGAAGCTATAGTTCCAGCCACCAAAAATGGGGAACCGGGGGCGAAGCTCCAAAGATGCATCGCGGCTCGGAACCTTCCCGGGACGGTAACGGCTTGTGGAAACATTGCCGATATCATCGATGAAATAAGGATCCACGGAGCCAGGCTTCAGAGGATACTTCAGCTCGCGGATAGACGAAGAAGGGAGCTGCTGGTAGCTACTAAGGGTCCACTCCACACGGGAGAAGTGGTCCAACAGTTCAGAGCCATTGTTGCGTAGCCAGTAGCGCTCCTCGGTGGCCAGGTTGCCACCCCAATGAGACACCTCTAGGTCGCGCTCCAGCAACGACGCTGTGATGACCGGCTTGGTGAATTCATAGCGGACGATGATCGGGTAGCTGGTTCCGGGAGCAATCTTAGCTGTGTCGTAGGGTCCGTATGTGTAGGTGGTACCCAGACGCTCCGGGTCCGCACTCGACTTCAAGTCCGTGGTCGTATAGTCCGGAACGTTAGTGCTGGGAAGTTTGAGCTTGGTCTTCTGCGTCACCGTCGTGTATGCTGAAGGGGCGTATGCAGAGAACGAATAAGTGAGGTACTGCCGGTCCATTTGTTTGATAGCAGCCGGACGCGGGCTGAAAGAGTTGAGGACAGAGTAAGAGATCCCCAGAGTAATATGAGCTTTGGGCGCCAGAGGTTTGGAGAAGCGGACAATGAAATATTGGTAATCCCTGTATGTTTGATAAAATCTCATGAATCAGTCTTGTATCGCCCAAGGAACATTGAGCGGCGTTTGCGGATCAAGCAACCGTGGCTTCGTCACCACCATCACCGAAGGCCAACGAGCCATTGGCAGCCAGAATGACCAACTCACCTGCTTGTGTCAACTTCAGTGGCTTGCACATCGAGCCTACCCTGCTCTGGAGCCGATTTATCGCGAACTTCGAGGACGCCAACCTTATTGTAGAGGTCGGATGGCAAGGCCAGATAATAGTCACTCTGCGCTTGTTTATCCACATTCTCTACCACGACATTGATAGTCTCGCGGAGGTAGCTCTTCTCCAGATTGGTGTTTCGGACTAGATTTGTATTTTTGAAAACTTGAGCGGGCTTGAAGTCGCTAGGAAGAGTGACTGTCGAGCTTGACGATGTGGAACCGGCGCATACGAAGCTGTTTGTAGAGAGCAACAGCCCGCAGAGCGCGGTGAGTGCGGAAGTCGGCCTCATTGTGACGGATGGGCGGTCTTGCAGCAGACCGCGCCTAGGACACAATGTCTCTCACCAGGAGAAAAGATTCAGAAAGGAAAGGTGGGAGGCAAGTCAACCAAGAGGAATTGGCGAGCGGGAAAAAGACGCGGAGATGCTGAGGTGTCCCGATTCGGGGCGATTACGAATCCCGGCCGGACCTCCACCACCGCGGCTTTCATACGAAGGAAGCACTTTCTCCGCCTTCTTATCAAGAACAAATTATTATCTTTCCTACCTTTGTTGTCCGCCCCTGTCTCTTTGCCTTGCCTTCCCATCACAGACTTCCCGATTCATATCCATTTAGCCGTCTTCAAGCATCAGTTCTTAGATCATATTACCATTTGGTATTTGTACAACGACCATCAATCAAATGCTCGCCTCTCGAGTTGCCGCTCGCACCAGCGGGCGGACACTAAGGCCATTAGGCGTACCTCGACGATATCACGGCTCTGTCAACAGTAAGCTGCTCAAAGTGTCAGAAGAGGTCCGCAATGCTGTGGCCACTGGAAGACCTGTGGTGGCCCTTGAATCAACCATCTATACACACGGTACAACTTCCATCAGATCTCGCACGGCAAAATTCGCCAAGACATGACTAACGATTGCAGGTTTCCCCTTTCCGGAGAGTGTCGCATTGGCAACACTGCTGGAGTCTGTAGTACGTGCCAATGGTGGGGTTCCTGCTACCGTCGGGATACTCAATGGCGAAGCCAGGGTTGGACTTGGCGCAGAAGAGCTTATTGAGCTGGCATCTACTGCTGAGAAAAAGAATGCCTTGAAGGTATCCCGGAGAGATCTAGGATACATTTGTGGCCTAGTAGGGATATGTCTACAGCTTGCTTCGATCTTAGTGAGCTAACAACACCAGGGACTGGCCGGCAAAAGATTACATGGGGGAACAACAGTGTCCGGCACGATGGTACTTGCTCATTTGGCTGGTATCAAGGTTTTCGGAACAGGAGGCTTAGGTCTGGACTCTCAGGCTAGTGCCAAATTCGACTATATTGACTTCTGATAGGTGGCGTACATCGAGGTGGAGAGAATTCGATGGATATCTCCGGTATGTGGAGCCATTCATTGCCGTATCATTTCTCACTAACTTCTCACTCAATTCATCACAGCTGATTTAACGGAACTGGGACGGACACCGGTGGCAGTCGTCAGTTCTGGATGTAAGAGCTTTCTGGATATCCCGCGTACTCTGGAATATCTAGAGACGGAGGGAGTTTGCGTGGGAACCTTTGCCGATGGCCGTCAAGGAGCCGTCGACTTTCCCGCTTTCTACACTCGTGATAGTGGCTTCAAAGGCCCGAAGACTATTCAGAATGAGGCTGAAGCGGCCGCGATCATCTGTAAGTGGCACATGGCAGGGAACGGACCCCCTTATCCCTCTGCGCGATGTCCCGCAGGCTCCTGAACAAGTGGAATTTTGTCAAGCTGTCTGCAAAATTAAGTGGCTAATCTCACCACAGATGCGCAGTCACGTATTCCTGTCTCGTCGGGCATTCTTCTAGCCAATCCTGTGCCTCTAGAACACTCGATTGCAAAGAATGAAATGGATGGTATAATCGAGGAGGCTATTCGCCTTGCCGAAGTCGAGGGCTATCATGGAAGCGATAATACGCCATTCGTACTGGCAAAGATCAAGGAGCTCACTGGCGGGAAGAGTGTGGTAGCCAATCGCGCCCTTGTTGAGGCCAATGTGGAACGTGCAGCTAAGGTAGCTGTGGAACTCTCAAAACTCGAGCGAAACGACGGGTTACTGCACGAAAGGTAAGCGCTCTTTTTTGTGAATCAGGATCGAGACACCCTAATGTCAAGATGGTCGGCGCAGACACATGCCAGCTATCTCCGAGACCACTAGGGCTGACCGAGCAACTGCAGAAGCAGAGCTGGACTTCGCACCGACCACTGAGCAATTGATCAATCGTGTTGATAAAGCTGACATCATTGTGGCTGGCTCGCTAGCGATTGATATGTCCTGTGACTTTATTCCTACAGAAGCAACACACACCACCCCCATCTTAGAGACATCGAATCGCGCAGTTATCGGACAAAGTCTCGGGGGGGTAGGCCACAACGTGGCCATCGCTGCAAAATATCTTAACAGCTCTGTTCTCTTCTGCAGCATGGTTGGGGATGACCTAAGTGGCCGCACTGCGTTGTCTTCCCTCCGTGATGAAAATTTGCCGACAGCCGGCATTCGTGTTCTTCCTGCATCGTCAGGGGCACGTACCGCGCAGTATGTTGCCATAAACGACACGAAGAAAGATCTTGTTGTGGCCATGGCTGATATGGCCATCATGGAGATGCCCGAGCAAACCCTGGACTTTGACGGACTTTGGGAACCGATGATCGCGCAAGCACAACCGCAATGGTTGATTGTGGACGCCAACTGGAGTGCAGAAGTGCTTGCGAAGTGGATGACTGCAGCGAAAAAGCATGGGTCTCAAGTAGCATTCGAACCCGTCTCAACGGCCAAGAGTCGTCGGTTGTTCGGCCAGAGCTCCGCCGCAGTCACCCCGTCTTCGTGTATTCCCAACAACAGCATTAGTCTCGCGACACCCAACCAGATGGAGCTGACGGAGATGTACGGCGCCGCGCGGGAGAGTGGACTCTTCGAGTCGGAGGGCTGGTGGCATGTCATTGATGCCATGGGGATGTCGGCATCTGGTTCGCGGGATAGGTTGGTAGCCATGACCTCAGCGGAACTTGTGGATCAAGGCATTCCACAGCAAACCATACAGCTCCTTCCGTTCATTCCGTGCATTATCACCAAACTTGGTAAGCAGGGCGCTCTCCTCACACAGCTTCTTCGTCCCGGAGACGCGCGTCTTACCAATCCTGTCACTGCACCATATGTCCTTTCCAGGGCCCTTACCGACCATGCAGTGATCGGAGGGGTGTACATGCGACTGTTCCCGCCAGCCACGGTACTTGCGGAGGAGGAGATTGTCAGCGTCAATGGGGCTGGGGATACTCTCTTGGGGGCGGTGATAACTGGGCTGACTAATGGTCATGTGGTGGAAGAAGTGCTGTCCGTGGCGCAGGAGGCCAGTGTTCTAACGCTGCAGAGCCCAGGAGGTGTTAGTCGCGAAATCAGCAAGCTTAAATTTTCTTAACCTTGATCTCAACATCGAATCGAGTCGCACTATTGACATCATAAGTGCATAGATGATCTCGCTCCAACGCCTTATATAGTAATGAAACAATCCAAACTCCGCCTTCACGCTGACACATTGTCGTAGTTGCCTTGAGCCAGAAGATGATTAAGTTTATGCTATGCCATCCCACAAAAGGCATTCAGAAGCAGAGATACAGTAAAGCCATGGCTAATTCAGTTGATGATCCTCCCGACCCCTTCAGCGCCAACCACCGGGATCCGCTCCACGGCTTTCTTCCCGGCGCGATTGAGCCCCGTGGCTCTGAATCCCGACGGCACAACCGCCGGGTCCAACAGCCCAACTTGTACCAACACGCTCGCCTGATCCCAATAAATATTGAGACGGGCTAAGCTCCCCGCACAGAAACTTGCCGTCATGACGAGGGCGATGCGCACGGGCCGATCCGTCGGCGGGACCGCGGGTAACAACCAAGGGATCTCCTCGGTGTGGGTGAACGACAAGTGCAGCTCATCAACGATGCGATCGACGCCAGTAGTACGCGAAAGGAGACGAATCCGTTGATCCGGGGGACCTGTCGGGAGAAACTGGGTGGTGAAGAAAGAGGTGAGAGATCTGGGGGTGGTTCCTGATCATCGTATAGAGACGATACCCTTAGTGAAGGACTCGGAAGAAGGACTCGGAAGAAAGACGGATTGAAGAAGAGATGCCCTTGTGGCATGGAATATAAGAGAGGGGGGCAGCACCCTTTCAAGGCCGGGGGCTGAAATAGAGGGAGGGTAGGAGGGGGAAACAGAAGAAAGTAAATCTCACTCACCTCCTAACATAGTTGGCACACAATTCACTAGCGGGGACTCAGTTGCCGTGTAGTCGGTCTCTGAGGCATCACTCAATCCGGAGGCATTCAACTGCACCCCACTACTACTTCCTACCATCAGCCCGACGATATCGGCAGTCAGGCGTTCTCGCTCCTCCGTCACCGTGGCCGGGTTCCCTGCCCCTGTGCAAGCCGCCGACGCGGCCGCCAGACACCGCCAGTATTCTTCCCAAACGCTTTCCACGTCTGGGACCTTCCACCCCCCACCGTTTCCGGGCCAGCCGAATCCGCGTTTCAGAACATCAAGGGCCCGGGACCAGGCTAGTCGCGCAGCGATGCCGTCGTACGCGGGGGAGCTGGGCTCCGCGAACCCTGCGTTGGACTCCGGGTAGAAGAAGGAGTGGCAGCGGTGCCGTTTACGAGTGTGGGTAGGGTTGGAGGCTTCGTTGCCGGCGGAGCACCAGTCACCAACGAGATGGATCTGAATAGGAAGAAGGTTTACCGAGGGAGGGTAGGTCGTTGGAGTGGTGGAGGATGAGGTCGTGGTGTTAGCGTTTGCATTATTAGTCAGGACTTTGCTGATGGGGCTGCCGTTTGTGTTTACAAAAAGATGATCTTGGCTGTTGTCGAGATTTTGAGGGTAGTAGGCCACCAGGGCACAGAGTCGGGGAAAGGGGTTCGTGGAAGTCGCTGGTTGATGGTGGGATTCGAGAAGGAGTGAGGCCGGCTTGTTGTAGGCTGGTGAGGGAATACTTTAGCTACTGATAATGTATACGGAGAATGACGAGAACACTCGAGATGATATAGATGGACGGGGCAGTGGAGGGCGCCTAACCAACAACCGCATATCTTTCGCCGGGCTCGAGATCATCCTCCCGTTCCTGCAGGAGATACTCGAGGTCTTTTCGGTCTCGTTCGCGGTCCGCATGATGCCCCCCGGGGAAAGGCAAATACTCAACGTTGAACCCCTCGGCACGAAACCGGGCTAGGATGCCGGCGTCGAATTCGGGGGTGTCGGAGGTCAAGTATAATCGCCGGAGAGCACCGGTATCCGCATCTTTGCGACGCCGATCGGCATTTGAGGGTGACTGGAGGGGCGTGGTGCCGGACGAACTGCTGCGACGGCGCCGAAGGTGCTGGCGAAGGCGTTCCATAGCGTCAAGCAGTGATGATCCAGAGTCGAATCAGAATACAAATTAGACAAAGATGTATGTACAGTTCGGTCCAAAAAGAAAAAAACAAGTGCGACACCGATGGAAGTGACCCAGATATAGGAAGAAAGAAATCCGACTGCCTCCATCAGGCAGGCATGCGGCATGCTGGGCTGACGTCGACGAGTGTCGCCGACTTTCTTGGGCCGACGTGGAACCAGCCGGAGTTCCCTTGGCCTTTGAAAAGACCCCGGGAGGTGATAGATCAGTTGGACCAGAGATCAGAAGTAACCTTAAAGTATAGGTGCAAAGTGTTATTGTATATGTAAATGTATCTGTATGTCGTATGGATATCTTTATATCGCTCATAGTCGGGTAGAAACGATCCAAAACCTTACCGGAAATCCTTCCCTCTCTAGGATCTAAAAGCAGTCAATGCGAATCAGCAGATGTCTATGTACAAACGCATTTCGACCCCCCAGGTCAGACTGGGAATTGTGACGCATCCCCGATTATTCTGATTCGAACCGAGTCAGCCACTGGCGCGCCTCCCTTACGTCCTCCGCGCATTCTTCTCCATCCAGATAACACGCATATGCCGGCCGCTGCAGACTTCGGCGCGCCACCTCGCAGTCCAGGCGGATGTCCTCCACCAACGCCTCTAGTGATACATAGTCGTACTCTGGTCGGATGTATCCCAGGATCAAGAGATGCAGGTCTGTGCCATAGAAATCCGGGAGCTTGTGGAACTTCGTAGGACCGCCGTCCGTGGTGGGTGACGGCGCCGCGAGTGATGGCATGATATGGATTTCCTAGTAACGCTTGAACTTTAGCCACTGAACAACCGAGCTTACAGAGAAAAGTGACCTTACAATTGATCGCGTTTGGTTCTTGTAGAAAGGGTTGTATCCAATACTCAACACGGCCGGTCGGATCGGCGACGAAGCATCATCATTGAAGGCAAATCGGGCCGGATCCAGCGTCACCACCCCGTAGTAAACGCCCACCTGCAAATCCGGATATGCGACGAGGCCCTCCGCGGGGATATTGGCTGTGGGAATACCCAACTAGAAAAGACGCAGGCATGATTAGCACCGCACTGCACGCAATTCGGATGTGATTATCTGGATTTGGGCGGGCACCCTCACTTCTTTGCTGCCCCGCCCAAAGCCCTTGATGACCGGGCCGGCTAGGCGAATGGGATAAGGAGGCTCCGGGCCTCCGTCAGGCCCAGTTACAAGGTCACGAGGGCCATCCGGTCGCATGGTCGATCTAGTGCTGGGAGCACGAGTTGGGGGCAAAAGGGGATTTGGGGCGTCGAGCTGTAAGGAAATCGAGGAAAGAAACAGAGATAAAAGAAGAGAGAGCGATAAGAGACGAAGCGATACGGGGAACGCGCGGGTGGGCGGTGAGAACAGCACCAACTGGCCAGACGGACACGGTATTATGGTCATTCAATCCGCAGCATAGACCCCACTAAAGCACTACGCCCTACAACCTACAACCTACGATGAGAAGATAGGCACTCCTTTAGGTCGAACGCTTTTATACCATTAACTCCGTACCTCTAATATTATGGGTAGTAAGTGGGAAATCTCGTAAAAAAACTCGCTATTTACTCCATCTCAATGGTGGCAGGAGGCTTGCTGGAAATGTCGTACAGAACACGGGACACTGAACTCGCAGTCAGTATAAGGCTTGCAGCCAATGCATAATCTCAAACTTACCGCCGTGAACCTCGTTGATGATGCGGGTCGAGCAGCGAGCTAGGAACTCGTTATCGAAGGGGAAGGCACGGGCCGTCATGACTGACAAAAGGTTAGTCAAGGTGATTTGTCTCAGGCGACTAGAACTACTTACAATCAGTAGTCTCGACGGCACGCAGGATGATGATCTCAGCATAGACACGCTTGTCACCCTGTTGATGAGGTTAGTAATCAGAGTCGAAAGCTCTAGTGTTCGAGAAAGGAAAAGTGGTCTTACCATGACACCAACAGCCTTGCTGGGGTCCAAGGCGGCATAGGCCTGGGCGATCTTGTCATATAAACCAGCCTCGCGGATCATGGAGATGAAAATGTGGTCCGCACGGCGGGCAATCTCGACACGCTCCGGAGTAACCTCACCCAGGACACGAATGGCAATGCCGGGTCCGGGGAAGGGGTGGCGCATCACCAACTCGTGAGCAATACCCAACTGGCGGCCCAGAGCCCGTACCTCATCCTTGAACAGCTCACGGAGAGGCTCAATGAGCTTCATGCCCTGGCCATCAATCATGCGCTCTGTAGCGGGTCAGCTTTGCGGCGTTTCTGACAGCGCAAGAATGTTTAACGTACGAGGCAAACCGCCAACATTATGGTGGGTCTTGATAGTGGCAGAGGGACCCTTGAACGAGATACTCTCAATGACATCAGGGTAGAGGGTACCCTGCAAGAACCACTTGATCTTGGCGCCAGCGTGCTCGGCCTCGGCCTCAATTTTCTGGGCCTCCTCCTCAAAGACGTCGATGAAGGTACCACCAATAAACTTGCGCTTCTTCTCGGGGTCGGTGACACCCTTGAGGCCGTCCAAGAAACGCTTGGAGGCGTCAACAACAGTCAAATTGATGCCCAGGTGCTTGTTGAGAGTCTCAGACACAATATCGCATTCGTTCAGGCGCATACATCCGTTGTTGACGAGAACGGCGTGGAAGCGGTCCCCGATCGCCTCCTTCATTAGCTTGGCAGCCCTAGTGATAGTTGTTAACATTCACAATCCAGTGAGAAGTCGAGATTCGGCACTTACACTGTGGAGTCAACACCACCACTGACGGCACCCAGGACATGGTCGGTCTCACCAACCATATTGCGGATACGGGAGATCTCTTGGTCGACGAAGCGGGACATGGTCCAGTTCTGTTGGGCACCGCAAATGTCGACGGCGAAGTTCTTGAGGAGAGTTGTGCCTGGGCGGGTCAGGACTCAGCGACGGCGTATCGCTCGATGCCAGAAGAATGCAGCGTACCTTTAGGAGTGTGAGTGACCTCGGGGTGAAATTGGACACCGTAGATGGGCTTGGACTCGTGGGCAATGCCAGCATAAGGGGAGTTGGCAGAGGTGGCAATGGTGTGGAAGCCCTCAGGCAGCTTAGCCAGCTTGTCACCGTGGCTCATCCAAACCAGCATGTCGTCCTCGATACCGGCAAACAGTTTGTCGACGTGACCCTCGGAGTCGAGGCGCTTAGCATTCAGGTCGGCGTGGCCATACTCGCGCTCGGTACCGGCGATGACGTTGCTCTTGTCCAGGCGATAAGCAATCTCCTGCAGACCGTAGCAGATACCGAGGATCGGAACTCCGAGATCGAAGAAGGCAGGATCAACGTGGGGTGCTATAGGAGGGGAGGGGGTGGAATGAGTCAATCCGGCCGGAAGAAATCGAGCTTCAGCTTCATTGATTCACTTACCGCCCTCCTCATAGACACTGTAGGGACCACCGGACAGGATGATACCCTTGGGCTTAAAAGGGAGATCGGCCAGCTTTTGTGTACAAGGAAGCATTTCACTGTAGACATTGATCTCTCTCAGTCTCCGGGTCAGGAGATGAGTCTGTGTGGTGGGAAAAGGTGTCAGTGACTCAGATTGCGGTAGGCGGGGTATATGCACATCCCGATCTCGAAGAGGGAGAGGAAGCGGGGAGGGAACTGACGTATTGAGAACCAAAGTCCAAAGTGAGAATGGTATCAAAGGTGGCATGAGGAATCTCCTGGTCGGCCATTATAACGGTTCTTTCAATCGCTCGTCCCAATTGAACAGAAGATAGAAGGAATTGAATGATGGCGAGGAAGAGAAAGTCAGAGGGGGAACCCGGTTGCACTTTTTTTTTCTTTCTCTTCCCGTTGCCTTTTTCTGCCGGGCGGTGAGACGCGCCCGATGGTATAGCAGCAGGAGTGATTAGTCCGAGGCCCGGGCGGTCAGGGAGATAATGCTAACGGTTATCAGACAGGATCTCACGTGGCATCTCGTGGTTACAGGTCAGCTGGGTCATTAAAATCGGTCGTGTGGTTCGAAATGGCTTAGTAAGCGGTTTTTTGGTCATGTGATGCCCACATGAGCCGTTACACACAAGAAAAATAGATTTTGAACCACACTACCTTTTTCAATACTCTTACACCCCTAATGTAGTTACCCTGATATAGTTAAGTACTTGCTAAGTACTTAACTATATCAGGGTAACTACATAGGGTAATTATATTAGGAATTTAAGGCTGAAGACTTTAGTATTAGGGTAAATATATTAGGGAATACCTTATATACTTTTTTATATTAGGGTAGTTGGGGTTTATCTACTTAGTAAAATATATAGTATTAATCCCTTTTATACTAGAACTATAAAATTCATGATTATTTTACAGTAATTTATAAGGTCGTGTGGTTTGTTCTTGCTTACTAAAGGGCTTGGCATCACGTGAAATTGGGAACGACTCACATGAGCCATAACTAGGGTCGTGTGACCTGTGTACACTGGCATCTCGAAGTGAACAGTGCTGTCTAGCTGACATAATCGATCACGTTGCGTGCCCTAGATAGTGAGGCAAGGACGAACTCAAGTTCGAGATACCTCTTGGCGACGAATCCCCAGATCACCACAAGGTTTGTGAGGGATTGAGGAGCACTGGCGAAGAGGGAACTGGAGCGCCAGCTAGTATCATTTGATGACTCCCATTGGCCATGTTTCTGCCAGACACACTTGGCTCAAAACCGGTCGGGACTCGGGAGCAGCATGGTGGCGATGCTGCAGTGACCTGGCGGGCGAAGCGCCCGCACGCTCTGAGTCTAGAGTCCTCTAGGTGGCGCCTATAGCCCACCTGGCTAAACTAAAATAGTAGGAAAGGAATTAAATCGATACTATACTTCCCGTCTGTGAAGAAATCAAACCATCCCGCAAGCGACCTAGACTAACTCTCGCAGGGACCTGATACGAGCTGTCAGCGAAAAGGGGTAGGGCGGATTTACGGAGGGTAGTTGAGCTATGAGAGATCCATTTCGCTATTTGATTGAGGAAATCGACAAATAGATCCATGATTCCGGACGCAGGAGCTTCGATGCATTCACCGAAGGAATCAACCGACTGTTTCACAGCACGATGGGGAGTATCACTGTAATAGGCGAATGGGACCTGTAGGAAGCGCCACTCCAATCGCACTTGGCTGAGAAGAGTCAATAAAGTGGACCTTCAAGAGGTCTATCCCAGGTTCGATACGAAGTAGGGGACCGCGCCAATTGGTTTGAGCCGCAAAGTGCATGTTTGCCTCTACCTCGACGCCCATGGCTATGGCTATGGAGAAGAGGTTGGTGCCTGACCCATCAATCGATTCGGTGTCCGAAACCCCCAAGGGTCCCTCTGGGCAAGGTTAGACTGAAGCATATCGGGCTCTATTGTTATTTTAGCCAAACTTTCAAGATTCACATAGCAGTGGGCATGGAGAATAAATAAAGCACTCTCGTATCCACGGGCTCTTTTTCTTCGCTCATTTCTTCGTTTCCCCGGTTGTGCTGTATATGTTTATTCCTTCTTTTAGTCCTTCTATCCCTCAATTACAATATACTTCAAAGCATCTTCTAATAGGAAAAACTGTCTTCCCACTTTCCAGCCATTCGATCTTTATTCACCTTTACAATGCGCACCACTAATCTTCTGACCATCACTGCCACCCTTGGCCTCGCAACACTCACTACTGCCGCCACGACCACTATCGACCTCTTTCAGCCCGGAGAGGAGACCATTCCCTATGACGATGTGGAAGCGAGCATCATCGACGTCAATGGGGACACCACCACTGTTGCTATTGTCTGCGGCCCTTCTGCCGCTGCATCGACCTGTGGCCTGCACAGCCCAGTTACCATTACTGAGGGTCCTTCTACTTTCACCGTGAGCGCCGTCATCACGTCTAGTACCGATGGCGCGGAATATACTGTCACCCTCGTCGAAGACTGCGATATCACCTCCGTGACCCAGGGTGCCTCTTGTTCCATTTCCATGGATGCCACCGTCGCCTTCAGCGGCGAAACAACTTCTTACTCAACTTCCGGAGCAGCCTCACTGCCTGCTCGCCTGATGAAGTACGCGCCTGTGACGGTCACTGCGGGCGCGGAGAAGCTCTCGGCCTCTGCCAAGGCGACAGGAACATCTTCTGGCTCGTCTGAGAGTGGCAGCAAGAGCGATTCTACTACTGCTGCTACTGGCAGCGCCGCTACCGAGACTGCATCTGCTTCCAACACCTCTTCGGGTCCCAGTGCTTCCAGCACCTCCAATGGCGCGGCTGGTCAGAAAGCCATGACTCTGGGTGGCGCCTTTGCTGCTGCTTTTGTTGCTGTCATTGGCTTGCTGTGAGCGTGGCTTGGACCTGACTGTCGGCATGACTGCCTGATCAGCTGGGATAGCAAACATTGATGAGGGGGTCAGACGCCCTGTACTATTTCCTTGACACCGACATGCGTATGCATATGCACATAACTTGATAACTTGTTCGTCTTCCCTTATGCTCACATAATACCATCATTGCAGTTTAATGGGAACTCATAACGATATTGGGTCCCAACGCGCGCCACGCTTGGAACTTAGAATCTTGCCACTTTGCCATTGAAATGGAACTCTGTTGTAAAGACGTCTATCTATTATCAATTTACTCCTTCTAGTCTGGACAGGCTTTATTTCCGACCAGTATACTCACCTTTGATGAGTATATAGCTTAGTAGGAGGTTTGAAACACAGCAGAACGCATCGTGTCGCGAAACTGATTCAAGCCAACCTCCGTAGCTGGTTCCACCACTGTAAGATGAACCCTTGAAGCCGGGATGATCTCATCGCGAGACATGACCCTGCATTAGTATATCACTAGTCCTAGGGAGCGGTGCCACTCCCAACCATTCGCAGAGCTTGTGCTATTTATCATAGGATCGGTATACTTAGTTCCAGTCTAGCACAACACTCTAATTACGCTGGACTATGATCAATAGGCTTGGTTCTTCGCAATCTTCTTTGAAGGGCATAGACTATTACCTTTGGTATGGTATGCCCTAGTTCATACTGTACTATGAGTGCTTAGAACTGATCTAAGGTAGTTAATTGAATAAGTACTGTTCCGGCGACAACCAATCCATGCAGTGATTTGGCACAATTGCCATATTAGTCATCTCTGTTTCTCAGGGTTCATTGACTAGTCCCGAATAAGGAAGCAAGGGTCCTCCTCTAGTGACCTGACTGATTAATGAGAGGGAGAGTCCATCACGTCACACGCGCACTGTCCCAAGTAGGCGGTGTCACTCTCTCACGCCCGGATGTTTGACTGTGACTTTTAGTCATTTCAATTCCCCCGCATCAATTAGAGTAAGAGAAAATCCTGAATACTCACAAGTACGTAGTCTTTCGGTACTTAACCTGACGACTGGCCTGCTGGAATCCAGTTTAATTTCATTTCTGTCTTGATAATCAACCCTAACGAAAGTGCCTTTACCCTATGCCCGCGATACGATCATCCCTCGCAAGATAGGCAACCCGCCGCCGTCTTGCATCACTAGTGAAACTGCTCGCTCCTCATCAGCCAAACCGCCACCGCCCGCCCCGAATTCATCTTCCGAGCACTTTCGCTTCCCCTCCAGACTCTGTCTCTCACCTGCTTTCTGCGTCCTAGACAGAGTGAAAAGAGCTTGACGGGCGCCATGGCCCAAACATCACTGACTGCCATCCTCGCAGCAGCAACTGTACTCGCAGTCCTCAGTAGCGGTGTCGAAGCATCATCTATTGGGGCTCATTCAGCCTTGAGCGCCTCTCCCACACCTTCCCCGTCTGCTACCACACAACAATCCGCCTCCTATTCGGCTGCCTCGGATTCCGGGAGAGATGAGGAGGACAGTGGAGAATGTAGGCTCCTTGGTCCGTTCTCTCTGCTGGTGCAGGCTGCACTTGGAGCTCTGGCGCTCTTATCGTTGGTTTATAAGCGCTGGCGGGAAAGACCTCAACGGCCTGTGAAGGTGTGGGCATTCGATGTTTCGAAACAAGTCTTCGGCTCGGCCATGCTGCATCTGGCGAATCTCCTCATGTCGATGTTCTCAGCCGGTCAATTTGAAATTCAAAGCAACTACAAGCCGAACCCATGTTCATTCTATATTTTGAATCTAGGAATAGATGTGAGTGATCTTGGCCCTAGGTGGCGCTAGTTTGGTAACTGACCAGTCGGCGACTGCAGACTACTCTTGGTATCCCTATCCTGATTTTCACCTTACACATCTTGAATCGCATCGCCATGTTCACCCCTCTTGCGAACCCACCGGAGTCTATTGAGTCTGGAAATTACGGTCGCCCGCCTCGCGCCTCCTGGTGGTTCAAACAGTCGATGATCTACTTTCTCGGACTACTATGGATGAAGATTTGTGTCTTTTTCATCATTCAGTTGCTGCCTTTCATCGTAAAGGTGGGTGATTGGGCCCTACGGTGGACAGAGGGCAATACAGCGGTTCAAATCATTTTTGTCATGCTGCTTTTCCCGGTCATCATGAACGCGATCCAGTATTATATTATCGATACCTTCATCAAGAAACCACTCTCCTTGTCACAGAACACTCTGGTCGAAGAGAATAGTGGTGATCGAGCAGGCGACCATGACGACGAGCACAGTCATGGATTGCTAGCGGGTCTGGATGATGGCACTTCATTTGACTCGGACGATGACTCACTGGGCAAGGATGGAAGTGCCCGCATGGAGAGCCATACACCAGGGAAGGAAGATCTGGTGCGGTTTGACTCGGTGGAATATAATCCCGCGACCCATGGCGAATGCAGCTCAGCATCATCAGCAACGGTATCGGCCAGGTCAGGAAGCGACCGAGATGAATTCGGGCTATCATTCTCATCCAACAAGCCGAAAGGTCAAAAAGCAGATACATAATAACGACTCTCTACTCTCACAAGCTACCTTGCGGCGTTTTGGTATTTTTAAACTGTTATTGATCTATGGTCCGTAAAGGCATGGCGCTTGTTTATACACATATTGAGTTGGCTGCATGAATGGACGTGTACATGAACCCTTAGCCATGATAATTTACACTTGCTACTTTGTTTAATACCACTTGAGCACAAGGTTATCAATTCATTTGCGTAAACTGTTCGGACGCCTTGCTTGCGACGTATGCGCGAAACTTTCATATTGTAAACATGTGTCTACCGCAGAGCTCACCGCCCGTATCTGCCGGCCAAGGGAAGAAAATTATTGCTCGGCGGCGGGCATCGCATTTGCAACTCTACCTTCATTGACAATTGTCTTTGATTGACTGCAATTTCTTGATTCCTCTCGCTTTTCGAGAAAAGGTAAACGCAGTCTTTACTCGCCTGTCTGCTTGATCTCAGGGCTTTCCCGCCAAGAAGAAGGTGGACCAGCCCACAATGCCCAAATCGAACGTCAAGGAAAAGACCCGCCAAAAGTCCGAAGACGCATCTTCGCGCTTGGTCTACGAGGCGGGCAAGCCCATTCGCGGCCAGGATGATGACAACGACATCACCAGCAGCGAAGGAAGCAGTGATGAATCGGATATTCCTGAGAAGGACGAGGCGGAACTTAAGCTGGAACAGATGCTCTTCGGCGACGACGATGGTTTTCTCGGCGCATTGAAGACCCAGCATGAGCACGGTCTGGTCCTAGCGGACCAAAGTGATGATGAAATGGGAGATGGTGATGATTCAGAGGACGACGATGAGGAACAAGACTTGAGTAAATTGGCCGACTCTGATGTATGTTACCTTCTGGCTTCATTGTGAAAGAAGATGCTAACCGAATTCACGCGGTACAGCTTTTCTTCCTTGATTCCGGGCCCGGACCCGTATCCACTTATCTCGACGAGGTGCCTGCGACACGCTCCGATGAGGAGGACAGCGACGATGAGACCAGTGGTCTACCCGCGTTGTGGCATGATAGCGACGACGAGCGCATTGCGATCTCGCTCGCAAGCCACCAGCGCCTGCGCAAGCTGCGCGTCGTGGAATCGGAAGATGTGATCAGCGGCAAGGAATACATTCGCCGACTGCGCAGACAATTTGTTCAGCTGAACCCTGTGCCCGACTGGGCGAATCCCGAGAAGAACCAGCAGAAGGACGATTCTGACGCCGACGACATGGATACGGATGACGAGGAGCCCTCGTCCACGCAACCCCTCGCGAAGTTGCTCCAGGGTGCCACGGATCTCGTCAAGTTGGAGGACAATACGGGCCCTGGTGGCAGGAGGAAGATGCGTCAGGAGGTTATTGACATTACGAGACTCAAGGACGTCGGCAAGGACCAGCCGGTGAGTGTCTTCCTGCTTGTTGCGAGACATTTAGGTGACTAACAAGAACAATAGTCGGCTATTGATTCGCTTTCCTTCCACCCGCATTACCCACTACTCCTCTCTTCTGGGCAGGCAGCTACTCTCTTTTTGCATCATATCTCACCCTCCGCCCAGGCTCCGAACCCTCTTCTCACTTCCTTCCACATCCGGCATACGCCGATCCACACCTCTGCATTCCACCTGCCCAGCGGAAATCGCATCTTTGCGTCTGGACGTCGACGATACCTTCACATCTGGGACCTGGAGACCGGCAAGGTGGACAAGGTCAACGGCACGTCAGACCGGAAGGAAGAACAGAAGACGATGGAGCGGTTCAAGCTGTCCCCGTGCGGACGATACGTGGGATTGGTGGGTTCGTCGCGCAAAGGTGGCGGTCTCATCAACATCCTGGACTCCAACACAGCGCAGTGGATCGCGCAGGTCCGCGTAGACGGCCGGGGCGGTGTGTCGGATTTCGCCTGGTGGAGCGACGGCGAGGGCCTGACGGTGGTGAGCAAAAATGGTGAGGTCTCCGAATGGGACAGCCGCTTGAACCGAGTGGTCGCCCGCTGGGTCGATGCTGGCGCGGTCGGCACGACGGTGCTGAGCTTGGGTGGACGCTCCGGACGCACTCAGCTTGGCGGTGACCGCTGGGTTGCCATCGGCAGCTCCAGTGGTATCGTGAACGTGTATGACCGTCGGGAGTGGGCTGCTGCTTATGCTACCGCTGCTGCGTCCAACGAGGATGAGGCCACCCAGACTACTTTCATTCCTCGGAACCCCGAACCCGTGCGCGTGCTTGACCAACTCACCACGCCCATCAGTCATTTGGTCTTTGCGCCAGATGGACAATTCTTCGTGATGGCGAGTCGCTGGAAGCGTGATGCCTTGAGAATCGGTATATTGCTGCACACTCTGAGCCTCGACTGGTTCGATCGAATAGTAAGCTAACCGCCTTTTAGTCCACCTCCCCAGCTGCACGGTTTACCGCAACTGGCCCACCTCCAACACGCCCTTCGGCCGTATCTCTGCCGTAGCCATCTCGCCCAACTCGGAACAGTTGGCCGTGGGTAACGAACAGGGTCGGATTCGCTTGTGGGAAATTCGCGGATGAAGGTCGCGCATTGAATCAGTAGATAGAGAATCTTCATGATCTGATAATTGGCATCAAACGTCGTTGCATTTTTGCAATAAGCTTTGTTTTCTATCTTGTCGAGCAGCTAGCTGGTTTGATTATTGTTAAGAATCATATTAGCTAAATACTGAAGAAGCTGAACACAATGATTAGAACCTCCGGGACATTTCCCTATTCCCTTTCCCTCTATTGCCGTCAATCTTCTTCTTCGCTCTATCCCCAGAATGTATTTGTTCTCGTTATCCCCACAATCCAACTGCCCAATTCCATTCCAATCCATCCCACCACTTCTAACCTAGCTGGAGATAGATTAGTACATTTGTTCCCCAAAGATTCACGCAACGCTCCCACCCCGCCAGCAGGCTTGCTGCTACATCGTCAAAAGGAGTGTAACTTACAAGACCGCCAAGACCGATCTAGAGCATCATAGATATCACTCGTTAGCTAGAGAATCCTTTGGGGGCGCGGTAGTACAACGAAAGGGAGGGGGTGACTGGGACAAAAGCTTACCGAACCCAATAAACCTGTGAGCTTTTATGTGCAACCAAGTCACGGTTAGCTATTTGCATTGAGAGTGGGGGGTGGGGGGTGGCGTATTGAATCGAGATGAAAACATAAATGGATATGCATGGATAAGTGCCTCAAGGCTCAATCAAATCTCCACGGTTGAACCCAGGTGGAAAATTGATCACTGTGAGGGAGGGCAATGAGGGGAAGGATCTTCTTACAAAGTCGGTATCGGTTTCCTGCGTACGCATTCTCGTTAGTCCAGATTCTACAATGAGGGAAGATATCGATCGGTAAGGATGAGGAGAGGAGAACGGACAGTCTGACTGGCCGGCGCCTTGCTCGGGCTGGGGCTGCTGCTTGTGTTGCTGCTACTACTGCTGGGCTTGGAGGAAGGCGAGGATGACGACTCTTGGGAAGAAGTCTGAGTGGCGCTGTCGGGGCTGTCCTCCATCGTGGCCATGCCCGTGTTGCCGTGGGGCAGGGCAAGGGCGCCTGTGGCCGTGAGGGCAGCAGTGGCGAGGAGGGCGAGTGAGAACTTCATAGTGGCAGACTGGAAGGAATTGAGGACTAAACACAGCTGAGTCTGTTGAGGAGGCAAGAAAGAACTGGAAGTGAGTGTGCAAAGTGTCAGAGGATGGAACAGGAGCTTCCAACAGTATTTATTTAGGGTTCATTTCCACAGGAGATCCGGTGTTACATGCCAGGAACATCGAGGGATTGAAAAGGCTGGGTTAGCATCTCCAATCTTTCTACTGCCACGAGACACGCGACGGTTGGGAGTCTAGGGTTGTCTTACATTTCGCGTGCATCTACGCGGTTTACGAAGGGAGCATCCCCCCAGGAATTTTCCCTTACGGGCTGGTGGTGAAGAACTAAGTAGGGCAAGGGATGATCATCTAGACACAATTGGGTCCTCAGGACTGGCACGAGACCGTGATTATAAGTGAGCAGGTGCAAATGACGATCAACCGGGGCAGACACAAGCTGAAAAAGCTTTTGTACATTCCGAGGGGGTCTCGGAATGCTGAGAGAGGGAAAGCCCTCCGGTCGTACTTGATTCTCCAATCTCCCTCCGAGTCCCTTTCAGGCCCTCCTGCGCCCGCGTCAACCATCTATCTAATCAGGGTTCATCAACATTCTCAGCCTCCAACCGTCTTGATCAACCCGGATGATTCTTACTCAAGGTCAAGGTAAAGGTTGGGGTCGGCCGGTCCATGATTGGCATGTATGTGTATCGATCAGAAGAGCTTGTTACACACACTCACGGGACGGATTCTGTTACCGTCTATCGAAAACTTTCAATTTCTCGCGGAATCCTGTATAGCTGTCTTAGGCACTGCACTGGTGGCCTTTCATCTTCGCTGTATGTACTGTCCTTCTCTTCAATTCTATGTCACTATAATCATCCATCATCGTCCTCAAACACCACGCTGGAAAGTCCAAAAATTACCTCCTCCCGCTTAACGTATTTAGAGAAGGGTCTTCATGTCGTTTGCGTCGCGAATACCCACGAGATTACCCGCCTTGACGCGCTTCAGAGTTAAGGCAGCGATGAGGGCGGCACCGACACCGGAACCATCCTCGGCAGCCTGAATGGAGACCTTGTCCTGCTCCTCGGGAGCCCAGTCGAGGATCTCCCGCAGTGCCTGAGCACCACGGGCTTTGAAGTGGGGATACTTCGTGAACACGGAACCATCGGCACCCACGTGGCACGACTCGATGTTCTTCTTCTTGCAGATGGCGGCAACACCGCAGGCCGAAAGACGAGCGGCGCGGGTACCAATAAGCTCTGCTAGGCGACGAATCATCTCCAGCTCGGGCTGGGTCGCCTTAATCTTAAGCTTGCGCTCCAGGAGCTCCTCCGTCTCTTGGAGGTTTTCGTACGGATCCTCCTCAATGGCAGCCAAGAAGGACGAGTCCAAAAGGTAGGGCTTGCGCAGCTCCGAAGTGTTTTGGCCGTTGAAGATGAGGCCAGGATGAGTCTCCAGTAGATCCACCAAAGCGAGACGGAAGATCTCACCCAGGTAGAGACCGGCGGTCATCTTCTCGAAAGCTTGCTGGCCCGGACGAGGAGAGTCCCGGTCGATGATGTGGTCGTACTTGGTGAGGGGGAGCACAATATGCTCATTGTCGAATGCGCCATATTCGCAGTTGATGGCCACGGGCATATCGACAGGCAGGTTCATGTGACCCAACTTGGGAATAGAGCCCGCGTTTTCCATGTAGGCGGCGTTGACACCCGTACCGAAAATACAGCCAATTTTCATAGCGGGATCGGTGTAGGCGGAGGCAATGAGGGTTCCAGTAGTATCGTTGATCAAGGCGGCCACCTTGATGGGCAGACCCTGTAAGTTGCGACAGCATCACATTAGCACGCTGCAGCCCAGGACACGCATTCAAGAAAACCCACCTTCTCCTTGAGAATCTTCTCCAAAGGAGGAACAACGTCGTGACCCTCCACTCCATCGATGTCGAAACCCTTGGTCCAGCGCTGCAGGACACCATGGTCGATGTAATCCTGAGTGGCGGGGTAAGAGAAGGTGAAACCCAAGGGAAGCTTGGAGAGCTGCTCGCCCTCGTGATGGGATTCGATGAATTGCTGCAAGCAGTCGGCAATGTACTCCCAGAGCTCCTCGGCAGTGCCAGTTCTGAGCTCCTCGGGCATACGGTACTTGGACTGGGTGATGTCGAAGCCACCCTTCTCTTTGGTCAAGGTGATTTCACAAACACGCAAGTTGGTACCACCCATATCCAGGGCGAGGAAAGTTCCCTGCTCATCACCATCAGGAAATCCCATGACCCAGGTAACGTTCATAGGCTGAAGCAAAATTGACCAATTAGCCCATCCAATCCTTCTTTATGGTGGGGCTGAATTGCCCGGTCAGGCCATACTCACGATGTTACCACCCTCAACGCTGAGACCTGTTCACATTAAGCTCATAGATGGTCAGCTTGAAAAATAAATCCATTGACCTTATTGATTTGTTCGGAGAAAGCAATTTGTTTTGAATATATATCAACGTTATTGAAGGGGAAGAGGGGTGGGGGTCACCGGAGAGGAATCAATCTCTATGACGTACCCTTTTCCAGCTCCTTGACGAAGTGGTCGACAACCTTCTTGAGAGTAGCACGGTCCACGGTAAACATTTCCTCGAACTCTTTGATCTGCTGCAGGAGATTCTGGGGCACATCGGCCATGGATCCTATGGTCGGGTTAATGGGAATCGGCATCCCGAGGAGGGAAAGTAAGGAGACGCACCCTTGCGGGAGGGTGGACGCTTGGGACCGAGTCCGACCATTGTGAATAGTAATGATTGATAGAGGTTGAGTTAGAAGGGAAATGAAAAGGATAGAAGTGGTTGAAGCGGATGGCACAGCAGGAAATGAAAAGAATGAAGGGAAGAGAGGAGGGAGGAAGAGGAGAGAGAAAGAGAGAGAAGAAAGACAACGATGACGACGTGGGGCGAAGGTCGGATGGCGGGGAATATTATCGGGGGCAACTGGCCAGTCGGGGCGTGTGCTCCTCACCGGTGACTGGCTTGGGTCGCGGCGGGTCAATAATAAATACGATGTGATTCGAAGATTAGGATTAGAGTACACCGTAGTGATCCTTGAAATGTGATCGAACGTCTTTATATAATCGAGTAAATAAGCCAGGGATTATTCCACTTCCCTTCTGCGGCAGTGGGGAGGTCAGGAATGCTCGGAAGGAAAATTAGAGGTGAGGTGGATTAGGGCTGGAGTTATCTCCCATCCAGTTCTATATCCCAATGCGTGTTATTCCCTCTAAATCATTCATTAATGTATACAACAGATACTCTTACCTTGGTACGTTTGTTTTTTATCGATCATCGGTATCATCAAGGTCATTATTATCATCATCAGCACTTTCCAGGGTCGACACGCCCGATCCGGACGGGATAGTCAACCAGCCACCCACGCCCATCTTGCTTCCTCCCATACCATCCCGTCTTCGTCAAGAAGCCAATTATTTGGGATTTTCCAGGCTGAGTTTCTTCGTGGCCTGTGCCAGATGGGGGAAGACATGGGCCAGTCCTTCGGTGCCTGTCTCCCCCGCATGCGAGCTGCCGTTGTTATTCGCCGGATCGGCTCGATCTGCGCGATCCGCTTTCCCCACGACAGGGCTCCCTAATTGTTGTCGGACACGTTGCTCGTAGGCTTGCGAGATACCTAGCGTGCGATCGACCTCATTTGTGAGACGCTCAACCTCTTCCTGTAACTGCTCTTCGCGTGTCCGAGAAGGCCCATCCTCTGCCGTCTGTGCGCCTGGTTCTTCCGGCAGCTTGGTGGTTTCCCATAACGCCTCCAATTCTTCTTCCCAGCCCAATGCGCGAGCGAACCGACGCACACCAGTGTCGCAATCGCCCAGCACCAAGACATCGTCTGGGCGTGACCCAAGTCCTCCTACCCGCTCCATGTTGATCAAGACCCGGGGCACCCCATCACGACAAAACCCGGGAAGACTAGCAAACGGTTGCACCGTCAGGCTGGTGCCCATCACAATGCAGAGATCGGCCTGTTCGGGCAAATCGCGACTGTCAAAGAAGTCGGACGGTAGCGCTTCCCCAAAGAAAACAATGTCCGGCTTCACAAGCCCATTACACTGAGGACAGTGAGGTACCTCTCCCTTGTCAACAGCCGCCTTCATCCGGTCATCCGGGTAGGCCGCCTTGCAATCGATGCACCGCTGGGTCGCAAAGCTTCCGTGGGCCTCAACAATCATCTCGCCGGGAACCCCCGCCAGACGCTCGAGACAGTCGATATTCTGCGAGAAATGTTTTAGTAGGCGACCCTTCTCGTAGAGGAGTCTGATGAATGAATGTGCGATGGTGGGTCGGTATCGACCGGGGGCAAGCTCGCGGGCCAAAGTGTAGAAAGGCTTAGGGTTCTCGCGGAAGAAACCGATGTCAAACACGGCTTCAGGATCGGGCAGATCCAGGTAGGCAAGATTGGAATAAATGCCCGTGTCGGGGGAGCGAAAATCGGGTATACCGGCCGAGGTACTGATGCCTGCACCCACCTAAAATATCGTGGGGGTATTGTCAGCAACTGCGCATGCGGTGTATAAGATTTCCTCACCATCACCACAATACGTCGCACATCTTTCTCCAAGATGTAATTCGCGACTGCCTCAATGGTGCGCTTCTCCAGCACGGATGGGATAGTCTCCTCGTCCACCACAGTGGAGGATTCGTTGCCCATGATGCGCGCGACACGGTCAATTCGAGGTCGGATTTCGTGGAATTGGGGTTTAATTGATGGATGTTACTCTATGTAGTAAAAGGCGCGTTGTAGAGAGCGTGACCAGCGTAAATGCGAAGAACACAGCTGAAAGTGTCGTTCGATGCAATGGAAGAATTTCTGGGGATGACGTCGAGGCGGAAAACGGTGAAATTCCGAAAAAAGAAAAGTTCAAGAAGCTGATATCGAGCCTGAGGTGTCCACTCTTGTAGTTTAGATTATATTCTCAGAATCGGCTACATTAACTAGTCTTAAGAATTGTCGCCGAGACTCTAACCGAGACTCTAGCTTTGGATGTATACAGATATCTCAATCAATATGTTCTACCAGGAAGGAAAAAATAAATTAAAAAAAGCTTCTCGCTTTCAGCTTATCGTACTGCAGGGCTGTGTATGTATTTTCACCTGAGGCAGGACGCCCCGCCCGCTGACCGCCTGCCAGAATACGGCCATGTTGTTCGGAATGGCTTCGATGTCTCCTTTCCATTCCATCCCTTCTCCTCGACACATTGAATGGTGTCGCAGCCGAATGCTGCTCTCTTCCCTCGTTAGAAATGGTTAACTCACTCCTTGGTCCGATCAATGGCCATCTCGATATCGCATCCGCCCCAAACAACGCCACGACTACCATATTTAATGCCAGCTCCATCGCCGAGATCAAGGCCGCACTGTCTCACTTACATGAGCAAGAAGCCTCAGTAACCGCCCGTCTAGATGCTCTTGTTGCCTCTCAGAAAGATTTCTCGCGCGAACTCGGGCGATTGGATTTGCTTCGCGCCAACCTAGGGTCTCAAACCAGCACCACGCGCACTATTAGCCATGGGATGCTCGCCGATGCGGCCACCACCGCCGACCGCATCTCCAGCGCCGTCCGCCGTTTAGACCGAGAGCAGTCCCGCGTGAAAGCTACTCTGACTGTGGTGGATCAGGTCGCTGAGCTGAAGGCATGCGTACTGGGCGTGGCTGGTTCCATGGGGGCTCCGCAGGACTGGGAGACAGCGGCGAGTTACCTCCATCGTGCAGCCAAGATTCCCCCGGAGGTGATCCATGGGGCTTTTGCCGCGGAGATGGTGCCCACCGCGGAGGTGCCTGATCCGCCCCATGTCACCCTCGACAACGCCGCTGAGTCGCTCTGCGGTCTTTTCCTGCGCGAGTTCGACAAGGCCGTTCAGGAGAACAACGGCGCCCGTATCACTCGCTTCTTCAAGCTCTTCCCCCTCATTGGTCGCTCCGAGGTCGGTCTTGACGTCTACGGTCGCTATGTCTGCCAGGGCGTCGCCGCCCGCGCTCGATCCAATCTTAATGCGGCTGGCGGCCAGGCGAAGGATGGCTTCTTTTATGCCAGCGCGCTTACCAAGCTGTTTGAACATATCGCTCAAATCATTGACGGCCACAGCGGTCTCGTCGAGCGTCATTATGGCCCACGTAAAATGAATCGTGTTATCGAGCGTCTCCAGCTTGAGGCTGATGTCCAGGGTGGCATCATCCTCGACACCTGGAGCGATGAGCGTCACCTGGATCGCAAGCTAACAGATATAAAGTCTTACGCCTTCACTTTTCTGGTTCAAAGCTTCTTGCCGCCTCAGCGCGGCGGCGGCACGCCTCGATCTAACTCACCGGCCGTCCGCGATGGAGCTGCCGAGGACGAAGGTGTAGACATGAAGGAAATCGATGGGCTCCTCAACGAGATGGCTGTCATGCTCGGACGCTGGTCTTTGTACTGTCGCTTCCTAGCAGATACCTGCAACGTATGTTTCAGTCGCTACAGTTCTCTCGCTATAACCTGATACTGACAATTTACCAGTCTCCAGCAGAGAAAGTTTCCCGCAACGTGTTCACCCTCCCTGAGTTCCTTCGCGATTCTTCCCTCACTCAAAAGATAAACGACCGTCTTGCTGGCCCTTTCAACACCATGACCACCTTCTTCTTTCGCCGCTCCGTTGAAAAGGCCTTCCAGCTCGACGAGCAGCCCTCCGGCCTGACTCTCAATCCGCATAAACCTCTGAAGGCTGACCCGCCACACATAACCTCAGCGGTTGACGACATCATGTACATCGTCAACAAAGTCCTGCAACAGTCCCTGGCTACCTCGCAGATCAGCGTCGTCAGCAACGTCGTCCCGACTGTTTCGCGCGTGCTCGGCTCCGATTTCATTGGCATGACCCAACGCAAGATGCGTGACGAATGCTACCCGCGCGCCGCAGTACAAGGCGCCCAACCTCCAGAATCCCTCACCATTCCCTTCCTCGTGCTCATCAACAACCTCGACGTAGCAGTCGACTATATCCAGCGCATTCTTCACAAACATACTGAACAGAAAATTGCCAACCCATCCGACCCCTCCTCGACCGTCGCCACAGACCCCATCCAAGCCCTCTTCCCAAATCCCACAGAAGCCCAGCTGGCCTCTCAAACCCTCCACTCTCTCGCCAGCTCCTTCGAGTCTAAGGTTACGGACCTGCTCACTGACGGCGTCCAAGTCATCTTCAACAACGTCATCAAACATCGACTCCGGCCCATCCTGTCAGACGCCTTCCGCGACATCGAATACCAACCGCGGAACGACACTGATCCCGTGCGCACTATCTACAACGCCTCCACCGCCATCAATATGAACGAGTACTACGACTCGGACGACCCGATCATCGGCGCCAATGACGCGGCGGCCACTGACGGGGAAGCTGACCCGGGCGCCGAGTTGGTTCGCCCGCGCTTCTCGACCGCGTGGAACGAGCTCCTCCTCCCCATCAGCCGCATTCTTACTCCATCGGCTTTCGACCGCCTCCTGACCGTCACAGTGGCATATCTGGCGCGGTTGCTGGAGAAGAGACTCTGGAGCTACCACGGCCGGGTCAACGCGCTGGGCGCGACGCGGCTCGAACGCGATGTCTCCGGCGTGGTTAGCGCGGCGGTGGACGTGGGTGGTTCGCAGGGTCGGTATCGGCACCGTGACGCGTTTGTGCGGTGCTTGCAGATGGTGCTGGTGATGGGCATGGACGAGGACGAGTGGGACGATGTGATGCGCGGCGGGGAGACGGCAGAGGTCGTGGAGAAATTGGGTAGGGACGAGAGGATGAGGGTTCGGGCTATGGTTCGACGAACCTAGACCATCTCGCTTCTTTCTAGATAATGAGACCGGGAGGGTTTACAAGGAACAAGAGAGGTCTGTGGGCGGGTTTGCAGGGTTTATACGTCGAGGATTCGTGGTGCGGAGAAATGTATATAAGTAGAAAACACATTTACACATATAGATATGTAAGGTTTCGCATATGCAATTGTCAATTGCATATGGGGCTGCTCAGTAGGGCTCTTGTGATAGCTGTTGAACGAATAGAATAGCAACCAGTATTCCGTCAATCAAGCTGATTGTTTGCTGCTCTGGATGCTGCGAGCTTAATTGGGGTATTCTGCAGCCCTGCCACGTGAACCCCACGCTCTGGGAGACCCACTATCCATGTGATCAATTTGTCACACCATGGTCAACGAGCTTGTTTGTCACTCAATCAAGAAACAGGACGGTCTGTAAGTGGATACTTGAAACCTAGAAACCCTGTGTAGCTTCCATGTGCAGATTGAATCACAGTTAGGTCACCTGGCAATGCTAAACCTGACCAGGTAACATGCCTAGATTCATGCATGCTCAGTCGTTCATATATATATAACTATTTCAATTCGATCAAAATCTATGCATGTGATGGTATCAATCCTGAACACTGAAAAGAATCATCCCGCCAGCTGGAGAACCTAATATATACAAACCACCCAGCAGGTAGGTATACAGGACCCACGGGTGTGCTGATCCCACGTAACGCCGTGCAAAGTAAAAAGAAGTATCAGAAGAGGGCTTCCCACACCGACAGATATACACTGAAAAAGACAGAACACAAAAATGGCTCAGGGATAAGGGCGACGCTGGATATCACAATAGAACAGAAAAGCAAAGAGCAATTAGCCGAGCTGATTATCAGGTCTCAATCTTCCCCTGCACGGGGATTTCCGGTAACGACTCCCCAATAGGTTCGGGCTCGTGTGCCGGATTGTGCTCGGCCACTTGACGCGGGGCCGGCGCCATCTTGATTTCCTGGATGCCCGACTCGCCTTCACTGCAGCCGCGACTGTCCACGCCAACCGGGGCGTGACCATCCAACATCATTTCACTGTGCTCGCCAATACCGTACCGCGCTGCGGCCGGAATCTCGTGGCCATCTTCCAACTGGTCGTGCTTCTGAGGGGTCCAGGCTAGGTAGTCACGGCGTACTTCCACATAATCGTACGCAAATTCACCCAGTTGGTCGTCGTCCATACCCAAAAGTTCTGCTTCCTCCGAGGCGCGCAGCTTGAGACCAGGGATGGCGTTAATGGCGTAGGCGATGATTGCAGACATGACGAAAGCGTAGGCGCAAGTGGCCACAACGTAAGCGATTTGAATGTATAGTTGCTTCCAATTGTGGATCAGCCAGCCGCCCGAGCGGGATCCTGTGTTCACTCCGTCGAGCCCCACGATCGCATCGTCCGCAAAAAAAGCATTGAAGATCAAACCGACGATACCCGCAATTCCGTGCTCAGCAAGCACATCCATCGAGTCGTCAATCCCAACCCAGTATTTCACTGTGCTTATTAGCTTCTACCATTTTGTTGATGATGACATGAAAGAACTTACCCTTGGTGGAGTAGTTGCAAACAATGCCGGTCACGACACCAAGAATCACGCTGGCCCAGGGAGGGATGAAACCCGAGGCAGGAGTAGCCGCAACGAGACCCGAGATAGTGCCGGAACACCATCCGACCATGGACCATTTGCGAGCCAAGCGCCAATCGAGCAACACCCAGGTCATGGCCGCGAATGCTCCAGTCAGGTTGGTATTCCAGCATGCCATGGCGGCACGCAAGTTGGCTCCGAAGGCCGAACCACCGTTAAATCCCAGCCATCCAAACCAGAGAAAGACGGTGCCAAGCAAAATGAGCGAGACGTTGTGCGGACGAAAATTGAGCATCATTCGTTCCTGGCGGCGACCGAGAACCATCGAGTAAGCGAAGGCAGACAGACCAGATCCGATCTCGACAGGACCACCACCCGCGTAATCCAAGACACCATACTTATACGCCCATCCATTCGCATTCCAAGCCCAACATGCCAAGGGGCAGTAGACAATAGTAGCCCAGATGAAAACAAACACCATGGCCGGCAGCATACGACCTCTTTCAGCCACCGCTCCCATAATGATGGCCGCCGTTACACCGCAAAATTGCATCTATAGAACCAAGCCCTAAGTCAGTGTCTCGGACCGAAATATCCAGAAGCATCGCATGATATCGTACCTGATAGAAGGCATAGAGCAGATTCGGGACGAGGGGAGATCCAGGGCTGGGGTCGGCGAGCGTTTTCATGAGACCGAAGTTGCGCAAGTTACCGATGTATCCGTTGGTAGCGGTGGGTGAGAAGGCTAAGGAGTAACCCCAGAAGTACCATTGGAATGTGACGACGGAGAAGGATGCCATACAGGCCCAGATCATACTGAGAGCCGACTTGCGGCGCGCAAGACCAGAGTAGAGGAACGCGAGACCGGGAATCATGACCATGACCATGGCAGAAGACACAATGATAAAGGCCTGATCTCCGGACTGGAACCATTTGTTCAGGTTCTCCGTTCCTACGACTTGAGGTCAGCATCGGGATGAAGGGCGATGGGAGGCTACATAGCCCGCACAGGGTCACGTACGAGAATCGCCTCCCAGTTCGTTGGTAGCAAGGGCATCGTAGTCGGAGGGGGCGCCCGTCCAGTTGTATGACGCATATTTGGGAATGTAGACGCCGACGTTGCCCGACATTGTGAATTGGGTGGTAATCGACTTGATGTGGCGAGAGAATTGGGGATTTCAAAAAGCGAGTTGAGTCACCACCGCCCAATTTGTCCTCTCGCTGAGAACTGGCGGATGGCGGAATATGGAAACTGAAAAGATGAAACCAGTGGTGATTTGTCAATCCATACAAGGTATTATGGTTTCCGTATAAATCGGTGCGCGAGAAAAAAGGATGGAAGGGAGATAAGGAGTGAAGATAGGCAAGAGGGTATGGAAGGGCGTGACGAAAGAGGGTATGAAGAGGGAGGAAGGAGTCTGGATTGAAAGCGATGTCACCCCGAGATCGGAATGAATGACGGAATGAAGAGGGCAGAGGAGAGTGAAGGAGGGAGAGGATGGAGGACCGAGATGAGGAGGGAGAAGAAGAGGAAGAGGATGAAGTCAGTCGAGAGTAGTAGGTAGTAATCCGTAGTAGTAGAACTCCGCCGTCGTCGGATGTGGAGAAAGAGAAACCGCCACGGGGCGGAGGCGCGGGCGAGATATAAATATGAAGTGTAACCGACTGGCAACGAGTTTCTGGAAAGACACCGGAGTGGGTCGAATGAAACCATAGGATGATTGAGTATAGACTAGAAGACAGAAGGGAGAGGGCAAGACGCCAGAGGTTTCTCCCTAAGGTTTCCCTATTTCTTCCTTCTCTTCTCTTCTGCTCTTGAATTGAAGAATGGATCCCCCCGTTGGGCACCGGAAGGAAAAGGTGGAGCTTCTCACGGTGAACCGGACAATGAAACCGATCGGCCCTGTATTGCTGGAATTGTGTCGGGAGAGGGCCCGAAAATGGTGACAGAGGGAGGTGGAGAAAGAATCAGACGGCTGAGCAGGAATTAAGGACGTCTTAATGGGAGATGTCGCGTGGAGAAGACGAGGATATGAGGATGATGAATTGGAAGAAAAAAAGGCTACCCGGTGCTGATGCTGATGCTGATGCTGTTGCTAGACGGGAAAATAAAAAAGGCTATCGGGAAAAGAAAATAAAAATAAAAATAAAAATAAAATAAAATAGATTGGATTTATGGTAGTCAATCAGAGAGCGTGCGATAACGAGTAAGAGTTGAAAAATCAAATGGGATAAAATAAACTCGGGCCCGACGATCCTCGACCAAACCCTTGCAACCTCATTACCTTCTTTCCTTCCTTCCTGCACTCCTTCCTTGTACTGTATGGTGGGAGAGGAGGGCAGTCCAGATACCTACCTTACTCAGGTACTAGAAGTAGGTATCTCAGATATCTCCGTCGCATGTCTCGAGGCAATGTCCCTCATCAGCTTCAGTCACCGACCTGTTCATCTGTCGAATTTCCAATTTTGATTCCCTCGTGGCAAAACCCAGACGGGGACGGACGGGGCAGTCCACCCCGAATCAGGTAAAGCTGCGTCTGCAGAATGTGGATTAGTCGATGGCAACCCTCCAGAACTACTGCTGAGCATATCTAGATATATACTAGACGAACAGGGAATGCATCCTGCCTCTCGCGCGACAGCGGAGATCCTGAGGTCAACAGATAAGCTGATCGTCTGTCAGCTGTGAATGCCAGTCATCTTCATCTGCGTTCAACTCTCGGTATCACAACCAAGGTTACGAGATGCCATCCCGCTCGCTTCCACTGGCCTGATCATTGGCGGACACGAAGTACTGCCCAGACCTGAGCCTCCGATGCATCAAGACAGCCAAAGAGCCTTTTGAGGCAAGTGGCTTGAGAGTTTTTGGCATTGGGTGATGTACATACAGTTGGCACATTAAACATTTCGCCTGGTGTAGGTTTGATCGATCCTCCGTCGCTGTCAGCTTTTGCATCAACGTCATTGCTGCTGGATCAGGACGACTGGCAATGGAATCTGGCTTTTTTTCAAAAATAATCCCTGGGATATTTCGAGGGACAGCAGGGCTCACTTGACTTGTATTTATGCCTGCGGAACTCCGGGCGGTTACGGTAGGGGAGATAGCTATGTATCATGCATCTTATCGACCTCGCTTCCCTATCGCTCGTGCCCGATGATAATAAACGGACAGCAGTCGATCTGCGACGTTGTACCTAAAGGCTTACCAATTGGGAGCGCGGGGATGTCGAGGATGGCTAATTGGTTTTCTAGACATCGCACTCTCAAGAGCCGAGTACGACTCGATCTCCATCCGCAACAGCGTCCTCTTTGGCCGCAGTTTGCACCTCGGGGAGAAAACCAGAAACGTAAGGCGTGTATCCCTTGCCCCTACCTCCTAGACTATCACAAACAATACGAAAGCCTAACTGGGAACCGCTATCTCGCAAAGAGTGTCGACCCAGGTTGGAGTTTCACAGTTTCGGTTTCACCAACTTCCTTTTCTTGGGGGAATCCACTCGGCCTGATCTGTGGAACAACAATAGGTGAGGGAAAGATAAAAGATACGGCCTTATCAAAGTCCTTTTCTCTGAGCTCATCATTGCTTGGGAACGATTGGCTGGGAGGTCGCGATAAGGTGCTGCACGCCACCCAAGCCGGGGTGGGGCTCCACTAGAGCCGAATGAGGTCTAGTACAGGCGTCAAGCGGCTCCATCGTGCTGATAACAAGAAGCTTCGCCAATGGCAATCCCTTCGTCTGTTCATTGGCTTTCCTTATTTTCCCGATGTCCCGCTCGGGAAGGCTCGGAATCACCCCCCGCGGGTTGCGCGCCTTCTTCTTCTTCTTCCGTTTTGCACTCGCCGCCGGCCCGCGGATTGACTCGGGGACCTCCGGCATACCTGGCATTCTTTATCTCACCACGCCAACCACCTTCGTGTTGTTTTCTATACAAACGCGAGGATTCTTGTCTTGTCTAGTAATGTGCTCGGCTGAAACTAGCTTGTTTAAGCACTGGACGCAGGTGTATCTAGCTGACTTGCAAGCGATCACGATCACAGTTGATTTGCCCCCTCCGCGGCGAACTCCAGAAAATACTAGAGGCCTAGATGGGGGCTCTGATCCACAGGCATAAGACTCGACGAAGCAAGAGGTGGGAAGTGGAGTCAGGACGGACTCCATCCCTTCGCCCCCAGGCTTTGCCTCTCTGTCTCTTGCGTTCCGGAACCAGAAAAAAAAAAAAGAAAAGAAAAAGAAAAAGAAACAGAAAAGAAAAAAGAATCCAGGACTGCAGGAAGAGCTGAATGGGATCCCGATGGCCTAGGCAGAATAGCCAGCCCAGAAGCTGCCCGCCCGACGCCGATATAGGCCTCCGTAATCTACAGATATCACCCCTGTAGTGCTGCACTAGGTAGAGATAAGGACGAGGCCCGTCCGTCCCTGACAGGCCCTTCCGGCCCCTCTCCTTCCTGCTTCGGGCCTAGTTCCTTGGCGATCGTGATCATGACCTGCTTGTCGGGTGTCTCAGTGTCTCTGTTACTTCCTCCACTGGTTTTCTGTTCATCTTGACTGGACATCTTCTCCGTACATTACTCCTGTGTGGGTGAGAGGGCTGTGGGAAATGAGTTAGTGCATCGAGAGGAGTATGTTAGACCCTCCAGGAGCAGAGCTAAGGTCAAACTACCGGCATATCTGAAGGAATCTGGGGTTAGCATGGAGCTATGGACTGTAGTGTCTCTCAGGGCTGACAGTGCTTAATTGCACAACAATGAACTACTGTCTATACAACATATCCAGTTTATCGTTAAGTTGATTTCACCATGTCTCGGAACCTGTCATGCAGTCGTGGTGCTTGTTTGATTTTACTAGGACCCAGTACATTGCGGCTATGTGTCCATTGCAGCTATAGATCCAATTGTTGGGTGCGTGAGCCGGCAATCTCGTTGCATATATGCCGAGTCCCTTGCGCAGTTGTGCTATGATCGTCTGGATATGCATTTTTTATGGTCATCTGTCCATTCCGGCGTACGACACACGCGAGTCAAGATTCCGAACAGGCGAATATATCTCGGCTAAACATGTGAGTGATTCTAGGCCTATATCAGGTCCAATGCGATGAACCGATGAGACCTATATAAGGCGAGTGTGGCAGGAGCGGAATACCAGAGCACCAAACAACCTACTTGTCAAATATAACAGGTCTAGCACATTGCTGCCTGTATGGGATTTTCACACTCTTGGATGATAATAATGGGTCCAGGGGGGAGTACAAATGCATAAAGCAAAACAATGAATCTATAGCCGCAATCAAGTTGCATTTTCGATAGCCTGGCCTGCTGGCCCAATGGTAAGGCGCTTGACTACGAATCAAGAGATTGCAGGTTCGAGCCCTGCGTAGGTCACTACTTTTTGCACTTTTCAAGTTCAGACATGTATGTTGACATGTCTGTACCCACTCCGGCATGTCCCAAACTATAGACACAGATGAAGGACGTGAACAATGGACAGGTTGAATGAACAGGTTGAGTGCGCTGCATATATGCCTTTATGCACTTCCCCGAGGTTCCGCACACAGTGATCACATCTGCAATAGCCCAGTCCCCAACCAGATGCACGTCCATCAAGATGTCCTGGGAGTATACATACCACTGAGCTGTTTCCAGGCTCGACCTGCCGGCCGGCTACTATAGCTCTCCGCGGCCTGTGCGAGTATGGTGCTTCATGCCGTACAGTTCTACAGCTGGTTCCAGGGTAAGTATATGTGATTGAACGCACTCACATATTCCCACGGTGCATTGTTCGACCTATCAATAGCACAATACACGAGAACCATGGTCTTTGTTCTATACATATGTAAGTTATAGTGGTATTATTAACCCAGAAATCCGACTCGGACACCCATTCATCCCATGCATCTATCAGACATTGGAACTGTATCCCACCCCTACGGTTCTCCGTCGTTGCAACGCCATATAATACTTTCGCGCCTCGTCTACCCAAAATACACTGCTGGAGATACAAACCAACTTGAAAAGATGCGCCAGGTTCAGCGCCTCTGTTTGGAACACCCGCTGCAAGAAGGGCAGGTAGATGACGCACGCCTGGCCGGCCAGGGAGCCCAGCACGGCGTAATTGAACATCTTGTTGCTGAAAAGCGAGATCTCGCCTCGCAGGACCGACTTGCCCTCACTGCGACAGGTCAGGGCGTTGAACATGTCAAACAGTACGAAGCACGTGAATGTCATCGTCGTGTCGTGGGCAGTGACCATGCGCGCCCGCTTGCCAGGGTGGCCCACGTCGTCCACATCGCTCATCTCGTACACATAGATGGTTAGGGTGCCGAGCATGATGACCATGGCTGAGGTAAGGACCCGCTGAATCAGTGGTCTCGTCAAGACACGAGCCGACCTCGGGCGCGGAGGACGGTTCATGATCGAAGGATCCACCGGCTCTACGCCAAGAGACTGTGCCGGGGGACCATCCATGAGGATATCTAGGCAAGAGGGATCAATATAAGGATGAAGAAGTAGCAGGACATGAAAATACTCACTGATCCAGAGAATCTGCATCGCATTCAATGGGTTCTTGAAGCCGAGAGTCGTGCTCAGCAGGACAAGACTGAGAGCAGCCACACTGGTACTGAGCTGGAAGGTGATGAAGTTCTGGATGTTATAAAATATGCCTTTACCCTGCTCGATTGCCCGGAGAATGGTTGAAAAGTCGTCGTCTGTCAAAATCATATCCGCCGCCTCCTTGGCAACATCAGTTCCCAGCTTGCCCATAGAGATCCCGATATCCGCCTTCTTCAGGGCCGGTGCATCATTGACACCATCACCCGTCATGGCTACTACATCTCCTCGGGCCTGCAGAGCACGGACCAGTTTCATCTTGTGGTCTGGACTCGTTCTGGCAAAGATAGACGTAGAGGCAATTGCCTGGGACAGTTCACCTGTGCTCATCCGCTCAATTTCCTCACCACTGATGACAGGTCGTGACCCAGGCGCATCATTAATCGGCATACCCAATTTCCTAGCGATGGCGACTGCAGTAGTCTCGGCATCTCCAGTGATCATGATTATCCGCACCCCTCCGGCCATCAATCGCCGAATAGATTTGTGGACATCCTTGCGAGGGGGGTCGTTCATGCCCACCAACCCGGCAAAGACGAGCCCGTTGTATCGCTCATCGTCGTCGCCTTGACTGGTGCGTGACATAGGCGTACCCGATCGACTGCCCAGTGTTCTTCCCTTGGCACCGTCCCTGGATAAACCGCTGGCAAAACCTAAAACCCTCAACCCTTCCGATGCCATCTGCTCGGCCGCCTGCCGCACAGTCTGCCGTCGAGGTTCATCCAGGATCACTTCCCGCCCATCCTTAGTCAGGTAGGTATCACAACGCGCTAGAACCTGCTCGAGTGCACCCTTGATGTAAGCCATGTTAGTACCCCCCGGAGCGGCAAGTGAGGATGATTCGCCAGGTGTGCCGCTGCCGATGATCACGCCCATCCACTTGCGCTCGGAACTGAAAGGGGTCTCAGCAACGCGGGCGCTGATTCGATCGCGCACATCGTCCTCTCCGAATATGTCCAGTAAATCGAGTATAGCGACGTCAGTCGGCTGCCCAACCCATCTGCTTCGAACACTCCCCGAAGCCCTATCATCAGTCGAGGACAATACGGCAGCAGAGGATGCGCTAGCCGGCGAGTTCGCATGCACACGTGACAATCTGGCATTATTGGCAATGTTGCCAACGCGAAGCACCGTTCGAGCCGCGGGTCCTGGAGTCAATGAAGTAATGTCGTTGTGCACCTCAAATGGCTCCGAGCAATCAAAGTGCCACATTTTGGTGACAGTCATGTGGTTGAGAGTCAGTGTGCCAGTTTTATCACTGCACACAACATTGACTGAGCCCAAGGTCTCAACACTGGGCAGCCTTCGCATGATAGCCCCTCTTTTAGCCATGCGTAGTACCCCCAAAGCCAAGGTCACCGTGACAATAATCGGGAGGCCTTCTGGGATCGCGGCAACTGCGAGCGAAACCCCAATGGTGAACATCTCGAGTAGCTTCCGACCTTGAATCAAGCCGATCACAACAATAAGTGCGATGACACCAAACGATATGTAGCTCAACTCCTGACCGAGACGGTCCATGGACAGCTGCATCGGGGTCCGTGGGCTCTCAATCTCCTGCAGCGAGGCCGAAATGCTACCGAACTCAGTCTGAGCACCGGTTCCGATGACAATACCCTGGCCGTATCCGGAGCGCACCAGAGTTCCCATAAAAGCGATGTTGTGCTGTTCATTCAAACGGATATCTGCTCCGACCGCGCCGCTGGCGGGAGCATCATAGAACGGTGATCGGGGTGGTTGCAATGAAAGGGGTTTCGAGCTGCGAATCGCGTCAGAATATTTGACCACTGGTTCATTCTCACCCGTCAGGTTAGATTCATCGATGGCTAAATCCGTGGCTGCGGTGATCCTAATGTCGGCCGGGATGCGGTCGCCAACGGTGAATAAGACCAGATCACCAGGCACCAACTCATTTGCTGGAACAGTGCTTGACGCTTTGACAGCGTTAGAGATGGACGGACTTTTGCTCTGAAGCTCTTGTAGTTCGATCTCTCCAGTGACTGCTGCGACCGAGTTTGCCATGGGGGGACCGTTTGAGGGGATGTCGCGGATCAAATGCGCATGATGTGGAACGAGACGGTTCAAGGCTTCCAGAGACTTTTCCGACCGGTATTCCTGAACAAAGCCGACGCTGACGACAATTGTAACGGCGAGGGTGATACTGATTGCATCATCGTAATTGCCCATAACAAAGGATATCCCCGCGGAGGCCAGGAGGAGCAGGATCAGGGTCTCGCGAAATTGCTTCAAGAAACGGAGCCAGATAGGTTCCGGGTCTTCGTGAGGTAGTTCGTTAGGTCCATCGCGTGCGAGCCGAACCTCCGCCTCCGCCGGCGTCAGTCCATGAACGAGCGAGGTCTGCAATCGCTCTGCGGTTTCTTGAGGGCCTAAAAGCGAATACGTAGAGGTGGATGTCTGTCGAGTGCGTGGCGCTTGAAATCAGCTGCGCCCAATCAATTATAATAGCGATGGACAGCTCGAAGAATGCGACGGCCTTCGATATTGAGATTTCCTTGACTTACCGAGGGGGAGATAGTAGAGCGCACACCCGCAGGCGTCGTTGATTGAGGCCTCGAATCGGTCTGGACATTATGAAGAGGGAGCGAGGGCGATTCGGACCTTGACATCTCTCATGCTTTGTCGGAAGAAAGGGAAAAATAAGGCCCAAAAAGATCAAGCACCAGCTATTACCATCCCATCGGGAACCAGTGTTCAGAGAAGGGAGAGTATGGGGGTGGTTTTCAGGGAAGGAAAGGGTGAAGGTTGGTTCCAGATCACAAGAAAAATCCAAGGCGGCCGGCACGGCGAGAAAGCCACGTTCTAGTAGTCGTAGACGCGACCTGGCCGTAACTGCATCGATAATAGTTCAGTTGGTTAAAGGCAAGATGGGGGGTCACTAAGTGGACACAGGGACAGGGCCGTGCGGCGAGGGGAGGGTCGGCTTGCGGCCACTGATTAGTCGTGGTTAGATCGGGTACGTCGTAGTATTTGACTTGGAGTTCAAGTGATGGTTAGCCACGACGATAGCAGAAGCTAAGTATAGTTTTGAGGACGAGCTTCTCAGATAGCACTGATGCGGGCCGTTCAAGTACGAGCCGAACCGAAGAAGCTGAGATTCCATTGAGTATTGAATAGAGCCTTCAACGAAACCTCAAGACCTCAGGTCTTTTACTGCCTCTTTGGGACTTTCTTTTCTCTTTCCCCAATGCGGATTAGTGTTTCCGGATTACGCGTTGATCCGTAGTCACCGGATGGGGATTAGTGCAAGCAGTGTCACAGGTGACCAGATGCTTATGTAACTTATGGCACGTGATCTCGGCCATCGTGTCTCTCCGCCAATCAGTGGACAGGGGTTGGAGAGGGGAGGCTGGGCAACCACTGCTGTTGTCCACGGTATCAGTCCCTTTCCGCCTTGGAAACCGCCAGTCATTGAGACGCGCCCTCATGTTTCCTCCCATTCCCTTCCATCCCACACCACACCTTTCATCCTCCACCCACTTTTCCCCCAACCGCCTGCTTTTCTCGATTTAATCCGACCCCCTCATCCTTCCGTTTCCCCTCCAACCTATTGATATAGGGATTATACTGGGGTCGCAATTTACGCGACTATCATTCCAACACATTTTACAATCTCTACCTGATTCGAATAGATCGTGTCAGTGTGGTCGTACCTCGAACGCCGTAGGGGGCGAAGCACCACTCGCTGATCCTTTTGTTTTCGGCTCCCGGCGCGTCATCGTACGTTGGTTGCCAGGGAACTCATCACCACACCACAACCAAACCCCCCCCCCCGGCACCGGGCGGGTTTCTTTTTGGAAGAGTCCCTACTTGTCGTTGACTTCCTTTAAGCATTATCCTGAACCGATCTCCTACTTCTCACCGCTGATATGTTCTATTCGGAGACGCTTCTGTCGAAGACCGGGCCGCTGGCCCGCGTCTGGCTGTCCGCTAACCTAGAGCGCAAACTTTCTAAGTCGCATATTTTGCAATCCGATATCGAAAGTAGCGTCAGCGCCATTGTCGACCAAGGACAGGCGCCCATGGCCTTGCGACTGAGCGGTCAGCTGCTGTTAGGTGTTGTCCGTATCTATAGCCGCAAAGCGCGTTATCTCTTAGATGACTGCAACGAGGCTCTTATGAAAATTAAAATGGTATGTCTAGTCGTGAATCCTGTGGATACAATCGCCTATCGCTGACTGCCTGACTGTCCAGGCCTTCCGTCTCACGAACAACAACGACTTGACGACCACGGTCGTCGCACCCGGTGGCATCACATTGCCTGATGTACTCACCGAATCTGATCTATTTATGAACCTGGACTCTGCTCTTCTGATACCGCAGTCGCTTAATTTGGAACCAGAGGGCAAGCGACCGGGTTCTATGGATTTTGGTAGTCAACTGCTCCCTGATACTGGTTTGCGGCGCTCGGCCTCGCAAGAACCCGCACGCCTCGAGGACCACACTCTGGTTGATTTGGATCTGGGCGAAGATGAAACACCTTTGGGTCACGACTTCAGTATGGAAGTTGGTCGAGATGCTCCAGCACCACGCCCCGTCGAAGAAGATCTTTTCAGTGATGGTGGAAAGTTCAACGACGCCGACAATTTGCAATTGGACCTTGACCTTGGTGAGGACGACGCACCGTTGGACAAAATGGATCTTGGCGATGATGGCCTCCATGATAACTTCATGCAACTGGACGACCATATGGACCTCGGCCCCGACGAAGAAATTGTTCCGGATGCGGATGAGAGGTTCGAACGTGAAAGTACCGTCTTGACCGACATGTCGGAGGAACGAGTCAACCGGCTTCTCGATCCAGAAGAGGAGGCCGCTGCGAATGAAATGGGAAATGAGGAAGGTGGGGAGGAGATGATCGCCCAACACGAACAACGGGCTAAGCGGCGCAAGGTCGTTATTATGGGTCTTGACGAGGTAGCGGATCTCCGGGAGCATGAAGTCAAGAAACAGGATAAGGATCGCGCGCACATCTTGAAGCCTTCGTCGTGGCTACCCAGGGACCCTGTGCTACTGACCCTGATGAACATGCAAAAGAATGGCGACTTTGTGTCGAGCGTGCTCGGTGGTGACCGAGGACGTGGTTGGGCCCCTGAACTCCGGGATTTGCTCTCGTTCGACACCGTCCAGAAGGCTGGTGAGTTGAAGCGGAAGCGTGACAGTGGAATCGCGGACATGGATGTGGAGGCCGCTGCCGCTCCAGCATTGGAACTTGGCGAAGAAGAAACGATCTTGCCGATCGATGAGGGTGTGGGAATGGATTCTACTCTTCACCAGCGCTCGGACATCGACTTTCCAGGCGATGAGGAGGACCACCACGGTTTGCACTTGAGTGAAGACGAAGGAATGGACCACACGCTGGAGGAAGTCGATGATACGATTGTACAAGACAGCGGACCTGTCTCTCTCGGCACGAAGCATGCTGTTCACATTCTTCGTGAACGTCTCGGGGAATCGGCAGAGGCACAGAAGAAGAGCGTCAAGTTCCAGGAAATCCTACCGGAGAAGAAGGCCTCCAAGGCGGATGCGACCAAGATGTTCTTTGAGGTCCTCGTCCTGGCCACCAAGGATGCTGTTCAGGTCGAACAGCGTCCCGAGACTGTTGGCGGCCCTCTCAAGATCCGTGGCAAGCGAGCTCTCTGGGGCTCATGGGCTGAGGAAGGTGCCAATGAGGAGGCTGCTTCGCAGGCCACTCTGGCTGCCGCTTAAATGGACCTGGGTGACTTTCTCTGTGTGCGTGTTCGTGTACATCTTTGACTGTAGTGTGTGCGTGTGGAGGCTGTGATGCCCTCGGGAACCGTTCGACTTTGTGTATCGGCGATTACTTTATTGTGGAATCGATTGGCGTTTTGGGGGTTTATCTCTCTCCTTGGGACTGAAAAGGCGGTTATTGAATGAATTCTTCTGAAGAGCTGGGATCTTGCTCTGCGGGTTGTGAGGCAAAGATTTTGTTTAGGTGATAGCTATGTCTTCTTTAAGTGTAATAGAAGTAAGTCATCTCATTGACGAGAGTCCTGGTCAATTGATTATCTATGTACTAAATAGTAGTCGTAGTGCCTGCCTTACATTTTCCTGTGACCCATGGGTCAATCATGACGGCGAGTCAACCAAAACGTCAACTGGCGTCATCGCTGCCAGAACAACTTCATTTTATAGGGGCAGCAATTGAATCTGGCTCCGTGTTACTCACTCAGTCTTTTACTTATCTATATATTTGAAAATAATAAAATTAATGTAGTCTCGGGAATCACCACTTAGTGTGGCTGCTCGGTCTTTGCTCGAAGCCGAAGGCGAGACTAAGAACGGCCGACGAACCCCAAACGATCAGCGCGATAAGCTAACGCGCTTGGCTGGATCCTCTTTCATAAGCTGCGACAAGCTGGACCTTCTTAGAACCACAGAATTAGGAATCCATTCCCCGCGGGACGGCTTTCCTCACTTTACTGTTCGGAGTGGGGATTCCGTCCAGCTGCCATTTCCTCGAACGTCTCTCTCTGTCTTGCCTCCTCCGTTCTTCATCTCTGATTCAGTTATGTCTTGCTTCTTCTCAAATTCTTTCCTGTTCCTATAGCTTGAGCCAAGCCGCCACAAGCTTTAGTGGCAGTAATTAGCCGGCAGTTGTCCGTTTCACGTTGAATTGGCCTGCAAATCGCTTCTGGTCCCGCAAACAGTATACTCCGTACGCACACGCAACTGAAACTCGAGCTCGACGAGCATAACACCGCGGCAAACATACACAAACAACAAATATTGAGTAGGCAAGGAGGCTTCACTGGAGCTTGAAAGTCAGTCTTTCGCATGGTCATCGATGGTTCTTCACATTGTCTGGCTCGGGGACTATGTCTGAACCAGTGCAGGCGGGGGTCTCTCGAAAGACGTCCGAGCCATGTCTCGACCGAAACTCCACGAGTACGCACCATGACATCGAGGAAAATGTGGACCAGAGAAACCCGGAATTCGAAGTCGACGGCGCTTTCGCTCCCATCAACGGTCGCGTTACATCACATGAGAGCCAGATGCGCCGAGTGCACTCGCGCAGCTACTCTTTGACTGATGGCTATAGCTATAACATACCGGATGACGATGAGATCGAGAAAGTTCCAAGTCGAAAAGAGGGCTTAGCTGCTGATGACCCAGATGCTTTTATCGTCAGCTGGGACGAGCATGATCCGATGAATCCGCGCCGATTCAATACCTTGCGAAGATGGCTGATCGTGGTCATTTGCTCCCTAGGCTCGCTTTGCGTGTAGGTGCTCAATGCTGATGCGAGTATCTTGCCAGTGCTGATATTGCCGTCTTCCCGAAGGACCTGCACGTCCTCTATGTACACTGTCACCTACAATCAGATAACAGAGGAGTTCAACTGCTCTCGATTGGTCGCGACGCTGGGATTGTCGTTCTTCATCTGGGGTCTTGGTAAGTCGACGCAATCAAACCAATTTGTTCTTCCACAGTGTTGTCGATGCTGATGTATAACTCCTGAAGCGGTCGGGCCACTGTTCTTGGCTCCTTTATCTGAGGTTCGTGTAACTGCGGGTCCCTTGTTCAGTGTTCAGTGGTCTTGACCATTAACACAGGTCCATGAATACACTGACCCTTCGATAGTTCTATGGTCGACGATATATCTATATCTGCTCATTCTCATTCTTCTTGATTTGGCTCATCCCATGTGCAGTAGCCAAGAATATTCAAACTATGATCATCTGTCGCTTCTTCGGCGGCATTGCTGGCAGTGCGTTCCTTAGTGTCGCCGGTGGTACCGTAGGCGATTTGTTTGCCCGCCATGAACTGAGCGCACCAATGATGCTGTACACCAGTTCTCCCTTCATAGGTCCGGAGCTGGGCCCACTGTATGTTCTCAATTCCCATAACATGATGTTGCCACTGGTGCTGACAGCTTTAGTGTTGGTGGATTTATCAATCAATATACCACTTGGTAGGTCCCCTGCCCTATATACTCATCACGCTCGGCTTACCACTTTGTCCGCTTGGTTTAAAGGCGGTGGACGTTCTATGTTCTTCTCATATGGACGGGTGCACTGTTGGCCTTGATATTCTTATTTGTCCCGGAAACGTATCATCCTGTGTAAGTGCTTCTCTCTGCTTTGAGCTTATACCTTGTAGAAGAACGTCATTTGACATTGACCTTGCAGTCTTCTCAGGCGCAAAGCACAAAGATTGCGCGATGAGACAGGCGATGAAAGGTGGCAGGCACCGATTGAGAAACTGCAACGATCGGTAGCACAGACAGTCTTGCGGTCCACTTACCGACCCCTCCTGCTGCTGACGATGGAGCCGATGTGCCTTAACCTTTGTATATTTTCAGCTATTTTGTTGGGCATCCTTTATCTGTTCTTCGGTGCGTTCCAACTGGTCTTCCAGAACGTGTATGGCTTTGAGCTGTGGCAGCGCGGCCTCTGCTTCCTTGGCCTCTTCGTCGGCATGCTCATTGCCATCTTCACGGACCCGCTATGGCGGCGCAACTATGTCCGCCTGGAAGAGAACCATGAAAAGGCAACTGGACAGTTAGATGACTTCCAGCCTGAGTGGCGGCTCCCACCAGGTATGCCCAACTTGTTCTAGCTTGTTGTTTTGTTGAGCGGCTTCTAACGTCGGAGACGATGCAGCGATTGCCGGAGGTCCGCTTGTAACCATTGGTTTGTTCATCTTTGCCTGGACGATCTATCCTCATGTGCACTGGATCGTACCGCTCATCGGCAGTGCATTCTTCGGAGCTGGGTAAGCTTGTCACTTTGTCCGAGTCTACTGCTTGTAGCAATCCTCGCCCAGGTACGGGCCTTCTCAAAGCTTTTACATTAGTTCTGATTTGTCGCACCTAGGACTATTCTCGTGTACTCGGGGATCTTCACTTTCCTGGTCGACGCGTATCCGACGTTTGCTGCTAGTGCCCTGGCCGCGAACAGTTTCGCGCGCTCTATCTTCGGCGGCGTCTTTCCTCTTTTCGGTATCCAAAGTAGGTCTTGCTTGTTCCAAAGTGATTGTAAGACCATGATATTGGCATCATCATGCGAGTTGGACCTTGGCGGATATAGTCTGCTTCCAGCCTTTAGTGACGATGTTCTTGTTGAGATCTGTTGACTTTGGACACATTGTATTCTGACCGCCGCTTGCTAACGAATGATTACAGTGTACAACAACTTGGGCTATCACTGGGCAACGTCACTTCTTGCTTTTCTTACGCTTGTCATGGCACCATTCCCGTAAGTACTCAACATTGCGTGTTTAGCAGGAGTGTCTTGAGTTATTTCGTCTTCCCTCAATCTTACCCTTGCCGTGCCGATGGACGAACCACCAATATCCCCTTGCATGAGGATCTGCAGCGGCGGCAGTTTGACACCTCGGACGCCTGGGAATGAACTCCACAGCTTTGATCTCTCTCTGGCAGCAGTCTCTCCGTTGTGCTCAACGACGCTTTGAGTCTTGCGATGAGTGCTGACTATAATGCTTCTTCCGGGTAGATACATATTTTATCTTTATGGCAACCGCATTCGAAAGAAGAGCCGATTTGCTGCATGATCGGCGTCCAGCATAATTCCCTGGGTGTCGAGGGTGTTGGTACCGCCTGACGGGGCATAGCTTCGTCATCTAGCTTTGACCGATGAGACAGAATTCAAATCACCCTTTAGTCATGACCCCCGAACAAAGACAGTATCCTGCAGCTACTCTTAGCACTACCGTTGCCGGGCTTGCTTGAACTACCGATGGCGACCCCAGGCGATCTTAGCAAGTCTAGCTGTTATTTTCACGATCGCCACAAACCAATTAAGAGATACACATAGAGATTTCATTCCTTTTCCCTAGCGGACTAATGATGTACAGATAGACAGCGCCATTCAACGATACCTAGGAAAACTACACATTATAACATGACCAATTACAATCCAGAACCATGCAAGCATCCTACCCTTTTCTATTCTTTGTATCCCAAAAGAATCACATCATCTCTTTTAACCGAGGCATACCCCATGTCAACCTCGACTAGGAATCTGAAGCCTGGGAGCAGAAACCATGGTCATACCGGACGATTTCGGGCGACGCGGACTCAATCCAGCGGAAAGACTCGGGGAAATTGCAACAAATGGCTCACAGCCACACGCCAATCAGAAGCCGCATGGGCCTGCGAGGCACAACAGAGCCTGTTCTAGTAGGGATGTGATTGGTGCTCGGGTTGATCTCTGAGGCATTTTGTTTCCTTCGAGTCGGTTTTTCTGTTTTTCTTTTTCTTTTTCTTTTCTTTCTGTGTTCCTGGGAAGTAAGTCGGCAGATTACACGTGGGAGGATTTCGAAACTAAGCCACGGGAGTGGAGGATGTATACTAATTTGTACTGTGAATGACGGTAACCCGTATGGTGCTGCTGTAAGTTTACAGGGGAAGCTTCGATGACTCAAAGAATTGATTGGCTTGTGAGGAAGGAATCGTTGCTTCAATTGAGACTATTGTACTGTGTGTACGTAGTTCACGTTTTACTGCTTGCCAAGTTGGGGATCCTTCTCGTCCGTTTCAAGTGAATTGATAAGAAAGAAAACAGTGGGGATGCAGAAAAAGATGTCAAAGAAGAGAAATCGATAATCAGATATACTTCGAGTATTGATGATGTCTTCTTCCTGTCAATCACATGCGGCGGCAGCACATCTTCACATGGATGGCTCTCTTGCTGTCACAAAACCCTGGTTGATAAACAGCTCTGGTTTTGAGTCATACTTACAGCCTGGTTCCCTCGACAACAATGATTCAAAGACTTGACAGAACAACATCTACCTTGTATCTACATCTGCTTCTTATTCTTAAAGCGATCGAAAGGGATTGAATTTACCGCGGAAACATCGGTAATCAAGGTTAGTCTCCGGTGCGATGGACAATGACACGCGACACACTGTATTACGAGCCTGGTACGGTAACCGTACTGAAACCATCTATCCAGCATCCTAGACAGTAGACACCCTCGTGTCGTTCGCTCAGCTCGCTGCCTTTTTTTTACCTTTAGGATTTTCGCCAATCTTGAATTCCCTCATCTCTCTCTCCCTCTCTTTCCTCTTCCAAGGCTTGGTCGCACCATTTTCTTCTCTCTTTCTCAACCCTTTCCCCGCGTTTTATCCTTCTCCCTCTCCCCTCTTCAAATCTTTTACCCCTCCTGTTGCAATCTCCCCTCCCCCCGGGTTCGGTGCCTTATAACTCCTCCCCGATCGACTCTCGCCGCGCCTACCGGTACTCTTGGATTTTCCCCGCAGTCTCGACAAACTGAGCCCAGTCCTCGCTCTCCACTCGGCATACTATTACGAATTAACGATCCCCTCTCCCTCGAACCTCGCCCGCGTGATAGTGAAAAGATCGCTAGCAATCTAGTCTTACACGATCTTCGTCTGCCATACTGTCGCGCCAGAATCTCCTTTCCGATTCTTTTATCTTGAATGCAAATCGCCCCGTCGTCCGGTGTTCGGTCCCGCACGCAAGGCCCTTTCAGCTCTTTCTCCGCCCGTCCGTTTGCTCTCCCCTCCGTTTCTACGGTCGGTTCCGCTCTTCGTTCCGTTCGCATTTTACAACCTCATTGACTATATCTCGCGCGCCATTGATTTGATGCGCCTACACTACGATACAACTGCATACCTGCTCCTACCAGATTAATCGCCTGGAAGACCGCCCACGGAGTTGAACTCGAACAAGGGAAACATCGTTGGCGCTAAGGCTGGTGACACATCCTCGGCTACATCACCCGCATTCGAATCACTCAGGTGGCAAGACTGCTCTTCGAGACAAAATCGCACGTGCGCAACTCGGCTCTCACCCTACACCGACTTACCGAGTCACCGCTCTGTCGGGCTATTCATGCCGGAATGAACGTAGACGCCAAGGAGAAGAGCTCGCCTGCTCCGTCGGTAGAGCCCATTGGGTCCAATCACGACATCAGATCTGCCGATGAACACTCGGAAACCCCCAAGATGGAGGTTAACGGCGACGAGAAGGACAAAGGCATCGTGTCGCTTGGACAGAAGTCGGCCAATGCAAAGGATCCGTCGAGACCGCGGAGGAAAAAGGCTCGCAGGGCTTGTTTTGCTTGCCAGCGGGCGCATTTGACTTGCGGTATGACTGGCCTTGTCTTTAGCTTTCCTTACCCCCGCCCCCCCCTTTCCTTCTCTGCCATGGGCATGTTTCGTGCTTTTCTTCATATTTAGTCGTTCAAGCGCTTTACTGCGCGCCCTCTGGGCAACGAGTTGCGGCATTCCGGTCGTGCAGCCGGAGTATGGACGTGCAACTAATCGAGCTTTGCGCGCAGGTGATGAGAGACCGTGTCAGCGGTGTATCAAGCGTGGCCTGCAAGATGCATGTCAGGACGGGGTCCGGAAAAAGGCCAAGTACCTTCATGACGCACCCGATGGGGCGTTGATGCCTGGCATTGGTGGAAACTTTTACAACAATCCTATGCGTAACAATAGTCTGCCGCTGTCGAGGAACGGTGCAAACGCAGTCAATGCGACCGCTCCGCAGAATTCCGGTGCCAGCTTCTATCCAACTCCCCAGTCTACGTCATACAATGTCTACCAAGAGAACCCCATGAATCAAGCGTCGTTCACCTCGCAATCGCCCGTCTCGCCTTCGTTCAACCTCAAAGCCACCCCCACCGCTCGAAATAATAGCTTGCCAACCTCAGTAAATCAGCAGCCACCGGCCACGAATGCCTCGGGTCCGCCAACTCAGCCTCCCAATCCGTTCGCCGGTCCGTTCTTCGATCCCAGTGACCCCGCACTTTTCAATTTTGATCTTTCTAGCATGAACTTTGAGAACCGATACGGCGCGCTGGAGTTCGGCATGCTGGGACACATGGCGACAGGCGCTGGGGATTCACCGAGCGACTCAGCCACGCAGCGCGGGTCCATGGGCCGCAGTGGCTCTGCCCAGTTCGCTACGACTCCAATCACTGGAGGGCCTGGTTTCGGGGAAAGTCCCGGCAACCAGCAACCGTTCATGTTCGGTGACCCGCTCTTGAATGAATGGCCGAGCAGCCAGGCCCCAGGACAGGCGCATGTCAATGTCCCTAGCGTCTACCCCCAGTCAAGTCAGGGGAATGTGATACCTGGCCATCTGTCCAAGGCCGATGCGCCTCATGCGTTTGCGATTGAAAGCGGACCAGGCCATTTCAACAGCCCTGGCGCGACGACTAGTCCTCGGATGACGAGCGGCTTCGAAGATTCTCCGTTTAGCACTCCTATTGCTAGTAAAGCGAATGGGTTGGCTCCGAACAATCAACGACCCGCTATCACGACACCTAGTTTGAAGCACCAGAATCTGCATGTGGGTGTGCGCCGGCGACAACGGAATCCATCTTCGATCTACGAAAGTGTAAAGGAGCCTTACGCATATACCAGTCGCTTTCACAACCTTACTGCCTTCATCCAGCGGCGATTCAGTCCGCAGAAGACCCTACAGATTGCCAAGGCGCTGGCATCGATTCGGCCCTCGTTTATTGCGACTACCAAAACGTTGAACCGAGACGATCTAATCTTTATGGAGAAGTGCTTTCAGCGGACGCTGTGGGAATACGAGGACTTTATCAACGCGTGCGGTACACCTACGATCGTATGTCGTCGAACGGGCGAAATCGCGGCGGTGGGAAAAGAGTTCAGTATTCTGACTGGATGGAAGAAGGATGTGCTTCTCGGTAAGGAGCCGAATCTGAATGTGAACACTGGGGGCACCTCGGTCCCAAACTCGGGGGCTTCCTCCCGCAGTTTCACTCCGCGCGGATCGGCGGGCGAGAGCTCAACACCGGGGCGGCCGCACCCCGTGTTCCTGGCAGAGCTGCTGGATGACGATAGCGTGGTGCAGTTTTACGAAGATTTTGCCCGTTTGGCGTTTGGCGACTCTCGTGGTAGTGTGATGCGGACGTGCAAATTGCTAAAGTACAAGACGAAAGAGGACATGGAGCTGGCATCAGAGGACAACCAACGGTGGAACAGTCATCTGCGCAAGGGCGGAATCGCTAGCGAGGCGGGAATGAATCAATTGGGATTCAAGGATGGCAAGGTTGATTGCGCCTACTGCTGGACAGTGAAGCGCGACGTATTCGATATCCCGATGTTGATTGTGATGAATGTGAGTATACCTGCAACGCTTTCTGACAATGTATAAATGCTAATAGTACATTAGTTTCTCCCATGCATCTGATTGCGCATTATGGATGATTCCTCGCTCGGACCATGATGCGAAGGCGTGGACCCCATTCTGTTTATTGCTGCTTGATATTTCTTGTTTTCTTCAGTACCATACCCAGGCCGGATTGACACAAAAGTATACTTGATGAGCCTTTCTTTGTTTTCTTTATGTTCTGTTCGTGATGGCTGCATTTGGAGGCTGTCTGGTTAGGACCTTATCCCTTTTTGTATCGGTACATATTGATGCACCGCATGATTCCCATGGAGCTTGCTGTTGATTTCGTGTTACATGTGGGTTTCATGATAGAGTGGTGCATGGACGTGACCCATCATCCTATTCATCTGGAGTTTCTGGTTGGGCTTGTATTGTACATCCTTCAGTCACTTGCTGTACATGGATCGGGTCTCATTCGACCTGGAGCGATCTGGGAACGAGAGCAACCCAGGAGTGAGCGAGTGGGAGAGCGCGTGAGCGCGTATTATAATAGGAATATGTTGATAGCAGACAAAGCTTGTCACTGGACCCCTATCCAGCTGAGTGTCTTGCGGGATGATGGAATTTCAAGTTGCCATAGCTGGCCCGCGCTCTCCCCCCCACCCTCCTCTATGACTTATTCACTCTGTTGTACTATGATATAGCTAAGCGTCATGCGCTTTACATCCCCGTGATCAGAAGTAGCACCCTCGAGGGAACAATACACATGCGAGCCAGTTGAGCAGCGGCCAGGTGAAGATAGGGGAAGATCGAGTAGGTTACTTGCTATCAGTCGGACTGGCAGGAATTCAGCCGACAGCCCGGTGAATACTGACCTTGCATGATCATATTCATGAACTGTAGTCTCACTTTACTCCATGTCTTTTGTCTCTGCAGATAGCGATGGGTAGTTCATGGTATGATGCCATCGTGATGAAAAGGTACTTGAAGTAGGTTCATGTGACTGGACCTTATAGACTTCTGTGGTTTTTCTCAGGTCTGCACGACTCCTAGTCATAATGGACTAGACCGTCTAGAGACCGAAGTACAGAGTAGTCATGGCCCGGATTTGTCCACTCTTTCATGCACGCGCCACTCTCCGAGATCTATTAATCTGGCCATAAAACCGAAATACTACAAGTTTCAAAAGGGAAAAGCACATAAATTTTGTCACCGCAAGCCGGTAATCGCAGATTCGACATTTAAGCCAATAACTGTCTAATCCAAAGCATAGCAGATGTATGTGTACAACACGTTTTTTCTTGGTTTGCACTTCGCTCCAGGAACGATTCTGAGGGAACAAGGACAAGATGTCCATCTATAACCGGCCATGGATCTTGGAACGAAAACGCAATTTGTCATCCACCATATCTTTCATCAACATGTCATCTTTAAGCTAGATTTTCCCCGTCTTTTACCCGTACACCGAAAGAAGAACGGATTAGGAAAATACCGTCGGAAAGGAAAAGAAAACCGGACAAGATTGATGGCGATTAAGACCGCGCCTTAAAATGCCCCAGGAATAGAGACTTGAAACATGCTTTACAGCATGAGTCTCTCGACCTTGTCCTTGAGGGTACGGATCTGGCCCATCAGGTCACTGGCCTCGTTGGTGGTGATGCTAGCGGCAATGACGGGGCGGGAAACACCGCAGGCGCGGCCGAGAGCCAGCTTGCTGGGGACGAAGACGTAGACGCAGTTCTTGTCCTCGGCGAGAAGGGGGATGTGCATGACGATAGCGAGGGGGGAGGTATCGGCAGCGAGAATGACCAGTTCGGCGGTACCACGGTTAAGGGTCTTGGTGGCTGTGAGAAGGGAAATGGATTAGTCGAGAGGGGAAGGTGTGAGAGATTGGTTTTTTTGAAGGGGAGGGGAAGGGAAATGCTCACCCTCGTTGGCTCCCTTCTTGAGCTGGCGGTAGTGAGAGGCCTGTTGGACAAGGTCCAGGAGACTCTGGGTCAGGCTCTCGTCGGCCAGAGGCCAGGCTGTAGTGGAGGAAGAAAATGTCAGTCTATTGGTTTTTTTTTTTTTTTTATGGCCGAAAGATGATGGAAGGTTGGATAGAGTCTTACCAGCAGAGGTATCAGCCATGGTGATAAATGGGTGAGTTTATAGAAGGACGAAGGTGTCGAGAGTTGAGAGAAGCAGGCTCACGCAAAGGATCACTGCCGCGGTGCAGGTCGAGATGCTGGAGATAAAGGTGAAGGTGGTGATGGTTGGAGACTCAAGTTTTAGTAGAAGGTCCGGCTGCGAAAAGAAAATCCTTGGAGGCGGTCGCAGGGGTGGGGCGGGCTAGGTGGAAGGCAGTCCTAAACCCATTTGGGGCAGAATCCCAAAGTCTAGAACGGAAGGGGAAAATCTTGATGTCTGAGGAATCAGGCACTAAAGCCATGTCAGGCAATAGTTAGTTAAGTCACGGGTTTCACTTGCGCTAAGGGGCTTGTCATCTGCCGGGATGATCTACTAAAGGTATGGATATTATGCACTAGCTCTGCTAGCTGCTCGTTACGAGGTGTTGCAAACAGCCAGCACAATCGGTGCACAATTGGACATTGTCTCCCTCGAATTGACACCAATTTGAGCCTTGAGGTTTATATTAGGTCAATTTGCTAGAACTTGGCGCCTGCCATCCACGTCGATAGCACGACAGGGACTGGCTGGTCCCCAATTTAGCTCGTGAGCCGGTGTCTTGGATTGTAAATAAACAAACTATAGTTATTAGCTATGATTGCATCATGTCACCGCGACTAATGACTCCCAAGTGGATACTACACATTGAGGCGAAGCTGGCAAGAACATAAGCTACCGCACTAGTTGGCCAACCCTACGCAGGCCGTTCAGGGGAAGGCCCATACATGATCTTCCCCAGCCTGATCCACTGACGACGTATGATGCGACCGTTCGGTGATCACATGGACACAGATAGGGACTGAGCAATCCGGGGCCCCAGCTGCGCAAAGTCCGCCTGCTGAGCGTCCAAGGAGTCCATCTACCGAGTAAAACAGGACGATGACGTTGCACGCCGCATTCCATAGGTTTGCCGCAACAGCCGCAAGTGGCCGGCGATCGAAATGATTATATTGATAGCAGTGACTAACCGGCGCGACGGACTTGATCCCAGCCTGAAATAACCCATTCTGTACCACTCTTTCCGGACTTCAGCCGGAGTCTCATTCTACCCGCCGGCAACCCTTTCAGACCCATGAATGAATAAGAGCCATCAAACCCAGAGGAGCAAATAAAACGCCGAAAACCCCACGACCAACCCATGATAATACGCAACCAGATGCCGGCAAAGGGCATGCAGAGAAAGCGACAAAAAAGCAATCATCACGTCATTCTATACCATGCTGCTGTTTGAGACGTTCCAAATTCTCTTGCCTTTCCGCCAAGTCCTCTTTCGACCTAAGCATTTTTTCCGGCTGGTGGTATAAAACTGGGAGTCGAAGCAGACGAGTGTCAGCCAGTCTGTTCTCCAATAACGGATCCACCGCATAAAGAAAACATACCAACGAGATATCTGTTCTGGAAGTTGAATCCATTGAGCTTATCGCATGCCTGTTTGGCGTCGTGAACGTCTTCGTATACCACAAAGGCAGTGCCCTTGGAGTTGTTTGCGATTCCCTGACGTATTTGTCTAAACGGAGAGAGCGTTAGTTCGCTGATTCGACGGCAGTTGGACGACGGCGCGTGAATCACAGAGAGGCCTACCGGATAGGACCGAATTTGCCAAAGAGGTCGAAGAGTTGCTCCGCTGTTACGTTGTAGCTGGACAGAAACCACCTTGTTAGCCTCCAACTCTACTTCCAAACAGATGGTATAGCCCCTCGCTTGGGGTATGGGATAGATTGGCTATGCGACGATCGACTAGCGGGTTCGGTAGATTCCGATGGAGAGGGAGAGCATACTTGAGGTTCTTGACAAAGAGAATCCTAGGGTCTGTTAGTTAGGAGTTCGACAGAGCTCGACGATCTGCTCCAGAACATAGGCATCCCCAGTCCCCGGGCCCCATGAGCGCAGCGGAGACGATGGCGGATTACCGGAAGGGGAGGGGCAGAATTGTTCGAACAGAACCTACCGATTGGCTTCGGGGGCGAGCTTCCGGCTCATTCTCGGGCGGGACAGTAGAAGCTGTAGAGATGTCGTGAAAAAAAAGATTGAAGTCGAGTCAGATACCCAACGGGGGTCTGGAGAGAGGATATATGAGAAGGAGGAGAGGAGGAAGAGACAAGAGAGGAGCGAGAGAGAGGGAAGCAATATCCGCGACGAGCACGAGGTTCGGGAGACTGACTGCCTTGCCTAATCTGGGTTAGTGGCCTCGGGGGAGCCTCACTTTGATGGGAGTGAATGGAGCAAGAGATGAGGAGGAAACGGGCCAAGCAGAGGTTTATACAGCTTAAAATGAAGGGGAAGTATACTTGAACTCAGAATATGACTCTGTAGCCTTATATTGCAAGCTAATTGATTTGAGACGATGTGAAGATCATCCTTTGTTATGCATGAGGCTGGTGCCGCAAACGACTACCATTTAAGATATTTCTGCCTGAGGCATGTTGCAAGAAGCCAGCCGGGACTTACTCTGCCTCAGTAAGTTGCTCTCTAACGCGCGCCTCGTCCTCCTCCTCCTCCTCCTCCTCCTCCGTTCGGCGACGACCTCCTAGGCTCCTCCCCTCTCCTCTCCTCTCGGCTCATCGCCGCCCATCTTCCTCTTCCCAGACCCCTCCTCCCCTCCCCCACCGTCCATTCTCGAGGCGCATGTTTTCAATCGCTTGATCTCCTTTATTATCCTGTTTCTGGGCCTTCTGTTCCGCCATTTTTCATCTCCGCTCCGCACCCCACCGTGGTGCAGCCCTCCGTCTGCTTTCCTTGCGCGGTCTCTTGCTTCTCTCCCGCCCGTCGGCAGAGGCTCGCTCAACTTCCCCCCCTCAACCTCCGCCGTGCGACTCTCCTCCATCGACCTCCTCCCACCTCCTCCTACTTCCCCCCTCACACCTTTCCATTCGGGCTTGATATTTCATCTCATTATCCCTCGTGCGCGCTTCATTCTGCCAGGAATGACTTTCTCTTTGCCTGCGGTGGCCCGTCTCTAGCCCGTGTGGTCAAATATCCCCGCTTTGCACCCGTCTGCCGCAAGCACAGCTTGCCTCCTCCGGGGCGCTTTTCGCTCTTTTACCGCTCGATTTCCCATCTTCAGACCTCATTATGATTAGTGCAACTTCCTTTTCTACCCATCTTGGGACTCGTCCGCCGCGTTACCGCACTCCCTCACCTCCGCGACGCGCCGTCGAGCCGATTTCACCCTGCTCGACCTCCGACATCCGAGCCTCATGGATTGACCGCAGCATCTCCAGGGTGGCTTCCTCCGATCGCGATCAATACCTCCCGCATCATAGTGGCTATCATGCTGCAGACCAATCAGCTTCTCATCGACCGAGTCATGGCAGATCGAGTTCGACCATCGACGCTCTCGCGACTATCGCTTTAGCGACAAGTCCTACCTTCGCACCTCTCTCCTACCGACCTCCTTCTCAAAACTCCACACCCGCACTGTCGCTTTTCCCCTCTGAACATAATGAATCATCCGAACGTCCCGTCAAGCGACCGCGCTCAGAAAAACACCAATCGCCGTTTTCCCCACACCGGTCGCTGCCCGTGTCCGATGCAAATTCTTCTTCGCTGCTTGACAGCATGAAGACGGATGCAGAGCTTCTATTAAACCTTGCCCGACCTACCAACTTCCAGCCTGTCATTCAATCCGCAAAACGAGTTAGCATAGATGAAGCCGCTCATTACCACGGCGATGAAACACGGCGTTTCGACAGGGCTGGATCCGCCATGGGATCATGGGTCACTCACACCGAAAATTCCACCCACAATCCAGCGGGCAGCAGCACTCTGCCACCAGCCCGAATGAGGTCACAATCCGATGGATCAGCAGCCATTGCGCGACCTTCAATACAAGGCCTGCGACCTAACACCAGCTCATCAACTCTTCCTCCGATACTTTGGCAAGATGAAGAGGATGCCGAGGACGAACACTGGATCGCAACTAACAACCAGAACTTAGCTGTCATACAATCCAGTGTGCAGGGTGTAGATGTCATGCGCGGTAGTCATGCAGGACCGATGCAGGATTTACCTTCCAAGACGGAGGATGATACCGAATCGGACGTGTCTAGCCAGGCCAGCTGTGCCGCTTGCAATCTCGTCCGCATCCCAGTCGATACCGGCGAGCAGGGTGATGTGACCTGGATTAGTTGCGACGGCTGCAAGCGCTGGTTTCATATCGTCTGCGCTGGGTTCAAAAACGATAGAGAGGTACGGACTGTGGACAAATTCATCTGCCGCAGCTGTGGACCATTTCATGGACGGACAACATTCGTCCGCAAGTCCTCTCGAGCCCGTACCGCAATTGACTATGCCGGCCTCAATCAAGGGCTAGTCAAAGCCGCCACGGATTCATTGGCACACCATTACATTGAACCCATTCGCCAAGGCAAGATCCGTTTCCTCCCCGAGAACTTTCCCCGCATGCGCCCAGAGCTCATTACGGCTGAGTACTTCGAACGAGGCAGTGGCATGACGGAACCGATAGTCGTTCCCGCCAAGTGGAACTCCCGGGACTCGATCCCGACCCTAAGCGCGGACTTAGACGCACTGGCGCAAGAGGCACCCACGCAAGAGATGTTCGATGAACTTTTAGACCATCTCGATGTGGAAGAAGAGGCCTTCAGACAAGTGGTTGACTGCGGCCAGGATCAACTGGACATGGTGATACCTCAGGGCCTAACAGTTAGGCATGTGGCTGAGCTTTACGGACCAGATGAGAGGGTTGAGGTAATCGACGTCAAGTCACAGCAGGGAGAGGACAAGAGATGGACCATGCAAAAATGGGCTGACTACTACGAGAGCACTGGTGAGAAAGTAGTGCGAAATGTCATCAGCTTAGAAGTGTCTCAGAGTCCATTGGGCAGGCTAATCCGACGGCCAAAAGTGGTTCGTGATCTGGACTTGCAGGATTCAGTCTGGCCTCAAGAACTCCAAGCAGTGGGAGATTACCCGAAAGTTCAGTTCTACTGCTTGATGTCCGTGGCCGATTGTTATACTGACTTCCACATCGATTTCGGCGGATCATCAGTCTATTACCATATCTTGAAAGGCAAAAAGACCTTCTTCTTCATCCCGCCTACGGACAAGCATTTGAAGAAATATGAGGAGTGGTGCAACTCGCCCGCACAGGATACCACCTTTCTTGGTGACCAAACTAAGGAATGCTACCGCGTGGACCTTGCCGAAGGTGATACGATGTTGATTCCTTCTGGTTGGATTCACGCGGTGTGGACTCCGGAGAACAGTCTGGTCATTGGTGGCAACTTCTTGACAAGACTGAACTATGGGATGCAGATCAAGATTGCAAACATCGAGAAAGACACGAAGGTTCCAAGGAAGTTTCGTTATCCTTTCTTCCAGAAAATCCAGTGGTACACCGCGTTGAAGTACCTCGAGGAAGATCCGGTCCCCCAGGGCGTTCTCGACGCATTTGGACAGGATGAAAATTATCGATTCCATCGGGAATATCCCATTTACTATGAGTTTGGAGAGCGGGCGAATACTGCACCATCTGGCTCTCCTTATCACAATTCACGCTTCTATTCGCAAGCGGAATTGGAGGGCTTGCCAGACCTTGCGAAGTACCTTCTGCGTACGGCCTTAATCGCTGGATCCTACATTGTGGAAGGGGTGACGACGGATGCTAGGAATGCAGTCAAACGATCAATACCGAGGATACCAGGCGAGCCAGTCGACATTGTTAAGCAGTTTGCAATCTGGGTTGCCTGGAAGCGCGGAAACGAGAAAGCACCTCAATGGACTCGCCCTGGCGTGATTGAAAGCAACCCGAAACTCGGTCTCACCGAGAAAAAGCCAGCTGGGAGACCTAGTCGTCGCTCAGAGCGCAACGTGGACAATCAGCGCACTTATGCAGAGAGGCAGGCTGTGCAGCGACTTCCAGAGCTACCCCAAGATTCGTCGAATTATTCTAGCAGCAAGAATATTTCTAGAGTGCCTTCGACGACTGCGGAGACTCTTATGCCCGCCGTCTTCACAAGCGCCAACGCCGGTGTCAAAGAGGAGCCTGTGTCTAAGCCTCGAACAGCACCTCGAGGCTCAGGGTTGGGTCCTAAGCGGGTTGCATGTGATGCTTGTCGCAAACGCAGAATTCGCTGCCATCACAAAGACGAGCAGAGTGATGGCTTTACATCGAAACAGACGGCTATTGGTCCTTATGGTACCGGGGCCCATTCGCCGGCGCATGACGCGGCGTCTGCTCTGAATTCCTTGGCAGCCATTGCTTCAGAAGCGGGCCTTCAGGACAATGGCGTAAGTAGGAACTTAGACCGGTTTGATGCCTCTATGATCACTGTGGCCACCCCGCATGCACCGACCACTGGACTTAACGAATTTAGTCCCGACGGGCCACATACCGGAAAGAAAGGCCGAAGCAAGGCTTGTGATGACTGCCGAAAGAGCAAGGTTTGTCTAGCCAGCTTGCATCTTATAGCGCGCATTTGCTAACTGACCACAGCGCCGGTGCATTCATGATGAGTATGGGAGAATTGATCCCATCAAAGCTCAGGAAAGAGCGAAACCACGTGCCGCGGCCTCTGCGAAACGTGCTCGTCCCAATGAAGAAGGAATCGGCTCCGCTGTTAGTAAACGAATGAAGCACGAAAGCACTTCTCCTATCGCTAGGCCGCTCCATTTCGGCAGCAGAGACAACTGTATGCTGGAAACACAGGATCAACCTGGCCATACTCTTAAAGATCTGGACCTCAATGGCCCATATAATGATGCCTCCCATGATGCTCAAGACTCTCCGCAACAAGCAGCGGCGGACAAAGAAGCTCAGCTCGGGCAGACCTCATACGCATCCCCCCCGACGTTCCAGTCAGATACCGTGGTGACGAGCGAGGTCAACTCCGCTCTCGCTTCCAAACCAACAGCTACTCTTGTTTCGCCACCGACCTCGTTGGCAGATGAAACTGACGTACCCAATGATTATGCAGATGGCGAAGGAGAACATGTTGTAATCTTGCATACGCCCACTTCTAGCTCGCGACATTCTTCCCGCCAACCTCGCCAGGTCGACCGGTATGTTCCCGAAATTCATGCTATCAAGGCGAATAAGTCGACGATGCACACGCCCGGTGCACGTCGATCATCATTCGGTGCGTCGAGTACCGGTGTACGCAGATCAACTCCTGGCCCACCTTTGGGGATCAAGAAATCAGCATCGCGACCCTCGTCTTCACACAATGCAAAGAAGAGTTTCTGGTCGACGGATGAGAAGAAAGGCGAGCGTGCTGCTACGGCCTCCATCTCTCCGGGGCAAATGAACAAGCCGACAAAGCGCGCGGCTGACGACGAGCCGGACGCCGAGAGTCTTCGTCTAATCCGCGAACTTCAGGAAGCCGAATTCGGTTTACGGAAGCGATCTACAAGAGCGTGAATCGGGCTACGCTTCAGGCCGATCCGCTCAGTGGAAACCGATTTCCTTTTTTTCCTTTTTTTTTTCTTTTTTTTTCTCAGTCTTATCTAGATTGCCTTCATCGGGCAACCGGCTAGTCCGAGTCAAGGTGCCTCAAACCAGTCGGTTCGGCTATTTTCTAGGATGCGGAGTTTGAGAGTTTGTGGGAGTCTGGCGGACATGGTATCGCTTAAGTTTCTCTTCATTCTTTGATCAGGATCATGGTTTGTGATTTCATTTGGCGTCTTGTTGCTTGGTTGGGTGTTTTGCAGCTTTTCCATAACCCCATCTGTCTTACATCGTTCGAGAACCCTTTCAGCCTCTGATTTCTTTGTTGTGTTTGTATATCCGGCGTTGTTATTACACGGTTGGGCTGTTCTGATACAGCCGGTTGATTGTCTAGATGATGTTCTTTCTAGTCAAGCCGTTCCTTCTGTTTCCTCTTCATATCCGACACATGGTCAACGTTCAATTCCATCTTCACAATGTGATTTGTCCTCAGGATCTGGGGCACTTTGCAGCTTACTTGCTACCACAACATATTCTTCTTTTTTCTTTTCTTTCCAGCGCTGCTTCACTCTTACTTTTTAATCAGAAACACCCCCTAGAATCTATTCCCCTCGTTTGTCGGACGAAATAATAGGGTGTGGTTGGGTTTGCATTCAGTCTTCGCAACCTTGACTATCTCTCGTCTTGCTTTTGTTACTACTTCTTTCCTTGTTGCTTCCATGGAATTCCCCCTATTCGTCGATTGCCCTTGCAATTTGCCATAAAATATTCTGTAGCGAGTAATATCACAAACAAAGTTTCTATTCCATTTGATGTGGTTACAGAGGCAGATAGGTGTACTGTACAGTGAACAAGGTGGTTCTCCTTCGCCCCGGTTTCGTTCGGGTCCCTCTGGCTCCCGACCTGACATTGTTCTATTTCTTTACCCCTAACCGTCATTAACTTGTCTCTCTCTTTTTCCTTTTATGTCGTCGTCAGAGCGTTGTTATAAGAGATGAGCCTTCCCCCCATCCGACAGTGAGGCAACAACTAACTCCCTGATGGACTAATATGCGAAGCCGCGACTCCTCCATCTGGGAGCTACCACGCTGCCCTGGGCCATATCTAAACTAAGCTTCTACAGAACTTTACTTTCTATCTACCCCGCTGGGAAAAACGTGCGTTTGCTACCTCCCTACTTTTACAAACGTTAGTTCATTGATTGTTTTTCAATTGAAGTCAGAGGCGGCATAAGAAATAACTCAGATTATACAGCAATCGATAGGTAGCACGGCCAGCTGGGGAGAAGCTCATTTGTGCGCCGTATTTGGCACTGTAAGGCTATTCTTGATCGCCGCGAAAATAACCTTTGTTCTAAGCAAGAACAAAACGGAGCCCGGATCTGGTGAAAGTGTATTATTTAGTATTTAGTGGTAAGTGACTAACCGGTCGAATTTGGAAAGACAGAGAGTCGACACAGACACGCTCATAGGTTCACTGACATGATGCTTGGATTTGATAAAGACAACTCTACTCTGGTTTATTGAAAAATTGGACCTCAGAGTCAAGCCAGCGATGTTACTTGATTAAAATCAAGATGCTTCTATTCATCGGCACATCATCCACTAACACATAATATATACCCGATGACAGCAAGATAGAATATAATGACATAGAAAGGCCGTGACTTCATCGCTCAGTCCCCAGCCAGGATGAAGGTAGAGTTGCAAATGATGATTGTAGATGGGTAAATAAGTAATGACTCCTTGATCTTCATGTCTCTCATCGTCTCGTGGTTCGTTGGTTTCCAGTCCAGACCTGAACAGAACGCCAGTCATCAATGCAATCATGTGAAGAAAAAATAAATGCAAGGGTATATAATCCCACCAGAGATAGCAGGTAAGAATAAGCATGGGAACAAAGAAAAAGAGATAGATACTGGCACCCGAGACCAGCCTTTAGTTACGTCGATGCTCAGCCGGGTTTTCGGGGTCCGCAGTTGCCCAGCGACGGGGACGGGCATGTTCCCCAATGTAATTCTTGATCACACAGGGACTGTCATCGGCTTGCTGGCAGACTTTGTGCCGGTTAAGGTGCTTGAAGCGTGGACCTAGAGGCCCGTTTACATAGTGATACTGACCCGCAAATCGATATTGACGCTCATCACCTAGCGGGTAGAACTTGTCGCCCCAGTGCCCGTTAAAATAGAACCACTCAATCGGTGCCGAGGGGCTGACAGTGGAAGCCCGGAGAGTGTCGCTGGGAAAGTCATACGTATAAGTGTGCACGTTCAGGAGCGGATCCCACAAGGGACCACGATCGGTTTGGTCGTGTAGCAAGCCCCAAGGAAGAATATAGGCGTGCACGCCGGGAGTGGCATACATGGCATGGGTGCCAAGGGCGGAGTAGATAACCGGCTATCTCACGGTTAGTGGGGGTTATACTAGCGATCTGGGGCCGGATGGAGCAGTGGGGATTAATAATCACTCACCCGCTGGCCGATCTTCTCGACGGCTTCGTAGCTGTATGCTTCTCCCGCTGAGTGTGCGCTGAAAAAGAGAGCCTTTGGCCGGCCGTTGTGAAAACGCACAAGACAGTGTTCCCAATCTCCGACATGGTTGCCAAACCGCACGTTCAACACCACGTTGCCAAGATTAAAGCTGTAAAAAAAGAACCAGAAAGCATCCACAATGCCATTGCCTTTGTCCATCACCAGCAGAATGGCTGGCGCATTGCTGCGCCCACCCGTAGTTTCAACATGGATAGGCTCGCCGCCGAATCGTTTGCGCAGCTCATCCCGCAGACTCTCATCTTTTTGTAGATCTTCTGGACGAAGATAGCCAAGCTTCTCAGGCGACCACTCAGTTCTGTCGTCGCCTTCACTCACCTTCTCTCCTTCCGGTAAAGAATGAGCTGAGTCGTACCACCGAGCTCGGTCATCAGGCGTGTCATTCGGGATGGGCCCATCGACCCGACCATCCCAGTCAGGCCATGACGGTTCCAGATCACTATCAGGTTCATCCGGAATATTCTTATCGCCTTCCATCCACGAGGGTCGATGCTCGACATTGTCGTTGCTGGTGAGAAACACATTGTGCCCGTCCTGCCACTGATTCAATTGGTCGAGGTCATGTAGTGTGGGATGATCCAAATACGATTGAACAGGCGTGTAATTGAGCATAGGGGTGATATGATACAAGTGCTCGGCAATATCGCCGGGCCAAAATTGCTCATCGGAGAACAGATGAACGAGCGGCGCATATTGGAAAACGTAGCCTGGAATTTTGCGGCGGGAGCGTTCGGCCTCATCCCAGGCGGCTTCGGGATGCGCGGAATCATTAAATTGGGCGGCGCGCCAGGCGGAGAAACCCTCGTCCTCGGACCCTTGGCCGGCCGCCGCGATGGCCTTGTGGTGGCCGAAGCGGGGGCGCACCAGGCGAAAGTGGGCGGTCCCACATAAGCCGAACCACCGGCAAGCTTTCCGGTCTAACCAGGACGAAGATGACGAAATCCAGCGATGCTCGTCCTGATCCTCCTCGTACCAAATGAAGGCCGACGGATGAACAGCGCGAGCGACACTGTTGATCACGACGTAGGCTATCAAGGAGGATAGAGTCAAAATCGCTGCAGTCGTTGCGCGCACCATCTGTTGACCGACACTCGCGGGGGCGGCTAAATCGGCGGGTCGCGAATGCGATTGGGCTGGTAAGGCTAGCAACCCGACTTCGTCTGGATCGCGAATCTGATGCTCGAGGTCTCGGTTGGCAGTTGCCGGAGAAGGATGCGTGACCACTTGCCCGTTTAGGAGAGCAGTAGGCGTAATTGAGGATGAATCAGACACAGCGATCACGGTAGTCCCGTCAAGAGCATTGGTAGGTGACGAAGCAGCATGCGTGCCGAGCGGGGAGCAGGCACAGAGCAGCGATGAGGAGAATAGCAGTAGGCAGAGGAGGATAAAGGACGAAGAGCAGAAACCAGACCGAGCAACTAGGCCCGGAACTGAGTGCCAGGGCAGCAGGGGAGACACTATAAGAAGCCGAGAGAAACACGGTCATGATCCGTCAGCCGGACCAGGTCCGTAGGTCGAGAACAGCGATTGAGGAATGGAGTCAGGGTTCTTCGCTGGCCATGGAGCTGGCCGGGTAGGGCAGAGCCAGGGCGGCGCATCCGGGGACATCCGGATATGAAGAGGATCGCCATGGAATGGGTTGGCTTAGGGCTGAGAGCAACAGGGCATCGGGACGAACGGAAGGTGGGAAGACGAACAAATGATTAGATCATAAAGGAGGGGGAGAAGAGGAAAAACGGGGGGAAAGGGGAGACGGACGGATGCAGGTGGGGAGGAATGCCCGTTCCGCGGTGAGCCGGTGGAGTGAACGGAGAGATAGAAAAGAACATTGTAGACGGATGAAGAGGGATGAATCACTTACTGCTACTGCTACTATCCCAACGATGACGATGAAAAAACATGATGATCAACAATGATACCAGTCGAGCGGAAGGATAGCTCGACTGGAGACACAGAGAGCGGGAAAGTTGAAAGAGTGGGGATGGACCGATGGAGAGAGAGAAGAAACAAAAACAAGCCGAGTCAGAAGGAATGATGCAATGCAGTAGTCATTCGTCAATAAGGCTGAATTCAGCTGGACTAGGAAAAGCCACTAGTCTGAACTATCTAAGGTCAATCGAATTATGCGAAGAATGACAAGTGGGATGAACGGGGATGAAGGTGTAGTTCAAAGAAGAGGACTTGGGAAGATGAGTTGATGAGAGGCTCTTCTTTGGTTGAAGTTGATGGATTACTAGGATTTGATGACTACTACTTCTTTACCCCCAAACAGGCAGGTACGCGAATTGGCCAATCCCGTCTTCACCGCCTTGATATCGCTTTCCATTGATTGTCCCCGGTTTTGTATGTACTGTACTTTTCTTTCTCTCTCACAGCTCTCTAGTCTCTATAGTCTAGAGCAGCACACACCATGTCAATGTCACTCCCTCCCCCCATCCCGGTCGATCCGGCCATGCTAGTGGATCAGCCCCATCCTGATTCCGACATTGACTCGGACTATGAATACGAATATCATCCCACCGAGACTGAGGTCCGCCTTGGCGTCCCTTCCTACCTTGTTTTTTTTCTTTTTCTCCCCTTGTCTCTCTTTTATCCTGCATCTGACATCCAGGGTCTAGACTGTTTACCTCACTCTCGACCTCTCTTCCCTTCACGGCCCACTTCGACCTCCTCGCCGCCGACAACCGTCCACGAATCCCACGACAGCTACAAACACCCCCGATGAGCCCGCTGCCGCTCTCTCCAGCACCGAATTCACCCATGCCGACTCCCCAGCCGATGGCCTACAAATCCTCGCCCTCCACACCTCAAATCCCATTATCTCGTATCAGAACCAAATCTTCAGCGGTACGTGGGCAGACCAATTGGGTACAGACCTCATCTTCGCCAGGCCGGACGAAGAGAGGAAGGAGGAAGAGGAGATCGCGCCCCACGACCCCAATGGGCCCGGCAGTATCGATCCATTGGTAATCCCTCTTCGTCATGGGCACAACTACGACCTTCTCGCCGCCCCCAGCATCAAGATCATAGGTCGCAAAGCCACTCTCATCTCCTCGACTCAACCTTCAGCAGCAGCGATAGTAGCGACAGGAGGCGAAGGAAGCCCAAATGCAAGCTCCGCTCAAGCGGAAGATACACCCGCGGACTCCACGCCCACCGCACCAACAACCGGGATTATCCGCGCCCCCAATCTCCCATCGAGCAATCAAGCCCGATTTCTCGAACGTCTGGCCAGTCTCAAGCGAAGCAAAGGAGAAACTGACTCAGTGCGAACGGTCTTCAGCATGAAACGGATCCAGTCGGACCATGCATCGTCGCTGGGCGGGCGGGCTTCCGGCTGGGCGCGCACCGATGAACAGCTGGTGGAAATCCAGCGATTGAATGAACTGGCGCTGCAGGGCGATTCGAGTGCCATGGCGGAGCTGGAGGCGCTCTACGCCCGCCTTGGGGAGGACGTTGAGGGGGAGGTGGAAAGTGACGGTGAGGATGATGATGACGATGATATCGAGATGGGCGGTGTGGAGGGCGAGCGTGAGATTGCGGGCGAGGGTGCCACGCGGGATCCAAGTCAAGACCAGTATCTTGATCCGGAGGAGTTACTTTCGCAGGCTCGACGGGAATCGCAACAGGCGCAGCCGTGATACCCGATCACAAAAACCAAGACCACAGGTTGAAAAGGTTGATCCTCATCGATCGGTCACGTGAAGTATCCATGACCCCGAGGCACTCAACCGAGGTCCATCTCTCAGGCATGATTTCACTTCAGACTTAAAAAAGGGGAAACAAGCTTTCATAGTCACGAGCGCTATTCCCACGGACTGTTCGCGGTTCCCCGCCCTTCCGAGGCTTGACAGCGTCGCTTGAACAGGGAAGACGAGGATGGCGGTGAGAAACTCTAGCCACAGTAACGGTGTCCGGAATGAGTCCTTCCCTTGTCTACATGCATGCTATCTTACTAGCCGGCTAGCTAGTCAGAGACCTGCATTCATATACGACTACCACAGCGTAACGGGGTACAATCACGAAAGCGATTTACCGAGGCCCCCTTTCCATTCGTGGACAAAGATGATATGGCGTCATACGGGTCTCGGCTGCAGGTACATCGAGTGTATATGTGCCACCCTGCATGTGACCGAGTCCGGGTCGGGTATCTGCAAGCGCTCCCACTGGAGTCAACCCTGATGATTGGATGTCATGCACGTTTGCTTGAGAGCATACTGATCGTTGACCAAGAAAGCGATGGTTGCATAACAATGACGGGGAGTGATTTCATTCTATCATATACTTAGTACTTATAATGACTTGTATCTGTTCCTTCAGAGAAACATATCGAGTAGTGATCTATCTTCTGGGACGAGCTAGCCCGTTGTGGATTATGCACAGCATGCGATAACCTATCATCGTTCTTCGATCTTTTGAATGAATATGATTAGTATCCAAAGCTATCACAACCTATCTGATGCCAGGTCCCATAATATACAAAGGCACATATCCCAATGAAAACCCCCAACACACCATCTAGAATCGCAATTCCGAAACCCCGGTGTGTGTAAATTTAAACCCCACTAAAGACCTCCAAAGCAGAAGCAAAGAAGTAAGTTTTGACCCACCAACACCGGAAACCAACGCAAAACCCAATGTAGAGAATGACAAGAAAGACCGTGTAGTTGGAACGCAGATCCGATCGCGACCCAATTCGGCTGGTATATAGAATCAACGGACCGCCCGGCAAGACCGTGGTTGAATGTGGTCTGTTCTGAATGCGAAGAGAGAAATCACCGACCCCAGAGCGCTCGCGTCTCGACCGGAGACGGAGGGGGTGGGGGAGGTGGCATGGGTACCTCCAGCAACCCGGTACTCGTCGTCGGTGCTGTGGCTGCGGCGCCCGTGGTTCGGGCTGCGGACTCCACGGCGATGGACTTGGGAATGTGGTTTGCGGCTGAGAGGATTGCGGCGGAGATGTCCTGAGGGAAAGTGGACGAACAGGAGGGGGTGATGAGAGTGGGCCGAATACGTTGAGGAGATGTGTTGGTCATTTTGCTTGGTTAATGCTCTTCTCTGATGATGTTGTTGTTGTACGTAGTAGATAAAGGGTTGGAGTGGGTTGTCTGATATTTGTTCTGAATGGAGGTAGGATCCGGTGTGAGAATGGCAATGAATCGGTGGATAAGTGGCACTGCAGGTAGAAAACGCATTAGCATGTGTTCATACAGAGACGTGGCCCAGAGGTGATATAAATAAGTAATATAACAACGTAGTCGGCACATGGCAATTCATCCTAGCCATTCGGCAGACGAGGACCCGTAGGGCCGAGAGGGAAGCTCCGGTAGTATAGATGCTGGAGCTCCGAGATTCGCCGAGGCAAGAAGGAATTCCTTCCTACCTATTTCTCGTAGCCGGCAAGGACAGTCATATACATAGAAGTACCTAAATCAAACTGCTTACCTTTTTCGTTAGACCAGAAGTTGGATCACTGCAGTGTTCAGGAAAGTGTAGGAGCTAGCTCCAAAGACGGGGTAAGAGGACAGGGAGGCGCTTTTAAATCCGTGTTGACAAGGAACAATGACTGATGAGAGACCAGGAGCTGAAGAGAATCCGGGGCAAACAAGCCACTCGAAGCCAGCACAAAGTACAGTCAACGGGGTACAAGGAAGCACAACTAACAATCCTTGGAGTAGTAGTTGCAAGGGTGTCTGTTGGGAAAGGGAGTTGTGTGTTTAAAAAACGACAGATAGAATTCCAATCGAATTAGTGGAGCTCTACACGGGCAGTGGACTGTCCCATCCTTTGTACTATTTATTCCTTCTATTCGAGGCGAGGAGCTCACTCACTCACTCACTCACTCACTCGAGTGACTCGAGTCCCAACTAGGTTCAAGGCTGGGGACGCCTCACCCAGCGACTCGGTCCAAAGGGTGGGCGAGTCCTGCATGCTTGCCACGACGACGGGACGGCGACCAGGGCGGAACTTCCGGGGAAAAGCTGAGCTTCTTCCGGGGGTGAGAAAAAGAAATCTTAAAAATAAATTAGAGAGTCAACAATTGAAGGGAAAAAACGGGTCGCCAAGGGATAAAGACAGCCCGATGGGGTAAGGATTCAGCCAGGGCGGATGGAGAAACGTACGTGTGCATTTTGTGGGGAAAGCGAGACAAGGGCACTGAATCGAGTAGTTGATACTGGAGATGCCCAAGTAGACATCACGAATGCAAGTTGATAGATGGGGTAGGTATGCCTGTACTTTGGAATTGAGCATAGCCTGCCTGTGAGCGACTAAGTCAATAGTGAATGCTGAGCTGGATGGCATGTTGAATAGAGCCTGAGTGTGAGTATGTCAGTGTCCATGATTAGTGAGTGATATGTATGATGTGTTCCATTCCCCATCCTTCTAGAAGATAAAGAAGACGCCACGGCAGCAGTAATAGGAAGTAACATTCAACCAGTGGCAAAACACTGCGGTTTCACCTTCTGTTGCAGTATTATAATATTTCCCCTGAAATTATTGCTCTGCTCTCAAGGAGCCATGGAAACGAACTATCACGCCACCGAAGCTGATTCCTCCACCCTGCTCCCCCTTTCTTCGACTTCTGATTGATATTGTAGTATACTGTAGGGCAAGTACAGTACTACATACCCCAGACACTGACTGAGGCTGCATTGTCCCTTTCAAGTAACCCAGAACCACTCATTCCGGAATCCCCAACAGGGGAATTCCCCTTCCCTTCCCTCCCCAGTGCAATTTACCTTTTACAAGTACAGCGAAGAAAGCTTTCGAAACCAGACCTGCTTTTCCTCTCCATCCCCCACATTCCTACCACCCATCATTCTGGGGAAAAAAAGAAACAGAGAGAGAAGGGGAAGCAATCAGAGCATCCCATGCAGTGCAACTGTGCAACTCTCCCCCCGCCCACCAATTCCCCATCAATTTCCCATGATCGACAGCTTAATCTGGACTATGTGTCCTCCGTCCGTACTTTGACTTTGGACTATCCACCACCAACAACACAAGTACAGTAGTCTACAAGCACAAGCACCAGCCAGCACATGCTTCAACTCGTCAGACTGCTTCCCTCTTCGCCTCTCTCTCAAAAGCACACCTTCGAAGACCACTTCCGTCTGCATGGAGATCTTGATTCAATCATCCTATTGATGTCACTCATCAACTCTATTGGCCCCCCTCTCCCTCCTTCTTCAACCATTACCCTTCAACAACTCCATTCTCTCGCGCCAGCAGAGTACTGTGCACTACGCAGTACATACATCTATAAATTTGTACCCACTGATGTCATATCACAGCATTGCAAGGGGAAAGAAGGGTCAAGCAGATCCATCCGCCTTTGTTGTCCCACTGCATCCGCGATCCTTCCTCCATGCCGCTCCCCATCCTCCCCATCGTCCCCAGACAGTCTAACACCAACGAAACAAAAATAAGCCCTGCACAGGGCACAACGGGGAGGAGGAAAGGGGTGGTTCTAGACTAGATCCTACACACTTTATTACCAGAACCGGTAGCCCGAAGAGGTGGGATCGCAGAGGGAAAAGAAAAGTCATATACAGCACACATATTGTGGAAGAAGCTCCCCGTCTCCATCCCCACTGCTAGTACCAGGCAAAAGACATTGTCAACAAGAGATCTTCAGTAGGGGCTAGGGGCAAAATTAGCTCATAGGTCCCAATCTCCTTTCTTTTTCTCTTTTGTATTTGACATGTATGGGTTTCCCCCTTATCGTCGATTCTCTAAGGGGGATGATTCCGACCAGATCCCAACCAGTAGCATTTCGACTAGAAGGCTCTGATTAGAAGTGACACACAACCATCTCGAACGATTTTTGTGGAATGAAACATACGCGCGGCTTTCTTTGCTTCTCTGTATGTAGACCTGTGAATGTATCTCATTCCACTACTCTATCCCCTTGGCCGCCACGGGGAGGGGGGCTGAGTCTATACAATTTCCATCCCATCGCTTTATCCCTTTGTGCAACATGCGACATGAGGCCGGCTATTGTTGGCGTATACACAGGAAAGTAGAAAGAAACACAACTCGAAGTGAGAAAAATCTCGGGCCCGAGATTCATGATAACAAGCAGATGAGCACACTCACCACACACCATCCTCCAGCACCGAACGCCTCGCGAAACCGAATCAGCCAGCCAGCCAACCAACCAATTAAACCAACGTAACTAACCCCAAGGTATTAAGTAGTTCAACATGGGGGACGAAGAGAAAAGAAATAACGACAACGACATAAATATATAGCAAGAGTTACTCTTCAAACTTTCTCTTGACCCCATTGTGACCATTCGGAGGTCCGCCACCGCCAGGACCTTGTCGGTGTCGTTTCCGAGCCTCCTCCTCCTGCGCCGCCTGGCGCTTCTTCCATGCTGTCTTGATAGCAGGGGCCATGCGGATGAGATCCTCCTCCGTAACGCGATCCTGGATACTTTCGAGCACCTTCTCGACCGTCGAGATATGGTTCGCGTCCGTCTTATCGTCCCGCAACCGATAGAACCGCCATCGGCCCTGCTCATCCTTCGCGCATTCCACAATCGTATCATCCAGCGGCTGGCCGAGGGCCTTCATCTGTTCCCATTCATCCGGCGTGACGAACATCTCGCCGAAGGGCTGATACTCATTTGCGCGCAGCATCACAAACAGGTGGAAAATCGGCATTGCCTCGTAGTCCGTGTAGGGATCCGTGATGCCCTCGGCCTCGTCGTCGGTGTCCGGCTCCAGCACGGGGAACTCCAGCCTCATGCGGAAATCAATCGTGTTCTCTGCTGGTGGCTTCCACTTCAGGATGTGCTCGTCCGTTCCGATCTTGTAGGGCGTGCTCCGACACGTGAAAATCAGGCCGTCGTTGCCGTGTATCTTCTTCACCTTAGGGATAATCTCGCGGAACATCATCTCGATCCCGTAGCTGAACTGCGTCGACTTGTCCTCAACCGTAAACGTCCGGTGCGGGATCTCCTCGGGGAATTTGCGGTACATGGCATTGTACGGCCGCAGCACCTTCTCCTTGAAGTAAGCCAGCCTCTTGTCGAGCGTGCGGTGCATTAGCGACTGCCCATCCAGCACCAGGCAGTCGAACACCAGATATTTGAGCTGCTGTGTCCCGTCCTCGTAGGTGTCGTTCACGAGCTCCCCGTCCACGATCGTATCCACGTGAAATTGCCGGAACGATTCGTCGCCCGGCAGCGGGAAGTGCAACCCGGGCACCCACCGGTAGTCGTTTTTGCGGTCGATCAGGTAGTGCACTTCTGGTGTTTCCGAGTCCGGTTCCCCCCGCGCGAAGTACATGAGACATCGGATTCCGTCCGTCTTCTCGCATACGTAGTAGTCCTCCCGCTGGAGTTCGGTGAGATGGCGTGTCGCGAAACTGACCGGCTGCGCTCCCGGGAAGTTCAAGTTGTTGCGCCCCAAGAGATCGGCGACCTCGCGCCGAAGTACATCCGCCAGCTCCGGCTCGGCCTTCATACCGACAGCGTCGAGGTCGGGGACGGAGTTGCCCATCTTGCAGCTGCGGGAAATAAGGGCGAGATGGTGGGTGGGTGGAAAGGGGAGGCGGGATCGGAATTCAACCGGGTGAGGTGAACTGGACAATGGACGGATCGGAGGTGCCGGAGACGGCAAACGAGGGAATCCTAGGATTGTCTGTAGAGCGTGTTGAATTATCTCGAATTGAAAAGGAGTGAGGTCGGACCGAGGTCTCGCCTTCGAAGCCGCTCGGAGCTTTGCGCGGAGTTGAAAGAAATGAGTGTGAAGTGAAGGGACAGGCGCATTGAGCTTAATCGGGAGTGGATTGGCTTTTCCAAGTTGTCGCCTTTCGGCGGAGATCGTGGCGGTGGCCTGAGGCATGAACTGCCGTGAGGAAGTAGAAGTGATCCACTAGGTACTGCCTACAAGCAACACGGCTTGAGGGACAACAAAAACTGAAGTGCAAATATGACTTTAGATAGCAGAATTTATCCTGATTTGGGAGCAAAGTATCAGTAGAGTACGCCATGATGGCCATATGTTTAGTTCAATTCCAGTCACTATTAAATCACAAACGAACCCATCTTAGACACACTATTCCAACTGAATCAACAATGCATGCATCATATCACACTCAACACGGGGGGTATCATATCATCACAGAACCAACAAGAGCCTTGAGTAGAAGAACCGTCCATAAACGCCGCCAACCATTCGTCCATCCAACTGCTGTCCGGTTTCCCAAGACCAACGGCAGCAGCCTCATCAACATGAAAGCACAGAAATTAGAAACTATCACACATTCACTTGCTCGAAAAGAGGTTCTATGAGCTCGCCGCCACAGAAAGCTTCTTAGACGCAGGCGCGGCTGGAGTTTTCGCATCGGCGTCTGTTGCATGATCCGGCACGGTTGCGGAGACCGGTAAATTCATACCGACATCGTCCACAGGGGTGAAGAGATTGCCATCCGAAAATAAGGATGGCGTGGAGGAGGTGTTGTCGCCTGTCGAGAAGAGGCCACCGCCGCGAGAGCCTCCCAAAGCATGGGACAGCATCTCCTTGATGCGCACATACTGATACTTCTTCTTGGTTGAGATCAACGTGTGAGTGACGAGGGGCTGTGGCTGCGAGCGCGCAATCGCCGCCATGACGGCATCCTTCTCTTCGTCCGAGTCTACCGGGCCATTATTGTCCTGGTCGTCCTGCAGCGGCGCGTTGGCATCGATAGCAGCCTCTGTTAGAGATCATTAACCACCGTTCACTATCCAAACAGAGCCACACAAGATAAGAACCAAGAACTTACTCTGCTGCCTCGCCTGGTTCTTCTTCTGATACGCCTGGAGCAACATGTCGTATGGCAATGAACGGCCAGGAACCGCTCTTTTCGCCCCCATGGAATGACTCTTACAGGTCAAGGAGCGCGCACACTGAGCACCATTCGGCAGAGTAACACCGCACTGTTTTTCGACATCCACCGGTCCCTTCGGCTTGGCGACCTTTGGTTTCGGCTCCTCCTTCTTTTTCTTCTTCTTGGGCTCCTTGCTATCCTTGTCGTCTCCATCACCTGTCTCCGTTTTCCGTTTCGTGCCCTTCTTCCTTCCATCCTCCGCCATCCCTTTGACGGCGCTCTTCTTTGCGCTCTTCTGGCCCTTCATCGCCGAGTCCTCTCCACCTTCCCCTTTCTCCCCGCCTGGTCCTCCAGCTCCGCCTCCCACTCCGACCTCATCGTTATCCTCTTTATCTCCGGCCTTGGCCCGATTCGCCGCGTCGCGCGCCTCTTTCTTGCGGCGCGCCTTCTCCTGCTTCGCTCTGATACAGCCGCGGATATGCTCCACGGCATGCTGCTTGAGGACCGGCCTCTTGCAGGTTTTGCAAACGACCGTCTCGAGATGATCTTCTTCACGCGGTTTGCCCGTGGGGAAGGCGGCCATCGTCTTCTCGTCGATTTCGGGGAGAATCGGGGACGAGCCGGGGGATGCAGGGGGTTCTGGAACGTAGTCGGTATCAATTAGCATCCATTCTTCCCTCGGATCCTCTTTGCAAGATCACCCAACCCTTCCCTCCATCATACTCGCTTAGCAAGGACGAACGAGTCCCAAGCCAAGGCCAGACAGAAAAGGGCGCGCATCAACTCAGGAGCTCCTAAAATCAAGACAAAGGAATAAAGATAGAACAGAACATACCCTCAGCCTTCTTCCTGCCCCCAAACTTGGCCGGTTTCTTCAACTTGATCTTTCCCGGTTTGACATCCTTCTCGGAGAATTTATATCCGGACGCTTCAACTAAACTGCCCGCAGCAGATGATGCGACAGAGGGCGCTAGATTCAAGCAATCACAATCACAAGTTAGCCCAAGAACCTGAGTTGTTCTCAATAGCGCCCTTTATGGATCATCCCGAAGGTTCTCTCCCCCTCGTAGTCTCCCAAACACAAGGACTAGAGCAAGAGAAGAAAGAAGGCAGAAAACACACCTCTGTCACCATTATTGGTAGTAGCCATGACGAATTGTGGAAAGCCCAGATGACTGGGCTTAGGGGTTGATCGCTGGTGATGAGGCAAACCCACGACCACGGGCCTGTAACTCCTCTCGCTTGCGGTGATCTTTCTGTTCGGAAGTTGATTGATGTTTGGGATTCAGATGCAGAGAGGTGAGAACACGGACGGACGCCGTCATGCAAAGAGAAAAAGAGGTGAGAAGTTGGGGTCGATAGTCATCACTGTGCTCAAGAATAAGTCCAAATTGAACGCCGACCGACCGATCGGACGGAGTGGGAAGACGGGATGTTGCGACAACACAGCACGGCGTAGGGTGGTGGTAGCCTGGCTTGCGATGCGATGATCGAGGCTACCATGTCCGAGGCCGGGGAGAGAGAGGGGGGGTTTCCCGCCCTTCTCCGCCTCTTCCGCATTTGGGTGGGTCACGTGGGATCTCCGATGAATGAATCCTCGCTTCTTTGACTTATTGAAGTTGGAAACAGGCATGATGGGCTGGGTGTGTTCAAGAGTAAGGAGCTTACTGGGTCAATTTGATTGGTTCTTACCAGATCAATAAGAGAAGACGCATTGTTCATTCCTATGAGTAAGCTACAAGGTCAAGGACAATAGGAACCCCGTATAGAGACCCTCTCTATGATTAGCAGTAACACCTGCATTTGAGGTTTTCTGTACATACACTCTCGAAGCTTCCTTCTGTCAATCTCAATCAGCTCATCACCACTATGCTGACCTCTTGCTGCTAGAGTTTCTTCGGTACTCGCTAAAGTATGCATGTCCATGTTATAGTACATCCGAGTGATACAGTGCAGCATCTATGCAGTATAACAGCAAAGAATCAGAACGCACCGCACCTACTCGATATGCTTGGAGAAGCATAGACTGCTGTTGGTTCCTCCGAACCCAAAGCTGTTCGTCATGGCCACGTCGATGCAACGCTCTTGTGCCTCGTTAGGCGCATAATTGCAATCAAATCCGTCCGCTAGCCGCTCCAGATTGATTGTCGGAGGCATTATGTTCTAGATCACAGCATTAGTATCATAGTATATTTCTGTTGTAATGGAAAGAGATCAGGCCTACCTCATTGACTGCGAGGACAGCAAACACAGCCTCAATAGCGCCCGCACCACCCAGAAGGTGGCCGACAGCGCCCTTGGTGCTGCTGATGTTGACCTCCGTGGCTTTCTGTTTCCCCCCTGGGCCGAGAAGAAGCGCTTTGATCGCAGCATTCTCTGCCGCATCGCCTACGACAGTGGAGGTGGCGTGCGCATTAACGTAGTCAACAGCGGACGGCGACAACCCCGCGTTTTTCAGTGCTTTCTTCATGGCCAGGAATGCACCTTCTCCATTCTCCTTGGGCGCAGTCATATGGTGCGCATCCCCGGAACAGCCGTAACCCTTCAACTCCGCATAAATGCGAGCTCCTCGAGCCTTTGCATGCTCGAGCTCCTACCAGTAAATTAGAGTGCGACGTAGAGCGATAGTGAGAATAAGAAGACGTACCTCTAGGACCATCATTGCAGCCCCTTCTCCTACTACGAAGCCTTCCCGATCCGCATCAAATGGTCTTGACGCCTTTTGTGGGTTGTCGTTGTAGCTGGTTGCCAGACTGCGAGCCCGAGCAAAGCCGCCAACAGCCAAAGGATGAATACAAGACTCCGCCCCGCCGGCTAGCATCACATCTGCATCACCGCACGCGATGAAGCGAGCTGCATCACCAATCGAGTGAGCGCCGGTTGTACATGCGGTAGTTGCCGCGTGGTTTGGGCCCTTGCAGCACGAAGTCAGCCACGACACGGGTTGGCAAGAGAGTCAGTCGGCTTACCATGAGCCCATATCTCATAGAAATGTGACCAGCACCGAGGTTGATCAGCAGCTTGGGTACGAACAAGGGTGACACTTTGCGATATCCCTATCATATTATCAACAGAGGTAGACATGTGATGTCTCACAGCTAATACGCACACCCTTCTCATATGCAACAACCGTGTCGTAGATCTCATCGAAGTTCCCGATACCCGATCCAAGACATACGCCCTAGACGTGATTCTGTGAGTAAGGCGATCCCAGCATAAGATTGATATCGAATACCTACCGTCGCTTCCTTCTGAGCAAAAGTCGTCGGCTTCCAGCCCGCATCTTCCAATGCCTCTTCCGAGGCAGCCATGGCGTACTGCGCAAAGAGAGCCATCTTACGCTCATCCTACCACAAACAGTGAGCCGAGCCCTAGATCCATTCAAGTATAAGGCTTACGTCTCTACTTAACCACTCTGAAGGCGTCCAAGCGCCTTCATTTTGAGGCCCTCGCGGCACAATGGCGGCGATCTGACAGGGCACGTCCTTGAACCTAGCATCGCGATGCACGGCATTCACGATGCCACAGTGACCATCTAGCAGGCGCTTCCATGTTCGACGGAGACCTACGACCTATATTAGCAAACGAAGAAGACCAGAGGACAGGAGAAGCCTCCGCCGTCGTGTCTGGCTACCCTTCTGGACAAGGATAGCAACTCCAGGCTCTGTGTTCGACCTTCCCTTTTGGGCATGCCATGAGTGGAGAACGTTGAAGACGGAAAAGACGGTTGACGTTGCGGCGGCGCTTCTCGATACCGCGATTGATGATTGAGACCCGAATGAGAAAAGGATCGAGTACGTACCTACCCCTAGAGGCGAGATCGCTCCTAAACCTGTCACGACGACCCGACGCATGGCATTCTGAGGCGGAAGATTAGTGTATGTATGTATGTACAGTATGTACTTCGACGGGATTTTCCATAGGATGGGAGACCAGTCAAATCTCCGCAATCCGGAGCTCCAGAGGCTAGAGCCAGAGCTGGTATGGCGGTAGATGCAACCTCTAGTCGAAAGAGTGGAACCACAATTACAGACAGTAGCTAAGACCGAGGCCAAGAGTTGGTGGAAGGAAGAAAGGAAGGGAAAGGCAGGAACTTGGAAATTCCGAGACTGCTTGCAGTGAATTTGAACCTTGAAATGCCGACGGAAGAGCGAAGAGCAACCCGAAAGGGAAGGGCTTCCCGACGTCAAAGAAACCAGGCCACAAGGCCCCAAACTTGCCTTTTCAGGCTTAATTTCAACCAATCAAAAGCCAATCTTCTATCGATAAGCTGCAGGGCCACCGTGCGGTGCTGGCCGAGGTCACCCATCATTGGATACGTTTCGAAGGAGAGAGAGAGAGTATGTGTGTGTGTTTGTGTGAGTGAGTGACGGAAGTCGCTCTTCAGAGCTCTGTGAATTTAAATTCTTGTTAAGAAACGCTTCCCCCCCCCCCCCCCC